CACAATTAGGGGTAGTTCGCCTGTTTGTACTTGGGGCTTCAATTACTCCCACCTGGCTGAATCAGCTCTGATCACACCTCAGACAATAGGTGGCTGATAATTTTATCAGTGGCAGACCTGTCCAAGACCAGTTCTACCACCCTTGGTCAAACGTGTAGATAGATACGGTTTAGTCCTGAATTTAGGGAGTGTTCATTGACCCCGTGACATAAAGTGCATGCAATTGGTACAATATAAACAATATATCGATTGTTAAATTGATTTGTGATGATAACTGTAAAAACACTGTACTGTACACTTAATCGCCTGGGGTTGGGCGGAGTGAATCATTATACACATACTTTTAATTTAAGTATTTGTGTACAATAAAGTTAGCGGTTGTTGCAGAAAGGTGTGGCAATGGTGGGTGTGTGCGGCACCCTAATTGGCAGCAGGAATGGTCTCAGTCATTGTTTGGCCCTGAAGCAAGTGCTTTTGACTGGATTTCAATCACTTTAAAACGGTTAACAGTTGGCATATAACAATTCACACCCCACAGAAAATTCAGTAAGATTCGGGAGCATGGTCCGATTCAAGAATCGATTTTTTTGTCTGGTTTTTACCATCTGGTTTGTATTGTTTTGTTCGCTCCAATAGCCTAATTGTAACATTGGCCCATATAGTACTTTGCATAAGTTGTAAACAGCATTTGGCCTGAGAATAGGTTTTCCCCTTTTTTCTGGCAACAAAACAGATGTTAAGATGTTAAAACACCAAACTGAAACCTTTTGCAAGGAATCATGCCTGCATTAACCACAGATACTTGTGAAAATACAAAAAAAAACATGCTCTGACAGCATATGCATTGTCTTTGAAACTGATTGGTCCACACCAGAGACAGCTTTCTTTAGAGCCTAGTCTCAAACAGTGTTAGACCAGAGGACACCAAATGGCAAACATCACAAAGACAATCACTATCAGGACAATGAGAGCTCGGGCAGAGCAGCTACATCATGGGACCTCCTTTGCCAGTGTCAAAATATAAGAATAGGTTTCCCCCTTTCTTCTGGCAACAAAACTGGTGTTAAGATGTTAAAACACCAAACTGAAACCTTTTACAAGGAATAATGTCTGCATTAACCACAATACTTGCGGTCAGAATGCAAACAAAAAACACTGATAATATATGCATTACTCTTTGGTTCTTTCGGTAAATTCACGTCGAAAGAAAATAAATTAAATAATAGAATACGACGTTTCGATTGCAACACAAGCAATCGTCATCAGGTAGAAAACAAACCTAGTAAACTTAGAAATACAATGCAATACAACACAGAGAATCGGCTAACACAACAGTCAACACCCTACCTGGTTGATTACGTTCTTCCAAAGATTGCTAAATTTACAGAGAGAGACAAAACACAGACACGAAGACACGCAGACAGACACATAGGCAAAGAGAGACAAACAGGGACAACACCTCTGTGTCGAGGCCTTAAATAGAGAGAGAGGGGGGGGGCAGAGAGAGAGGTGGGGGGGCTGGAGCAGAGAAATTAGCATGTCAGTGAGAGAGCTGTGTGGAAATCCACCTCCCGGCGGCCGGGGGAGAGAAAGACCCATACAAGCCTGGTAAATTTTAGAGAGAGTTGTGTGGAATCCACCCCGACCGGGTTGGGGAGGGGGAGAGCAAATGGAGAAAGCTGTGTGGAAATCTACCTCGCGGCAGTCTGGTAAATTTGAGAGAGAGTTGTGTAATATATGCATTGTCTTTGAAACTGATTGATCCACACCAGAAACAGCTTTCTTTAGAACCTAGTCTCAAACGGTGTTAGACCAGAAGACGCCAAAAGGCGTACAGCACAAAGACAATGCACTATCAGAGTAATGAGAGCTCAGGGTGAGCAGCTGCATCATGGGACCTTCTTTGCCAGTGCCAAAATATGAGAATAGGATTTCCCCTTTTTTCTGGCAACAAAACAGGTGTTAAGATGCTAAAACACCAAACTGAAACCTTTTACAAGGAATCATGTCTGCTGTACGCCTTTTGGCGTCTTGTGGTCTAACACCATTTGAGACTAGGCTCGAAAGAAAGCTGTCTCTGGTGTGGACCAATCAGTTTCAAAGACAATGCATATATTATGAGTATTTTTTGTTTGCATTCTGACCGCAAGTATTGTGGTTGATGCAGACATGATTCCTTGTAAAAGGTTTCAGTTTGGTGTTTTAACATTTTAACACCTGTTTTGTTGCCAGAAAAAAAGGGGATAACCTGTTCTCATATCTTGGTACTGGCAAAGGAGGTCCCATGATGTAGCATTTGGTCTCTTTGTCACCTTCGTCACTTTGTGACAAATCAGCACATTAGTCCTCTTCGGTAAACATTTTCATTATCTCGAAGTGAGTTTGACCGTTTAAAAGATCCCTGCAACCACAAGGCTCATGGGCAGGGCTGACTCTGCTCCCCTGTAATTTGGTAAACAGTAAAGATGTAACGATTCTCCCTTCTCAGCAATTTAATGAATTGTCTGATTCAGGCTTATTTAATAAATAAAAATTCATTTTATATAATTTTTGCCGATCCCATTTGTATTATTTCCTTTTTTCTCTCATTTGTGCATTTTCGTTTTTCATTAGTCTAAGTCATACATAAGAAAATAATATAAATTCCACGTGTAAGTAATAGATTATCACACACACAATTTGATAAGTGCAGGAACGAATTTTAAACCTCGAATCGATGGATCATTGTGTACCTGTAAAACAGCTTGACGTTCATGCGTGGATCGTGTGGGTGGCCTGTTTTTCATGGGGATTGGGATGACATGTGCATTTCAGTTTTTAGTCAGGTCAACATTTATTTTTCTTAAGAATTCCTCACCAAGGTGTGGCTGGTGGAGTGACATGAACTTGCACAGAAAACATATCTTGTCATACCTTTGCGTAAAGATATTCGGCTTGCCTGCTGGTATAACCTGAAAGATAAAAATCAGAGGCCAGAAAATTATAATTTTTGGTAGACTGTGTTGCTGGAAGGGAAACTTATCTCACCATGAAATGAATAATCTATATATTAAATTAATTGAGCGTCCTTTGGTACAACTTTCACACTTTTTATTAGACAATAGTATTTTTTTTAAAGGTCTGCTGACGTTATTTCTTTTAGTTAAGCTTTATCACCCTTCGACACCCTCCTTAGCCATATAATTACTCTGTAACAGTACATAAACCACAGTTTTTTCTTGTAATTCACTGCTACATTTTAAGCAGTGCTTTTATTTGTTTAATCAAACCTTCATAAATCCTATTTGGCTAAATGTTTATCATTTGTGCTGGTGGTTGGCTTACATTAGTACCATCTACTGTGCTCATTACCAGGTTGTTACTTGGTAATTCTAAAAACGCGTGGAATGCAAATATTTTTTTAGTATTTTCTTATGTAATCGTCGTTTCCTTGTTTTGCGTTTTTTTACCCCAGTAAGCACACGACAGCAGTCTTCACAGTTAATCACAGAGGGAGCAAAGTACAGATAAATCATTCACTTTATATTCGAGGACGTTGAATAAATAAGAAGAGTAAAACTCACGTTCGTTGTTTCCATACATCACAGGTGATTGTCACGCTCTGTGCATTGGCAGGTCAGCGATTCCTCTCTCTGACTCGTGTTTTCCGTAGCTTGCAAAATAAACAGTTTAGCAGTTTCGTTTTTTTTCTTCAAATATTTTACTTGGCTCGATATGATTTGCCGAGTCCCTGAGAAATTTTACTGTTTTATCGGAACGAGGCCAGGATTTTTCCCAAACTCCATGTCCGCGCGTCGCCATTGACCAAGGTTACTCAAATCCGGTTGCCACAGCTTCTCTCCACCGCTGAGATGCAACAACGCGTGTGGTCCCCTTGCTTTGTACAGAACGAACAAACGCTATTGCTTTTGTGTCACTGGTGAAGGACACATTCACCTATAACATGTGTAAGTTTTTCCAAAGTGTACGCTTTTTGACAATTTAATGTTTCAGCTCATGTGAACGTTACACGCTTGTGTTTGCTAAATCTGCAAATGTAATGAGTTAATACTTTAACTATGCCTTTCCAGGATGCATTTTTGGGACAAACTCTGTGGATGGGATTTTCGTTGATAGCATCAGGTTTCAAAAAGGCATTATTTTAACGGATCGCATCCTACTGATGAGACTCGGTAAAGTTGAAAACAGTCCAGAATATGATTTGCTCAAACAAATGCCGAATACACTGTTCTCGATGTCCCGCAGATAAACTGTTTTGTTTTTCATGTTACCAATGTATACAAACACGCCCATTTATTACAGTTTACTCATATTCAGGGTCATCCATTTATACATAACTCACAAAAATAATAGCAGGGAAGAAAACCAAAAACATAATTTCATTTCATAACCTCTGCATGTCTGCCCTCCTATCTCAGTGCACTTATTAAATCACCTTCTCCGTTTCTTTGTAAGACATGGAGTCATCGGCCATCGCTTTCACAATAGTCAATCACCTGTTTGGAAGTAATAGGATCATTATATCAGTGGGATATATATATAAATTGCCCACCCTGTACAGTAATTCCTCGTTTAACGCGGTAGATGCGTTCCTCAAAAGTACTGCATTAAGTGAAAAACGCGTTATGCGAAGACGATTTCCCCATAAATAATGTAATGATAAAGTTTGGCGAGATACGATGCATGCGCACACAGTAAGATGGCGAGATAAAGAACTGAGGGTACGCAGCTGCGTACTGTATAATTCCGCATACTGTATCATACTGCGTACTGTATTATACCGCTTGGCCATGCAGCTCAAGAAAGTAGATATTTACCGACTGCTCACAAACTGTGTTATAACGGGGCGCGTTCTACTTTGTGCGAAAAAGGTGTTCCCGAATAGAAGAACCGCGTTTATAGTGAAAACGCGTTGTGTGAATACCATACTTTAAGTGAGGACTTACAATATTTTGCATTGCTGCGCCAGCTTAAAGCCGGGGTTTGATGGTGCGTGCAAGCAGACCCAGCATGTCCGGCCTGCACCTGGTGAAGCAGGGCCGTGAGAGGAAAAAGCTGGACCTGCACCGCGATTTTACCGTGGCCTCCCCTGCCGAGTTTGTCACGCGCTTCGGAGGAAATCGAGTCATCGAGAAGGTGAAGGAGAGCTCTGGGGCCCCCGGGATGGGATAGGGATCCGGCAGCTTAAGTAGCAAAGACGCCAGTGTGAGAATGATGTGTCGAGTACATGTACACAAGTACATCACTTTGTCAATCTCAACTTCTAGATTAGGGCATCCCCAAGCCTGTGAGGGTCTTAGGGTTACAGTACTTGAACATGAAGCTCAATGATGTGTTTTTGAGTTGTTTCGCTTGATCAGCACGATGTTTCGCTTGAAGTCAATTTAAACTGAATTTAATTTCAGTTGCTGAAGATGCTTCCAGCACAAGGGGCAAAATGTCAGATTTCATGCCACACAACACGTGATACAACCCAACAATGCATCAGAGAATTATATAACACGACCCCACATACCTACGCAGTATTATTTGACTGTACTTCACCATGCTGGTCAGTGCGGGATAGCAAAAGCAGGGTGCATAGAGAACCGAATGTAAAGAGTACAGTACAATTATGAAATTTGCTGTGCTACCCTCTTGCCCTCCTCGTGCACAAGTCCCTCTTATTTCCGAGATCTGATGAGATCAGGCCCATTCTGGGCTATTTGGTTTTGGCCAACGCCAAGGAATGTCTTTAAAATATACATACAAACAGAGGTGGCTGGGTTGATGAAGGCAGGGAGTATAATGTGTTTGAGCACTCAGCCAGCACAAAAGAGATCATGGGTTTAAATTGAGTTTATGGGCTCAACCTGTCGCCAATTCACAAAAAATAGCCATTGTATTAAATGTGGCTTTCTACTTTATTTAGTATATTTCCGTCTGACAATTCCAATATTATTGGTTTGCTCGCCGCGTGAAAAAAGATTATTACAATTTAATTGGGATCAAGATAAATATTAACAAATATAATTAAAGGGCTTTTCATCTGAGATAAAATAAATAAAATCAGAAACTTATTTCTGACTTGAGTATATGGAGGAGGTAAAAAAATGTGCTGCCTCCAAAATGTTTAGCTGTGTGCGTCACTGCTGTGTGTTGCCGCATGGAATTCAATTTAGTTAAATGTAAAAGTGTCTCCCTGCTCAGACTAACATTGGTATAGTGCTCATCACTATTGTGCTCTCTCGAGCAAGTGGTTGAAAATTCAAAATTATTGTAACAGTAGCCGGTTTATCTATAGCGTCATTGTATTTGCTCGAGTAAAACTTCTGACGTCTCATATGGTTCTGTATTTTAGTATCAACACTTAAATATGTAAACACAACAAAATATAAAAAAATCTAATATTATTGTACTCTTTGTAATAATCTTTGAATGTAAAACCTTGTGATGGCAGTATTCCCCTGCAGCGTACATGAGCATGCAGGTTTATCATTAATTATTAAAGGTTTATCACACGTACAAAGTTGCACAGTGCCAGACCTACGGTGAACTCTAAATACTATTACAGCAGCATTGTTACCTGAAATTACTGATTACAGAACTACATTGTAGCTAACTCCAGATCTGCACGGTGCGCATGCCCCTAATCCAGCACTTTCAATGCAAGGGTTGGTAAATAACTCAGATTTATGATATACTTTTAAATCCACTGAGCTCCATCCCACTTTTGTATACAATGTGGTTGCATTTGGAAGATATATATAGCCGAATTGTACTATGTCGGAACCTTTGAGTTGTGTAGCAAAATTTTCCTTATTGAAATAGGAACTGGCGAAATCTCTTAATGCATGACCATCCTGAACATGTGCCTTGAGACTTAGGGTTTCCTGGATTAATAAATGATAGTATTAATAAATTATATCGATAATTATGAACCAGCTTACCCAATATGATCCCACCTTACCCAATAGAAATTTCACGTGACACCATGTGAATCCCAAACTCATTTACGCGTAGAGCAGGTGACACTGGCAACACTTATACGAGGGGTATTTATTTTCAAATCCATTTCTTACATTTTCCTAAACTCTTGTGTGTGCAGGTGCTGATCGCAAACAATGGCATTGCAGCGGTCAAATGCATGCGGTCCATCCGACGCTGGGCATACGAGATGTTTCGTAATGAACGGGCCATCCGCTTTGTCGTCATGGTGACACCGGAGGACCTTAAAGCCAATGCAGGTGATGCTGCCTCCTTGCAAAGGTTCTTCTGTACGGTACTGGCATGCGGCACTCCTGGTTACCCTAAAGCAAAACCAGGTCCAGCAATATAATGTGTGCCTGGGAATTTGGACTGTGAAGCCAGCAGTGTAATTGAGTTGCTTTTTAAACTTATTTCATCATGATCACATCATCATCAGCCTTGGTTCATTGACTGCTGGACGAAGGAATCCCCAAACTGCCACCACCTCTCACAATCCTGCAATGTAATAATTCACCAAGTAGCTTAACATGATCTGATTTTATTACTCCATCTGCTCAGTGGCCAGCGTGCATGAACCACTGCTCCGCCGCTCCAACTCGACTAAATATGCCTCCTTTTTTATTTAAAGCTTTCATCACTGCAGGGATTCATATTCTTGGTTCTTTCGGTCAAGACACGTAGAAGGGAAACAATAAAATAATAAAAATATAAAACAATAAAATTCTCACGACGATTCGACTGCAACACAAGCAATCATCATCAGGTGTGAAAACCACGTGACTTGACCGAAAGAACCAAGAATATGCCTCCTTTTGTCGCCGGTCTCTTTGAAGCATATGTCCCACAAGTTTATACAGCATCTTAAGACGCAGATGTATTTATATGCTTTATAAATACAAACTGCAATCGTATCATCATCAGCCATAATCAATCCACTGTTGGATGAAGGCCTCCCCTAGCCATCACCATTCATGATCTTACAATGCAACAATCTACCAAGCACCCCAACAGGATCTGATTGCATCGCTCCATCTTTACGTGGGTGTTTTCTCAGGCATGTTCCCTTCCAAGTTGATATCATTTGTGCTGATACTTGTTCTCCGCCATGCACATTGCGTGTGCAACAGAGTACATCAAGATGGCAGACCACTACGTTCCAGTTCCGGGCGGCGCCAACAACAATAACTACGCCAACGTGGAGCTCATCCTGGACATCGCTCGCCGCATCCCCGTGCAGGTAACATTCATCCTCCTCGTGCGCAAATATTCATCACCATCATCATCCCCATTACTCAATTCCAATATATATCCCTAATCACCTCCTACTGTAAAAATATGGCAGGATCCTCCTGAAAAAGTGTCATAAGACTAAGTGAGGCCTTCCTGGGTAAAGAAGCATGAAAATAAGAATATCCCTCTTGCGCAATATTTGTCACTGTCATCAGCAATCATAATCATTCAATTGCTGGATGAAGGCCTTCCCCAGCCGCTATCATCTATCACGATCTTGCAACGTAGCAATCCATAAAGCTTTTGCACATGAACTAATTTAAAAACTCCCATCTCCACATTTACTGCGTTTTGCTCCTGCTCCAATATTAGCCTTAAACAATTGCCCTCATTTCTTTTAGAGATGTGTCCAGTTCACACCCACTTACTTTTATTCACAGTCAAAATTTATATTTAACAATGTGCTCCTCTATGTCCCTCAAAATAATGCCAAGCAAGTGTCTCTGCATACTTCTTCGCACAAATTTGAGTTTTTCGATTTTCTTCATCACCTTCCATAATTCTGATCCATATTTCATGGTGAGCCAGTGCAAGCAAAGTTTTCAAGCACATGAGAGGGTCCCCACCGTTTGTATGGAATACCGTGCGGTGACGGTGGTGGTAGTCGTGGTGGTGAAGGATTTTGAGGGTCACGTTTGTGAGGTTGCTTTTTTTTTGCGGTGATGTGTGCAGGCGGTGTGGGCGGGCTGGGGTCATGCCTCGGAAAACCCGAAACTTCCGGAGCTGCTGCACAAGAACGACATCGCTTTCATGGGTACGGTGCCGTCGGTCTCATATGCAGATGATGCCTCTTCATCTTCGGTCACAACAGCAGCAGCGATCGTCATCACCATAATCATCAGTCAACATTGACCGTCATCTTCATCAATAGTCGCAGCAGCATTTAATCTCAACATCACAATCATCATCATCAGTGGCATTAGCAATCGTAGAAATCATGACCATTAGTTGCAAAAGCGCTAATCATTATCATGAGCAGCCATGGCATTATCAACATCATAATCACTATCATTGCCAATTGGTCGTGGTGCTGCAATGCCACAATTCATCACACTCCTGCACATCAACTAATATCATTGCTCCATATTGGTGGTGATCATCTTCTTGGGCACATTCTTCCCTTTGGCTGCCATCGTGTGGACAGACTCGTCCACCAGCCATCCATTCTAACGATGTATTCTGCCTCAGGACACTTTCCATTAATGTCAATATGATTGCTTTATATTTTGGTCAAGTAAGCTAGTGTTGAGGACACCCGCCATTGACACATTTGGTACGGATTAAACAGTGCAAATACTTTTTTGCATGGTAATTTTCATCGATTAATGAAGTCACAAACCAACCAAACTCGCTCTCAATGGATTGTTATTCATAGTTTGAAATGTACTGGTAAATTTATACAAATTCTAGACAATTTATATTAATCTCTCTTGCGTCTGGATGTGCAGTATTTTTTATGAAATATGCATGTTGATGATCACATGTGCCAGAGCATGAGATATTTTTTTGATGCTTAATCCACCTTTTTTCCTTCTTTTTTGTTCTAACTTTCTTTAACAAACACAAGCCCAGGATGAACTGATGATGCATACTCAGCACCATGTTTAGGCCCGTACATAGGACAATCCAGCATTAGATATGTTGCTCCTTCCTCACTCGCTCTTCTGTGTGAATAGGCCCTCCGAGTCAGGCCATGTGGTCACTTGGGGACAAGATCGCATCGTCTATCGTGGCGCAGACGGCCAACATCCCCACGCTGCCATGGAGTGGCTTCGGTACCTTTCAGAGCACACACACGGACACACTCTCATTGATGCGGTCGTTTACTCACTGACCCAATCAACTCACCAACTTGTTTACTCACCCGTTTAGTCACTTATCCCACTCACTCACTTACTCACTCAGCCACTCACACACTTGCTCATTCATTAAAGTGCCTCTCTCTATAACGTAAATATTTACACTTAATTTACAGGACTTTGTGATGCAGTTGCATTTATATGCAACTAGCTTTACTACCTGGCTTCGCCGGAGACTTGGATTCTTGTTTTGGATTAATATACGGCCTCCGCGGAGGGTGGGGGGGGATGCGTGACGTCAGCAGGCACACTGCGTAACGCTGCCGCATGCGGGTAACATCACAGATGTGATGTCACCGCTCACTTGCCGTGTAAAATATATCCAATATTGCACCCCCCCCCCCCCCCCCCCCCCCCCCCCCCCCCCCCCAAAATATAAAAGTCAATTTTTATATTTTTTGCATTGTGTACAGTCTGGAAGCTACCCACATGCCGAATTTCATGTTTGTTGCATGTTGGGAAGTATGCTAAACATTTTGAACAGACACACATATTCACAAATTTCCCTTTTATATATAGACTAGCTTTACTACCCAGCTTCGCCCGGGACTTGGATCCACCACGCCCGGCCGCCTTTGTCTTCCCAGTGACGATGTTCACACACCACACCAGTTACTCGTTTGAGGCTGAGTCGACCTAGGGGAGGCCCAGGACCAGTTCAAATAATCGTCACCGGTGGTGGCCGTGAGCAGGAATTAAACTCGGGTCGCCGGGTTCGTAGCGCAGCGCGCTAACCACTACACTACCACTCCCCCCACACACACACGCGCGCGCGTCCATATGTACACATACAGTGAGGGAAAAAGACACACGCGCGCGCGTCCATATGTACACATACAGTGAGGGAAAAAGTATTTGATCCCCTGCTGATTTTGTGCATTTGCCCACTGACAAAGAAATGATCAGTCTATAATTTTAATGGTAGGTTTATTTGAACAGTGAGAGACAGAATAACAACAAAAAAAATCCAGAAAAACGCATGTCAAAAATGTTATAAATTGATTTGCATTTTAATGAGGGAAATAAGTATTTGATGCCTCTGCAAAACATGACTTAGTACTTGGTGGCAAAACCCTTGTTGGCATTCACAGAGGTCAGACGTTTCTTGTACTTGGCCACCAGGTTTGCACACATCTCAGAAGGGATTTGTCCCAAAACACACAGCCAAGGCAATAAAGGAGTGGCTCAAGAAGAAGCGCATTAAGGTCATATCCTTGGTTCTTTCGGTAAAGTCACGTAGAAGGGAAACAAAATAATAAAAATATGAAACAATTAAATTCTCACGACGTTTCGACTGCAACACAAGCAATCATCATCAGGTGTGAAAACCACAACAAGAAAATTTGAAAAAAAGTGGCGTTTTTTTAATGTTAGCACCACGGATAGCGATTTGACAGTTTGTTCAGATGGACGAGTCTAACTATGTTAGGAAAAGAGGAGGAGGGAGACGAAAAATAATGGATGCGGGCTGAAAGCCACCTTAAGTGTGATCAATCAATTAAGACCCGAAATGGTTTATCAAATCCTTCCAATGAATGCTAAGCCAGAATCCATCTTCTCGGTTGAAATTATCTCTGTGTTTGTATATGTGGATAGCCTCATGAACGAATCTCTCATGGTAGCCAGATGGCTTGCAAATAACCTCTGTCTTGGAGAAGTCAATGTCATGTGAACCTACTGAATTATAACAGTGATCTGCCACGGCTGAGGTGTTGGTCCTACCATGTTTCAGGTCTGCTTTGTGTTCACGAATGCGGTCCGAGACCTGTCGTTTGGTTTCTCCAATGTAACTGCTACCACAGAGGTAACTTAGTTTGTAGACGCCAGGGTACTGTATGTCCGGAATCACATCTTTTACAGACGGAACCAGATCACGGATTTTATGTAATGTGTTGAATCGGACCTGGATCTTGTGTATATTCAAGATTTTGGAGATCTTTTTTGTGATCCCCGCAATGTAGGGTAAAGTGATGGTTTTGAAAGGCTCCTCAAGAGGGTCCTTCTTCATGGTTGGAGTGATAGCTTTGCGGATTGTGTATTCGGAATAACCTTTAGCCTTAAGAGCTTGGTGTACGTGCTTGAGTTCACTGGCTATGTGTTCCTGGTCGGATATGCATTGGGCTCTATGGTGCAGAGTCTTGATTAGAGAATTCTTCTGGGATGGATGGTGGTGACAATCTGGTTTCAGGTAAAAATCCGTATGGGTAGCTTTCCTGTAGACAGAGTGGCTCATTGAACCATCAGGTCTCTTTTTTATTAGGACATCCAAAAAAGGTAGCTTGCCATCTTTTTCGACTTCCATGGTAAATCTGATGGCTGGGTGTATGGAATTGATGTGGTCGAAGAATTGGTCTAGAGCAGGCCGGCCATGTGGCCAGATGACAAAAGTGTCATCCACGTACCTCTTCCATAAGGTTGGGCGCAGAGTGGCAGTCTGGATGGCGTCAGTCTCAAATATCTCCATGAAAATGTTGGCTACAACCGGAGATAGGGGGGAGCCTATTGGGGTGCCCTCAGTTTGTATAAAGTTGCATTCCAAGTGAAGTATGTATTGGTTAAGCAGTGTCTTACCAGGGGGGGACCTCAGTGTTTAGTCCTTGATGAACCAAGTCTTCAATGATTGCGATGGTGTCAGGTACAGGAACTTTGGTGAATAGGGAAACTACATCAGAACTTCGATTTAAAACTTTCATGACTGCAAGGATTCATCTTCTTTGGTTCTTTCGGTAAAGTCACGTAGAATGAGAATAAAATAATGAAATAAAATAATAACATTTTCACGACGTTTCGGCCACAACACAAGTAGCCTTCTTCAGGTGAAAGAACAGAACTGTCGGGACGACAGAGCTTGAATGGCTCTATCGTCCCGACAGTTCTGTTCTTTCACCTGAAGAATAGAACTGTTACTGCGATTAATTACGACTTTGTTAACGTCTAGCTTTTTGGTGTGTGGGTCCGGTCTTTTGTTTGAGAGGAGGTTAAATTTGGAAATCAGGTTATCCTTACATTTGGTCGACATAGTGGCAGCTGAAGAGGCAGTCATATTGTCTGATTGAGAGGGGATCAAATTCTACTCACCTGGTATCGACAATCAAGGGTATTTCCCTATCCCCAGACGACCTGCTTGTCAGTTTTATGTAGTTTCCTTATTCACTAAAGTTCCTGTACCTGACACCATCGCAATCATTGAAGACTTGGTTCATCAAGGACTAAACACTGAGGTCCCCCCCCTGGTGAGACATTGCTTAACCAATACATACTTAACTTGGAATGGAACTTTCTACAAACAAACTGAAGGCACCCCAACGGGCTCCCCCCTATCTCCGGTTGTAGCCAACATTTTCATGGAGAAATTTGAGACTGACGCCATCAAGACTGCCACTCTGTGCCCAACCTTATGGAAGAGGTATGTGGATGACACTTTTGTCATCTGGCCACATGGCCGGCCTGCTCTAGACCAATTCTTCGACCACATCAATTCCATACACCCAGCCATCAGATTTACCATGGAAGTCGAAAAAGGTGGCAAGCAACTTTTTTGGATGTCCTAATAAAAAAAAAGACCTGATGGTTCAATGAGCCACTCTGTCTACAGGAAATCTACCCATACGGATTCTTACCTGAAACCGGATTCTCACCACCATCCATCCCAGAAAAATTCCCTCATCAAGACTCTGCACCATAGAGCCCAATGCATATCCGACCAGGAACACATAGCCAGTGAACTCAAGCACGTACACCAAGCTCTTAAGGCTAATGGTTATTCCGAATACACAATCCGCAAAGCTATCACTCCAACCATGAAGAAGGACCCTCTTGAGGAGCCTTTCAAAACCATCACTTTTCCCTACATTGCGGGGATCACAAAAAAGATCTCCAAAATCTTGAATATACACAAGATCCAGGTCCGATTCAACACATTACATAAAATCCGTGATCTGTTTCCGTCTGTAAAAGATGTGATTCCGGACATACAGTACCCTGGCATCTACATACTAAGTTGCCTCTGTGGTTATAGTTACATTGGAGAAACCAAACGACATGTCTCACATTCGTGAACACAAAGCAGACCTGAAACACGGTAGGACCAACACCTCGGCCGTGGCAGATCACTGTTATAATTCAGTAGGTTCACATGACATTGACTTCTCCAAGACAGAGGTTATTTGCAAGCCATCTGGCTACCATGAGAGATTCGTTCATGAGGCTATCCACATATACAAACACAGAGATAATTTCAACCGAGAAGATGGATTCTGGCTTAGCAATCATTGGAAGGATTTGATAAACCATTTCGGGTCTTAATTGATTGATCATGCTTAAGGTGGCTTTCAGACCGCATCCATTATTTTTTGTCTCTCCTCTCCTCTTTTTCGAACATAGATGGACTCGTCCATCTGAACAAACTGTCAAATCGCTATCCGTGGTGCTAACGTTAAAAAAAACGCCACTTTTTTCAAATTTTCTTGTGGTTTTCACACCTGATGATGATTGCTTGTGTTGCAGTCGAAACGTCGTGAGAATTTTATTGTTTTATATTTTTATTATTTTATTGTTGTCCTTCTACGTGACTTTACCGAAAGAACCAATAATATGACCTTAATGCGCTTCTTCTTGAGCCACTCCTTTGTTGCCTTGGCCGTGTGTTTTGGGTCATTGACAAGCTGGAATACCCATCCACGACCCATTTTCAATGCCCTGGCTGAGGGAAGGCGGTTTTCACCCAAGATTTGACGGTACATGGCCCCGTCCATCGTCCCTTTGATGCGGTGAAGTTGTCCTGTCCCCTTAGCAGAAAAACACCCCCAAAGCATAATGTTTCCACCTCCATGTTTGACGGTGGGGATGGTGTTCTTGGGCTCATCGGCAGCATTCCTCCTCCTCCACACACGGCGAGTTGAGTTGATGCCAAAGAGCTCCATTTTGGTCTCATCTGACCACAACACTTTCACCCAGTTGTCCTCTGAATCATTCAGATGTTCATTGGCAAACTTCAGACGGGCATGTATATGTGCTTTCTTGAGCAGGGGGACCTTGTGGGCGCTGCAGGATTTCAGTCCTTCACGGCGTAGTGTGTTACCAATTGTTTTCTTGGTGACTATGGTCCCAGCTGCCTTGAGATTATTAACAAGATCCTCCCGTGTAGTTCTGGGCTAATTCCTCACCGTTCTCATGATCATTGCAACTCCACGAGGTGAGATCTTGCATGGAGCCCCAGGCCGAGGGAGATTGACAGTTCTTTTGTGTTTCTTCCATTTGCGAATAATCGCACCAACTGTTGTCACCTTCTCACCAAGCTGCTTGGAAATGGTCTTGTTACCCATTCCAGCCTTGTGTAGGTCTACAATCTTGTCCCTGACATCCTTGGAGAGCTGTTTGGTCTTGGCCATGGTGGAGAGTTTGGAATCTGATTGATTGAGTGCTTCTGTGGACAGGTGTCTTTTATACAGGTAACAAGCTGAGATTAGGAGCACTCCCTTTAAGAGTGTGCTCCTAATCTCAGCTCGTTACCTGTATACAAGATACCTGGGAGCCAGAAATCTTTCTGATTGAGAGGGGATCAAATGCTTATTTCCCTCATTAAAATGCAAATCAAATTATAACATTTTTGACATGCGTTTTTCTGGATTTTTTTGTTCTTATTCTGTCTCTCACTGTTCAAATAAACCTACCATTAAAATTATAGACTGATAATTTCTTTGTCAGTGGGCAAACGTACAAAATCAGCAGGGGATCAAATACTTTTTTCCTTCACTGTATATGCGCTTGCTGCAGACACACAACTTTCAGGGTGCGTACGGCAGTAAACGACTGAAATAATAAAGCAATGCTGCGCGAAGAACGCCTTAGGCCTGTGTGACATGAGCAGGCACACGGCGTTATGCTTCCACATCCGGGTCACATGACAGATGTGATGTCACAGCTCACTTGCCGTGCAAAATATATGCATTATTGTGCCCCCCCCCAAAAAAATATATATACAAATGTCTATTTTTATTATTTTTGCATGGTGTACAGTCTGGAAAGTACCCACATGGCAAATTTCAAGTTTGTTGCATGTCGGGAAGTACGCTAAACATTTTGAACAGACACACATATTCACAACTATGCCTTTTATATATATAGAGATATACAGTAAACTCTTAATTTTCCATTGACAGAGTGCCCAGGTTGTGGATTAACTGTGCTAGCCACAAAGAGAAATCAAAACAAAAAATTCCACGATAATTTACACCTTTTACACACGTGCTAGTTATATTATTAGCTGCTCCTCACTCGTGACTTCGTGATTTTTTGCCTTAATAAACAATAAGAGGTTGATAAATTTTACGTCTTCCCGCCCAGTCTTTGTAGCCTAATTTACATGTGTTTTGCATTATCCATGTTTTTATGCTATATGAGCCAAGGCTTCCACCATGACCCTGGATAAGCGAGAGCCGACTGTAAATCCACATCGTATTGTAATTGTATTAAGGGGCTCCGTCATTGTGCGCGTGCAGGGCTTGTCGTTGAGTGGAACGAAGCAGACAGGAAAGGCAAGGTCATCAACGTTCCACCCGAAATCTACGAGCGCGGCTGCGTCAACGATGCAGAGGAGGGACTCAAGGTGCCCGATTGCCACCTCATGCCCTTTCTCCAGCCATCTGCACATTGTGAAAATTTAAAATGGTCCACAGTTGCCTAATTGGGAACGTGTGCACATAAACCCATCGTGGGGGCTATTTGACCATGTTTCCCCACACTGGTCAGAGTGAGTTGGTGAATGCTGGGCCCGTAAACATGGGAGCCTCGTACAATACAAGAGATTTTGCTGCACTGCCCTTTGCTTACAGCGTAGCGCCGCAGTAGCCACAGCACCTGTTTTATGCATATTTGTTAGTTTCCGAGATCTGTTAATATCGGGTGAAATCCGGGTGATTCGATCAGAGTGATGCCATGTAACGTCTTTTAAAAAAGATACACACACACGGAGGTGACTGAGTGGCTCAGGGGGCTAATACTGCGTCAAATTACTCAGCCAGCACCAATGAGAGTTCAAATTGAGTTGATGTGCTCGGCCTGGTCACCAGTTACTGCACTTAAGAGATCTGATGGGATTGGGCACATTCAGAGAGAAATTGATCATAGGCAATTGGGGAACAAACTGAATGTAAATAATGGTGCTGCTTTTGTATGCTTGCTGGGGTAAGACGACCTTGTACTTATATAACTGTATTTTTTTCAATGCCCAGAATGCCACGCAGTAATGTTTGATGTGGTTGTATTAATGTCATCTATTTATGGCCTATTTAGCTGCAATGTGTATTGGATTTAATGCTTAATTCAAATCCAAAACTTTTTGTAAATGATGAGAAAACACATCACGAATGAAAAATGCGTGCAGGCTGGAAAGATTTGGAAACAACAACATGCAAAGGTGTGTTTGCGAATAATAGAAATGCAAAGATACAGCTGTCAACAGATGTTACCAGTCTACAGCTGTCTCTTTGTTTCACTTCTGCCAGATGGCATGGCCACATTTTCAATTCCTTTTGAGTTTGTGGTCTAAACAAGAATACAGCCACGCATTGTACATGCTATGTGGTAGTCACATGACATTCATGCAAGGCATGGCGGGAGTCGTGCCTTTCTGCTTTTTGTGAGCACACCTCTGTATTTCTGACTGGATATATATAGCACTACATATATATCTATCCATATGTATATATGTGTGTTAATATGATATATACATACATTATCAATTGCAGTGCGCTGTGAAAAATTTCACATTGTGAGTAAACTATAAAACATAAATGATACAAGATCAGGGTTTGCAGATCAGTCGGACAATGTTGGAGTTATTGTCACAAGTGAGAAGGCATGTGCTCACTTACATAACTGTTGTGAAGTCGTGGGTGTGCGTTGCAGAGGGCGAATGGAACGCTTACACACACCACATGTACACTCATCAGCATGAATAACCTAGTGCCTCTGGCTTGCATTCAAAATTTCTGGTCTTCTCAAATTACGAATGTGGATGTGTTAAAATATAATCATTTACAAACATCCATTTGTCAATCCACTGCTGGACGAATGCCTCCCTATGCTGTGTATGTAATTATTGTTTTTTTACCATACTTTTACCAAGCTGGTCAGTACGGGTTGGTGAAGAGGTAGTAGACTCAGGACGAGTTCAGATATCTCTTGCCACTGATGTTCGCTGTGGCCTGGAATCAAACCCAGGTTTCCAGGTGAGGCGTGTGTAGAAAGCACTGCTCTAGCACTCCATAAAATATTACATGAAGGCTTTTTAAATTTGACAGCATAAGTATATTGGGCCTATAACCAAATCACCCAGAATGCACCCGATTTCATCAGATCTTATAAGTAAAGTAGGAATAATCCTGGTTAGAGCTTGGAATGGCAATCGACATATTACACACTGTGGTTCAATGTTGTGGACAGTAGAGGGTAGTGCAGGAACATCCATTGTTGTACTATACTCACATGCTCCTACAAATATGCCCCCTAGTTTCACCAACCCCCATTGTAGAGTGTGGTGAAGAATGACCAAATAATTCCCGTGACCTGCATAGTATGGGGAGGCCGTCATCCAGCATTGTGCTGACAACAGTACATATCAAATGACACTCATTTATTTTATGCTGTGCACTATGTCCTATATGCTGTCACCGTGAAAACCTCGATTTTTCACCTGAGAAACATATCCCGGCTCCGTCACACCCTTAACACTGCAGACACTGAAAGACTGATCCACGAATTAGTTTTCTCCCACATTGACTACTGAAGTGCCCTGCTTTTTGGAACCCCGAGCAAGTTCCTAAACACGAAGCAGTATGTTCAAAATGCGGCTGCCAGGGTGTTAACTGGTACACATCACACCTGTGCTCCTGTTCCTTCACTGGGTCCCTGTCTGTACCCGTATTGATTTTAAGATTCTCTCGCTGGTATTCAGGGTCTTAAATGGACTTGCGCCTCCCTACATTCATTATCTCCTTCAGCCATATATTCCATCAAGATCGTTATCCTCAGATTGTGCATCGCTCACTGTCCCACAGTCTAGGCTTCACACTTGGGGTGATCGTGCCTTGTCAATTTTGGCACCTAAAATCTGGAACTCCTTGCCCTTCGAGGTCATGACTTCCGAGACACTATAGGTCTTCAAATCTGGACCAAAAACGTATCTGTTTAAAATGTCTTTCTCTCTTTAGTTATTTTCAAACGTCTTTCTCACTTCTTCCTTCCTTAGTTGATGTTAACTATTTCCACCTTTGCATGCATAGCACCCTGATAACGATGATTTAATGGCACGTTATACATTTAAATTATTATTTCTTCTTCACAGCACCACCATTTCACTTCGTTGTATTATAGTTGTAAAATGTTTTATTACTGTTCTGTTTAAGAATAGGTTTTTCCCTTTTTTCTGGCAACAAAACAGATGTTCAGATCTTAAAACACCAAACTGAAACCTTTTGCAAGGAATCATGTCTGCATTAACCACAGATACTTGTGGTGAAATACAAACCAAAAACATGCTCTGACAGTATATGCATTTTTCTAATATTTTATAGTTTAAAGTATATGGTAGTGTATAGTAACGCATGGTATAATTCAAGGGTGGAGTTTGTCTATGGCAGTGTATATTACGGTGTATAGTCGTGTAATTTAGAAAAAAGTTTAGTTGGAGGCATATCAATATAATGCATGATGTTAGAGCTTACATTGGGCTGTGTATACGATATTATACAATGTAGTTTAGATTGGAAGGTATAATATTGTAATGTATAGTAGTCTAGTTTATAGCATAGATGTAACGCAACACAGGACAGAGCAGCGCATCATGGCTGTTTCTCTCTCTCCCCCCCTCCTCCGTTCCGAGCATAGATGGACTCGTCCGTCTGAACAAAGCTCGTCGCTTTCCGTGGTGCTAACGTTGAAAAGAAAAAAGAAACCGCCACTTTTTCTGACATAGTTACATGCTAATCCCTCACACTAACATTATGCTAATCTCCCAGTTACATGCTAATTTCTGACTTTAACATCCTGCTAATCCAACACATTAACACAGCTACTTCAATGCTAAATTCTTCTGTTGATATGTAAACTCCTTCGTCAAGGCGCTCTGCTCCTCCCACCCAGCTTAAAAGACGCTGCCAAGCTTGGCAGTGTTCACTGAAGCACTGTCTTCCCGACAGTTATTTTTCTTCACCTGAGGAAGGGTACTTGTGTTGTGGCCGAAACGTCATGATAATTTTACTTTATTATGTTTTATTTTTATTATTTTATTTCCATTCTACGTGACTTTACCGAAAGAACCAAGAAGATGAATCCCTGCAGTCACGAAAGCTTTAAATCGAAGTATATGCATTGTCTTTGAAACTAATTGGTGCACACCAGAGACAGCTTTCTTTAGAGCCTAGTCTCAAACAAGTGCTAGACCAGGGGACGCCAAAAGGCGTACAGCACAAAGACAATGCCACTATCAGGACAATCAGAGCTCGGGGGGAGCAGCTACATCATGGCACCTCCTTTTCCAGTGTCAAACTATACGAATAGGTTTTCCCCTTTTTTCTGGCAACAAAACAGGTGTTAAGATGTAAAAACACCAAACTGAAACCTTTTGCAAGGAATCATGTCTGCATTAACCACAGATACTTCTGGTGAAAATACAAACAAAAAACATGCTCTGACAGTATATGCATTGTCTTTGAAACTGATTGGTCCACATCAGAGACAGCTTTCTTTAGAGCCTAGTCTCAAACAGTGTTAGACCAGAGGATGCCAAATGGCAAACAGCACAAAGACATTGCCACTATCAGGACAATGAGAGCGCGGGGTGATCAGCTACATCATGGGACCTCCTTTGCCAGTGTCAAAATATAAGAATAGGTTTTCCCCTTTTTTCTGGCAACAAAACAGGCGTTATCATATGTATTGTTCTGTTGTTCAACATATCACTGTCACACCCACTCCCCCTGTGTGTCATGCATGGCTTCAGGCGGCACAAACGATCGGTTTCCCCGTGATGATCAAGGCTTCTGAAGGAGGCGGAGGAAAGGGCATCAGGAAATCGACCAATGCGGAAGAGTTTGCGAACCTTTTCAGACAAGTAAGGTCATAGTGTCACTTCATCATATGTGTATGTTTTTTATGCTTATTGCATTGCGTCATGCGATGAGACAAATTATTCTCCTTGTGGAACTCTTGCAGAAACATCACCCCCATGATAGAGAATGACCCCTGCAATATCACATCACAGAAGTACTTCTGGGACCCCTTCACTTGCCCGTTCTTCACTATGGGTTGTGTTACCTGCTTTTTCTATTTTAAATAAACCTGAATGTTCCTAGTCTTTGATGGAAGACTGTACAAGCAGGACCAGCTACTATAGGCTCATGCTATGAGGCATCCAGGTAATGGCACAACTACCTGATTCAGAGAATACCAGGACAGACCAGGTGTCAGAAGCTTGGGCTGCGACGCGGCCAGGATATACCAATGGTCTTGGATTGCCAGGTGCCCAGGACATAGTAATTGTACTCGGATGGCAAATTGCCAGGCCATACCAGGTGCAGTGAGGGAAAACAGTATTTGATCCCCTGCTGATTTTGTACGTTTGCCCACTGACAAAGAAATTATCAGTCTATAATTTTAATGGTAGGTTTTTTTGAACAGTGAGAGACAGAATAACAACAAAAAAAATCCAGAAAAACGCATGTCAAAACTGTTATGAATTGATTTGCATTTTAATGAGGGAAATAAGTATTTGACCCCCTCTCAATCGGAAAGATGTCTGGCTCCCAAGTGTCTTTTATACAGCAATTACCACACTCAATACTGCTAATTAATTACTAAGTAATACTGTATACAATTGCCTGTAAAATAATGATGTGCAATGATCAAATGTACTTTTATGTGGGTATGTAGGTATACTTGGGTAGTTTTTATATATAAAATTTATTGATTATCTTTTATTTTATTTTTATTTCTTGTTTTATTTAAATTTATGAATGATGTACTGACTGGTGAGCACTTTACATTTCGTTGTACTGGTGAAAATGACAATATAGGATCTATCTATCTATCTATACAGGTAACGAGCTGAGATTAGGAGCACACTCTTAAAGGGAGTGCTCCTAATCTCAGCTTGTTACCTGTATAAAAGACACCTGTCCACAGAAGCACTCAATCAATCAGATTCCAAACTCTCCACCATGGCCAAGACCAAAGAGCTCTCCAAGGATGTCAGGGACAAGATTGTAGACCTACACAAGGCTGGAATGGGCTACAAGACCATTGCCAAGCAGCTTGGTGAGAAGGTGACAACAGTTGGTGCGATTATTCGCAAATAGAAGATACACAAAAGAACTGTCAATCTCCCTCGGCCTGGGGCTCCATGCAAGATCTCACCTCGTGGAGTTGTAATGATCATGAGAACGGTGAGGAATCAGCCCAGACTACACGGGAGGATTTCAAGGCAGCTGGGACCATAGTCACCAAGAAAACAATTGGTAACACACTACGCCGTGAAGGACTGAAATCCTGCAGCGCCCGCAAGATCCCCCTGCTCAAGAAAGCACATATACATGCCCATCTGAAATTTGCCAATGAACATCTGAAAGATTCAGAGGATAACTGGGTGAAAGTGTTGTGGTCAGATGAGACCAAAATGGAGCTCTTTGGCATCAACTCAACTCGCCGTGTTTGGAGGAGGAGGAATGCTGCCTATGACCCCAAGAACACCATCCCCACCGTCAAACATGGAGGTGGAAACATTATGCTTTGGGGGTTTTTTTCTGCCAAGGGGACAGGACAACTTCACCGCATCAAAGGGACGATGGATGGGACCATGTACCGTCAAATCTTGGGTGAGAACCTCCTTCCCTCAACCAGGGCATTGAAAATGGGTCGTGGATGGGTATTCCAGCATGACAATGACCCAAAACACACGGCAAGGCAACAAAGGAGTGGCTCAAGAAGAAGTACATTAAGGTCCTGGAGTGGCCTAGCCAGTCTCCAGACCTTAATCCCATAGAAAATCTGTGGAGGGAGCTGAAGGTTCGAGTTGCCAAACATCAGCCTCGAAACCTTAATGACTTGGAGAAGATCTGCAAAGAGGAGTGGGACAAAATCCCTCCTGAGATGTGTCCAAAACCTGGTGGCCAACTACAAGAAACGTCTGACCTCTGTGATTGCCAGCAAGGGTTTTGCCACCAAGTTCTAAGTCATGTTTTGCAGAGGGGTCAAATACTTATTTCCCTCATTAAAATGCAAATCAATTTATAACATTTTTGACATGCGTTTTTCTGGATTTTGTTGTTGTTATTCTGTCTCTCACTGTTCAAATAAACCTACCATTAAAAGTATAGACTGATCATTTCTTTTTCAGTGGGAAAACAGGGGATCAAATACTTTTTTCCCTCACTGTATTACAGGTTTTAAGCTGTGAGGTGCACAGGAAACAGGAGTACAGTTGTTGGTCCCTGCTGCTGCTGCTGCGTGCAGGTGCAGGCGGAGGTGCCGGGCTCCCCCGTGTTTGTGATGAAGCTGGCAAACCACGCACGTCATCTCGAGGTGCAGATCCTGGCGGACGCCTACGGTAATGCCATTTCGCTCTTCGGCCGCGACTGCTCCATCCAGCGGCGCCACCAGAAGATCATCGAGGAGGCGCCCGCCACCGTCGCCCATGCCCACGTCTTCCAGCAGATGGAGCAGGTCAGCTCGTGCGTGGGATCTATTGCAGAGGGGGCTACACATTTCTGGTCATTCGGAAGGACACAATCCATGCAGGTTTTGAAAAGGCCTCATGAAGGTGTAAAGTGAAGCAATCAAGTACTCATTTGGCATGAAGAACAGAAGACAATGCAGTCCTCAAACACCGAAGCTGTCGACCCCTGATCTATAGCCTACAGTAGTTACTATGCATCCATAATATTGTTTTTTTGTGTTAGATTGCGTAATTATAAATGTGTCGTTAAACCCGCCAACATCCAACACAGCCAATTAGTAAGGCTTGTCACGTAAACAGAACGAGTACAGGACACCGGTGTGTTGGAGAGCAAATCCACAACATATACAATCCGAGTACGACGTTTCGCCAGTAATTAGTTGTTACCTGTATTATGGATGATCTTGGTCGCGAAAGCTAACGTGTTAAAGTTATTATGCAGATGCTTATAGATCAACAGTGTCTAATGCTGTGTCTCCAAGAACAGACAATACAGTGACACAGACAATACAATGCAGACAGTACAGACACTAATAGAGACAGTACAGACAAGAAAGACAGCACAGCAGATTGTACAGGTGGAACAAACAGTACAGATGAGAAGACAGAACAGACAAGACAGCACAAAGCAGATCGTAGAAGGCAAGATAGATAGTACAGATGAGACAAACATAATAAGTTAGGCACGACATAAAATACAGATGAGACATTACAAAGCAGACAATACAGTCAGTGAAGATTTAGAAAGTATAGACAAGACAGAAAGTTCAAACAAGATAAAAAAAAATTCACGGTTCTTGAGTTGATTCAAGACCTAAATGGTGGTCAGGCATTAAATCAATGAATTGTTACCTGCCTCTCATCCATCCCCCCCTTGCTTGTTTGTTTGTGTGTATGTGCGTGATGGACGAGCAGTGCGCGGTGCGGCTGGCTAAGATGGTGGGCTACGTGAGCGCCGGCACGGTGGAGTACCTCTACAGCCAGGACGGCAGCTTCCACTTCCTGGAGCTCAACCCTCGCCTCCAGGTGGAACACCCGTGTACTGAGATGGTAGCCGACGTCAACCTGCCGGCCGCTCAACTGCAGGTGAGATTCGTCACTTGACATCTGTGGAAAAAAGCTTTATAGCTCATTGGATTCCTCCAGTATAAATAAATATTCTGATTCTGTCACGTGATCGTGAACACGTCTCTTACGCTCCCTGAACCGTGTACGGCACACACTAAAAGGTAACAGTAAAGGCGCAGCCTTCTGATTGCTTGCACATGCCACTGCCGGCAGAATCGCCTCCGCTATAGGGAGCTCTAAAGAGCACCTTTAGAGTATATTTGGTTTATTCTTCCACACTGGCTTGACAACTTTGCAAAGGTGGTTGTACCCACACTTTACCCCATCAGATGTGACTTGCCAATTGACTAGCTGTGGTGTGCTGCTCAGTGGATAAAGGCACTGGGGATTTTTAAGAAACTTGCCTCATTATGACAATTGCCACGACGGGAGATCGAATCGAACCAGCCATCTCTGCATTACACCATAGCATATCCTCACCGTACTCTGAGCTCCATTTAATAAATTATCATCGATCATCTATCCACTGCCGGATGAAGGCTTTCCTAAACTGTTGTCACACCTTACTGTTATATATCAAATCTTAATACAGCCATTGCCATCGATGCTGTCATGTACGATTAGCATGGTTGGCTATGTACGGTGAAAAAGAAGTTCAAGTACATACATACGTTTCCTTTATTCTGTTAGATTCTAAAGTTGTGAACTCAACACATAAGCCTCCAAGACCTGCTATCAAAAATATTTTGCCACCTGGCTTTATCGGTCTACCTCCTGGGCCACTGACATCTGGGTGCCCTCGTCAATGCTGACAAAACTGTTTCCAATATAAACTTGACCCTGTAATCTTTGCTTGGATTAAAAGAGGTGTTAGAAATAGTTTCCAATTAAAATAAAATAAACCTTATAAAATAAAACAGAAATTGTATCTGAAACACATTCACCCTCTATAAGCCAGGCGTGATATGAAATATACCCCATGTCGTTCGTCCTACATTATGTGCTAACCTTACAGTTGGCATGTGCCCTATTTTACACTGGTTGACATTCTATGTTGATTGGTGGAAGACGAGACAGCACAAGTGAAGTGTGATGGGAGGTGGCCTGGGGCAAAGATACATAGACACGATTGTTGAATCAACCAACTATAATAGACAAGGGTCTGCCTCTCTAAGTAAACATAATATACAGTTTAACCTTTTAGTCGATCAGCCCATTGGTCCACTGGACAATTGTTTTTCCAGCAGCACTTGTACTAGTTGGCAAACTTGCAACATTTTGAGACTCATCGGCATAGTCCAACCCATGAAACACATACTTCAGATGTCACAGTCAAGCCATGCACTAACACTATGGGGCTCACTCAGTACACAGAAAAAAAATGGGCTTTGAGCCATCAGCAGCATAACTGAATTGAACATTGTCATTGTTTGTTGACGGTCACCCATTTTCCGTTGGCATGCGATACACTTGGTTTATTTTTAATGCAAAGGATTTCACAACAACTATGGGGCTGATGACTCCACCTACGCGAGAGCCAATCAGCAGTGGATTCCTCTCCTGTCTAGTATTTACAACGTTTGCCATTTTAAATCAATCAAGATCAAGTTCAAAAGGTAGTAATGGCTGGTGTCATTGAACCTCTTCCTGGCTTCTCACTTGGCTGTAAACGCTGGACCACGGTGAATCGCATTTGGGCATCACATGGTCGATACGCTGGCCTTCGACATTAGTGGAATATAAAATGTTTTCACGTGCGATGGTGGAGTGGAACAAAGAATAGAGCCACATGGTCAACTGCTACCCATCACGACCATCAAATAACAGCACCAAAGCAATCCACGAGCTCACAGGCAACACCGTTAAATGGATAAAGAAGCCGGAGATCAATTATAACATGTGTTGCTGTTCCAAAAATCAGTTACTTATCTCAGCAGTACACCATGTGAAAGATAAAGAAGTGTCTTTCTCTCTGGTGAACAGCATAAGAACTGGATATGATTCTGGTCCCACTTTGATGGATTCATTCCATTACTACTCAAAATTACAATGTCAAGAAAACAAAAAGATTTGTAAAACAACTACAATTATGGTATAAAAGAGATGAGGAGATAGGCTTAAAAATCCATGTTAATGTACCTTCTAACTCATGAGCCTGGAGCAGTGCTCATCTCTATTGGCTGCTATTAGCTAGTGGTAGAATTCATTCCACATTTTTGCGTCAGTATCTCAACAGTAACACTAAGTCATTTTATGGTATTTCTGATTTCCTGTACATTGGAAAGATTGATACAATTATGATCTCACAGTTCAAGTTTTTCCATGATTTATTAGAGAAAGCATAATCTGGGTTATTTTCCTCATTCTATCAGCTTAAATAAAATATTTGTCAGCACCGCAAAAGTAAACAAGTGGTACTGATTTCCTTGTAGGGCTTGTAGGGCCGATACAAAATGTATTGCATGATAAACACACATGAGTGGTATTCATATTCTTGGTTCCTTCGGTAAAGTCACGTAACAATCAGTGGAAGGATTTGATAAACCATTTCGGGTCTTAATTGATTGATCACGCTTAAGGTGGCTTTCAGACCGCATCCATTATTTTTTGTCTCCCCCCTCCTCTTTTCCGAACATAGATGGACTCGTCCATCTGAACAAACTGTCAAATCGCTATCCGTGGTGCTAACGTTAAAAAACCGCCACTTTTTTCAAATTTTCTTGTTGTGGTTTTCACACTTGATGATGATTGCTTGTGTTGCAGTCGAATCGTCGTGAGAATTTTATTGTTTTATATTTTTATTATTTTACTGTATTCCCTTCTACATGACTTTACCGAAAGAACCAAGAATATGAATCCCTGCAGTCACGAAAGCTTTAAATCAAAATTTAATACATGAGTGGGTTTTCACATAATTAACTCTCATTGGCTACATAGAATAATTTGTGCCATGACAGTTATGCTGAGCTGATTCTGTGACACAGTGGTAAGTGCACTGGATTATGAATACAGCAACCTGAGTTTGATTCCCGGGAAAGGCTACATCTGTGTTGGGTGATGTCAGAACTGGTCGTAGGTCTTATTCACAAACCCACACTGACCAACATGGTGAAGTATGCTTAATCAGCCTCAATGACATCCATCAAGCAGTTGATTTATAAAGCTATAAATGATTACTTTTCATGTTTAAATACAAGTCTTCTCAATGCTCAACCAAGTACAAGACAATTATGTACTGCTTTTGTGAACTGAGAAAGAGCTCTTAACAACAACACTGATTTTTATAACGTTTAGTCACCTCAGGTGGTACCAGTTTCTACTCCAACCCATGGGTTAGATATCTCACCCGCTGCCTCTCTGCAGTCTTAACTGCTTGGCTTCGCATGATCCTTCTTGTGTACGAATGCAGATATCGATGGGCATCCCGCTCTACAGGATCAAGGACATCCGCATACTGTACGGGGAGCCTCCCTGGGGAGACGCCCCCATTGATTTTGAGATCCCTCCCCGCACGCCGAGTCCTCGAGGACACGTGATTGCAGCGCGCATCACCAGCGAGAATCCTGATGAGGTGGGTCCATTGCATTTGCTCCCTCCCTTTAGGCTAGCGGTGCAGAACTTATGGGCTATGAGCCGATCACAGCCCGCTACTTCAATTCACATGACCTGCGGTCACATGAGGCCTACTCCTTTGATATGGCCCACAATTTATTATTTATTCATCGTTACAAATATCTTACTACTAGAGGGGAATGTTTTTAGCATGACAGCGTCGTGTTTCTAAATTCAGTTCGCTAGGTCACATAGTGTCTTTTAAGTAGTTCTGAGCACATGGTCAATGTGTGTAATCTGAGCGTGATCACAATTTAGTGACAACTAATATGTGTCTAGCCAAAGGTATTCAAACCCTCAGTAAGCAAAATGCTTCCCACCCTTGGTTTGGTCAATTGTTAATTTAAAGAAGATACGATATCTCTTTTTGGATTTTTCTTCAAATGATATATAAATAAAATTAAATGATAAAATACACTTGAATCATTCTTAAATGACTGCAATGGCTGTGACCTACAAGAAGAGACAAGAAATCCTGATCACAATAATCATTAACAATATAGAATTTCAGAAAAAAGATATAGTACAATATCACTGTTCACCATGTCCCTTCAGGGTCACAGTTGCTCCTTAGGGTCATGTGTCCACTGGGCACCTATCTCATACAGCTGTATTGAGGGCGACACCCCCACCACGCCTGTGCCCCTGCAGCTGTGCGAGCAGTGAGCTTGCTGCTCTTGTTTTGGAACACTGCTATGTGGCGCTGCAACAGCAGAGGGCGGTCAAATCATCGGAGCGGATACTTGACCATCGGATATGCAACATTGGACTGTAATTGTAAAAAAATATATATATATCTTCGTCCGGCAGGGATTCAAGCCGAGCGCGGGCACGGTGCAGGAACTCAATTTCCGCAGCAACAAGAACGTGTGGGGCTACTTCAGCGTGGCGGCAGCAGGCGGCCTGCACGAGTTCGCCGACTCGCAATTCGGCCACTGTTTCTCCTGGGGAGAGAACCGGGAGGAGGCCATATCGTGAGTCGACCATATGCCAGCTCAGTGCCTCAGGGGTGGTAATGGTGGTTGGCAGTACACAGCCACTGTGGGTGCAAATTTGTGTCCGGAAACCCCCAACACATTTTAACCTGTATATTTAGAGTTTCCATGTTGCCACCCAGGGTCGCGCGGATTTTGCTCCATGTCTTCCGGTTTTTCCCTTCACATTTAGAAACATGCGTTTTAGAGAATTTGGTTGCTATTCATTTTCACATGATAAGCCACTTTGTTGAGCTATCATTTGTGGCCAGGTCGCTTCTGAAAAGAGCTATATAGCTCAGTGGGCCTTACCTGGTAAAATGTTTTTTATATATATACACATATGGCTAAGAGACAATGACAACATTTTGGACAAAATAAATATCGTGGCATTTATGAGTTCGTATTTTCTCCCTTCAAAAAGGTGACAAATCCCGACAATGCTGATGACATAACCTTTAAATACACAATAGAATTGAAAAGTAGATTCAGGCCTGAGTAAGTAGCCAATGGTTGCACAGATTTAATATATTTTGATTTAAAGCTTTCGTGACTGCAGTAATTCATATTCTTAGCTCTTTCGGTAAAGTCACGTTGAAGGGAAACAATCAAATATATATAAAACAATCAAAATTCTCAACGTGACTTTACCGAAAGAGCTAAGAATAAGATTTAATATAATTATCTTGCAGTAGTTCCCCCTTTCATGAGTGATGAGGGATGCCAACTTAAAGGATCCTATCTGTAATCTCACCAATGACCACTGGGAACCTTTTGCTCGTAGTACACTCCCCAACTTCCCAAGTGTATCTCTGCCACTGATGGTGGCACATTCTGCCTTTGTTCTCGCCGCGTGTAGAGTTGCCACTCGTACTTAATTATTTGAATATTATATGAAAATGTATTATATGATAATGCTATGCTGATGAAACAATTTGGCTAATGGAACGAACAAGGTTTGCAAGTGAGATGTAAAACATGAGAAACAATACAAATGAGATGGTAAAATTATTACGAAAATAATTGATGCTTGAATCAAATTGTCACCTCAAGGCGATGATTAATTTCATTAAACCACTTAAAATTCGTTTACTCGGGTTTGGAACTTAATTGGTGACCACCCTGATTCTCCTTGTCCATTCTCTGTATGTATGTTGAAATTCTTTCACACCATACGTAGCCAACCGTGCTAATTGTAGGTGGGCCTGACCTCTGTGTGCCGTCCGTGTCTCTGCCGTCTGTGGGATGGGGGGAATATCAGGAACATGGTGGTGGCGCTGAAAGAGCTGTCCATCCGCGGAGATTTCCGCACCACAGTGGAGTACCTCATCAAGTTGTTAGAGACGGAGAGCTTCCACGAGAACACCATTGACACCGGCTGGCTCGACCGTCTCATCTCTGAGAAAGTGCAGGTACAGAACATCAAAATTTCAAGTTTATTTAGTTTAACCAGGTTAGAAGTCAAGAGATGAGGACAGTCTCATTTTAGAGAATGACTTTGGTCAGTAAAATGACAAAAGCAAACAAAACAGAGTATAGCATTAAGTAAAGCAATCAAGACAAAAAACACTGCATCACACAAGGAGTCATATATATTGCAAACACAAATCAATGTTAAATGGAAGCTAAACATGTAATTCCCTGCAGCACAAATCAATCCTGCCAGATTACCTCCAGATTGATCAGAGCACAAATTACAAAATAAGCTCCAGAAACATTAAATATTAAACAGATATAGGTTGACTATCATACTAATATGTAAACTAACAAAGATATATGCTCAAAACCTGTCATGCGAGAGCTTTCTGGCTGTTTTTTTCCTGGCAAAGTTAGTGCTGAGTAATGCATCGCAGGATAGTGAAGGATGGCGACCGTCATCCAAAAAGTACATTTATCCTGGCTGATGATGGTGATGATGATGAGAGTGCCAAGTAGGGGTGTAGCAATGCACGTTGTATGTAATCTGTTCACTATAAAATACATACTTCACTATTGTCGTCCTGTGGAAATAATGTTTGTCTTTGATATTACAACTAAGAAGAGGAAGCAATTCAGCGGTTGTAAAGATGGATGTATGTTTTACTCGGTTTCACTAAAAACGTCGTGTTAAAAAAAAGGTACAAAAAATACAAAATGTGCTTTATTGTGGTGCAGGCAGAAAGACCGAACACGACGCTGGGGATCGTGTCGGGTGCTCTGCATGTGGCCGACGGCTCCTTCCGGAGCAGCATGTCCAATTTCCTGCACTCGCTGGAGAGGTCCATATGACACAATTAAACTACCCCGAGCCTCGCACGCAAAACACGGGACAACCACGTCTATTTGGGCGTGTAGAGCCATGCCCCGTGCCCTATAACCTCTGCCAAATCTCGCCTCCTGCCAAGGCAAGGTGGTACTAACCAGAGATTAATTTCTCACTGAATATTTTTTGGGCTGCTGAGTCTCAAGAATCCTTTTCAGGAGTGACCTGCATTGGGATGTTTGGTCAATTCGCATTTCACATTTTTTCGTTCCGAGACGTCTGCAAGTTCGCAGGGTGGGTCCTGTTCACCGCTGAATCTCAGAACGCGCATGCGGTTAGCGTTCATTTTATTTCTAGAGGCGTAGTGCTGCTGTTTTTAAACACATTGTGCTGTACACACCGCAGAGAACTGTCGCCACACGACCGCACTCCATGATAGGTGGTGCCAAACTGTGCCACACGCCGTCCCGCATGGCCTTTTACTTCAGATTCTATTCGGAATCGATTTCGGAATTGGAAGGAAAGCGAAGCGCTTGGAGAAAACCCACGCATACAAGGGTGTAACATTCATAGGTCCAACAGACGAGTTCACAAAGCTACTTACTCTACTGCCATCTCCTGGCCACCTCACAGCTCAGCAGGTTTGGGGGTTTCATTAAACTATGTGATCCACCTACTCTTGCCTTTATACCACTCTGGATCATCGGCGTGCACCACTTAAATGCCAGAGGAAGCTGTACATTGCTAAATTTTTTTTTAACAAAAATGTATACAAAATCTCAATAAAGGTCTCCAGCATAGATGAATAAACACTGGGCAGAGGTTCAACACGGAAACGTATAAAGCTCGGTACCAGTGCAATCGCGCCTTCCTTTGAAAATACGCATTCGTGTTCAAGCCTAACCGTCATCAGCTCCTATACAAAGAAATCGATCGATTGACTGATGGTTCCTTTAGGATGGTTTACATGACTCCTTTAGTTATGGCCGGGAACGCTGCTGCCTGCTACGACCAGATAATTCGCAGCCTTGCTTTGTTTACGTAAAACACCCACAAGTGATGGAATTAGCCATAAGGGAAATTTCCATTTCCCACGAGGATCTGGGAAATCTTTATTGGTGATATTTTACACACCGCCCACAACCTTACTGGCACGTCCTCGACGCGCTGTCACATGAGAGCACCGGAGAGAAAGATTTACGAGGAATGGCTCAGCAGCAAATGGCGAATTGTTGTGTAGCCAGCAGGCAGTTGTGATTGGTCACTGCTCATGGTGGGGTGGGAGGAGTTGGGGGTCTGGCTTTAAATCCCACACGTTGAGGGATTTCTTTTCAACCGAGTGAAATTTACCCCCTCTAACGACAGGCTTTGTGCAAACAAACAGCTTCACGGAGCAAAATCTTCTCACTCACAACAGACCGCGTGAAACATTATGGACGAGTACTTTATGGTGTAGGTGACTCGTGCAAGTAAATGGAAAAATTATAAAATTAATATTTTATTTATTTTAAAGTATACTTTCATAAATGACCGAATATCAATTCTTAATCTTCTTACACGTAAATCAAATCACACGTGTAATTATATTTATTTTTCAACATTGTTACCTGTAAAGGGTTACCATGACCTCTGCAGCCACTAATGCCTTCACCAAATAGTAAAAAAACAGATTCTTAAATCGAATCGCAATCCTGGGGCAGAGGGGAAATGCATCCTTGCTCCCCAAATATGAATATATCTTTACCTAACAAATCCTCATTGCGTGAATACTCTTGAACGTCTGTTCATTATTGGTAAGCTTGGCCAGTGCTTTATGATTATTTGCATATGACAGAATTTCTGTATACTTGCAAAAAAACTCCACCCATGCTCGAGAAAAACTCTCATGACAGAAGTTAAATGTGGAGGCATTTCACAAGAATACCAGCCTCCTAGCCTAGTCTTACAAGATCTTCGAAGTTGACTGCAAATTACTTGGAATTGGGGCCACAGAGGAGAAGGCATGCTGCTTGCATTAAAGTGGCACTGACAGTGGAAGACACTCTACCCTCTAAGCCATAGCTCATGAAAATGCACCAGCACAGCTCTAGGTGCTAAGCGAAACCCCCTACCGCAAGGAGGCACTGTCATTGGGATGAGCCATTAGAGCCATGGGTCTGTCTGCCCCCTTGGAAATTAAAGATCCCATGGCGCCCTCCAATAAAGAACCCGGGATGTTAACTCCATTCGTCCCGGCTAAAAATCTCACCATGGGTCAATATGATGTCTGGCCAGGCCAAATTCCCCGGTATTGATGATTCCTAAATTACAGCTTTCCCCTGTGAGTAGGGACTAAGAACGTCAATCGACTTGGGGCAGCGTAAGCAAGGTTTAAATAAAACAACGGATGAATTGTTCCGCAGGGGCCAGGTTCTGCCGGCACACACCCTCACCAATTCCGTCAATGTGGAGCTCATCTATGAAGGAATGAAGTACACCCTGAAGGTAAGATTTGGGCTTGACAGCACGCACTGCAGAAGGGGTCCCTTGTTTGATCACTGGGAAGATATTTTCAACTATGGGATGAAGGCCTCCCCAAATCGCCACCGCTACCATCTCTCACGATGTAATATCCACCTAGCATTTGCCCACCGGCTGATTTAATCACTCCATCTTCACAGCAAATTTAGATTAAAACAATCAGCCCTTACCAGAGCATTTTACTTATCAAATACATATACTTTATTATTTCTTTAAATCTCAATTGGTAAACGATCTTGATCATCGTCCCTTCGAGTGATGTGTCCTACTCAAGTCCTTTTCTTAAGAGTAAAAACAAATCTGAAATAATAAATATACATAATTGTAAAAATGTACAGTCTTTTGTCAATCTACTGCTGGATTGGAGGTTTCCACATGCTGTGTCGGTCATGGGGGCTGTTTGACCATACTTTCTCATGCTGGACACCAATGTTGGTTTCGGTTGGGTTCATGGCACAGTGTTAAAACCACTGTGTCACCACTCCACCCTGGCCATTTATCCGCTTGATATTGTTGTCGATGTAATTTTAAGGTGACGCGACAGTCTCCGTCGACGTACGTGGTGACAATGAACAATTCGCACATGGAGGTGGACGTGCATCGCATGAGTGACGGAGGCCTCCTGCTCTCCTACGATGGCAGCAGCCACACAACATACATGAAGGAGGAGGTTGACCGGTGAGGACCGACAGCAGCCTATGCCCACGTGACATAGCCAAGTATTTTCTTTAAAAAAATAAATCCCAATTAAATTTATACATTATTGGGGGATTATTCCCATGGTCTAATGGTTAGCACACTGAACTTGAAATCCAGAGGTCGATGTTTTGATCCGATCTCTTGGCACGACATTTGGAACAATGGACAAGTTTATTAAATCAAAACACGAGTGTAGCAGTAGTAGGTTATTTACCGCCTAGAAGGGGGCTCTGGTGCTTCCTCTAGTGGAGTCCTTTTTTGCCAGGAGTGGCATGATCAATCAATTGCAGGTTTGCACCTTTACCTTTTACATTCTGGGCAGCAGAGAGCAGTGCAGCAATATCCACAGTTGTAGAGTACAACAGTGTTATGCTCCTACATCTATCTGTGTTCCCTGCCTTTACCAACCTGCACTGACCGGCCTGATGAAGTATGGTCAAACAATCCTAACAGCCTGAATGGTGTTGGGTAGGGCCTCAACCCATTGTAGACAAAGGGCTCTACATGTACTGATTACCATTATGCTCCCTTTTATCTATCATATTTAAGACAATCAGACTTATTTAAGGATGCGTTAAGTCTTTGGAAAAGCTATCTTTTACAGACAAATTAATAAATCATTAAGAAGCAGCAATTCTATAACATAAAATTCCGAGCAACAATTGTCGATCTTACCTTCCAGGGTATTGTTTGCATTGCTCACAGGTGAAATTAAGTGCCCAGGGTTTGTCTTGATCCCCGGCAGGCATGCCGAAATATGCCTTGTAGGCCTCACACATCTTAGCAGATGCTTCCACAGACTACTTTTTCACTCTTGTCTTGATAAATTGGCCGCAGACATAGCAAAATGCATCTGCCGGATGTTTGCAGCCTCTTGATGCCATCTCAGAAAAATGTGTATCCACTTTCGCAGCTGGAACTAAACTGAACTGGTGGACTTAAGGCCCCTGTATTTATACTACTATTTATATTGCTGGAAAGTTCTAGAATGTTGGAGAAGTTACTCCAAGTTTACTCAGCACTGAATCTATCTGTAATGTTCTGGAAATAGGTAAATTTCTAAATATTACTGTTCTGGTCACAAAAGCAAAGTTTGTGGGGAATAATCGCCATTTTTTATACTTTTTAGGCATAAGCAATTACGAAATAACACTACCCAGGAACAAAAATTATGTTACATCGTGTTATCATTTTGACTTAAAACTTTCGTGACTGCAGGAATTCATATTCTTTTGGTTCTTTCTGTAAAGTCATGTAGATAGAAAATAATAAAAGGACCAAAGAATATCGCGTTATCAGTTTTGTTTCAAAGTATTTGGCAGTGTCTTAGAGGCCGACCGAAACTGAATTTCCGGTTTTGGCCGAAAACGAAACCAGACCGAAAGTAAAAAAGTAAAAAATTTACTTTCGGCCGAAACCAAAACTATGCCGAAAGAGGCCATTTGCCAACTTTCGACGCCGCAACCGAAACCGAATTTCGGTCAGCCTCTAGTGTCTGTACTGTAACACAAGCTTTGCTCACTCTTGCTAATAAACCAGACTAGGTGACCTGGCCTTTACAATGGCCTCGACCGAGCAGGCTTGGCCTTGTGGCTTCAGACCAGGGCCATGGCCTCAAGACTTTTAATTCCTACCTTGGCCTCGTGGGTTGCGACCTTGAATCCGATGCCATCAGTGACTCTCCACGATGCCGTGGCTAAGCCTACGTCCTGCCCACTCGCTGCACTCAGGTACCGGCTAACGATCGGCAACAAGACCTGCGTGTTTGAGAAGGAGAATGATCCGTCGATCCTGCGGGCGCCATCGGCTGGCAAGCTCATCCAGTACATGGTGGAGGATGGTGGACATGTGTTCGTGGGTCAGTGCTATGCTGAGATTGAGGTAAGTGTGTTCGAAATAGATACATCATGAATCAAACATGACAGTTATCATCATCGTTATCATCAACCATGATCTGTCCACTACGAGATGAAATCCTCCGCAAGCCGTTGCCATCTCTCACAGTTTTGCGATGCAACAATCCATCTAACTACTGCACACAAGCTGATTTCATCGCTCCAATTAAGCCCATAGTCCTAGTTACCCGTAATTTTTTATTGCAAGCACAGATGCAGATGGAACAACAACAGTGGTCTTAGAGGTGAACTTTATGATGATGTAAACAAAACGTTTGCTTGAGAAACCTAGATTGATAAAGGAGTTGCCTACAATTTCTCACAATAATTTATTTTAATTTGGAGTGTAATTTATCTCAATATATTTCTCAAATTCAAATGTTTTAGTAGCAATTTGTATATTGCTGAAAGCAGTTTGATAGCAGCACCATGTCTTCACCTTCTTCATCACATTCCTATTATCTTCCCCCAATGCCCGGCCGTCCCCTTTCCTCACGTTCCTACGGCACAGGTAATGAAGATGGTGATGAGTATGGTGGTGAACGAGTCTGGCTGTGTGCACTACGTCAAGCGTCCCGGCGCTGTGCTCGAGCCTGGCTGTGTGGTGGCGAAGCTGCAGTTGGACGACCCAACGCGAGTCAAGCAGGTGAGCGCCATGTGCTGACGAGCCTCCCGTGGATGCTGCCGATTGCCTCACCAAGCCCCACTTCTGCCCTTGGTTGATGCCGAGTGGGAGACCGATTGCAGGAATGCCGCATTGATGTTAGTTCGTGGCAACAAAGCTGTACTCAACAATCTCCTGGGCAGCACCTCTGAAATCCTGGAATTGGAATACAGGCAGTAGCCACTGATTGAACCGAGTACCTCAAGTGTCGCGATCTCAGCCTGGTCACCAATGACTGCGCTAAGAAAATGTCACGTTAAATTTGGTAATGCACTTAATTTGGTTTAATTCCAGCTCTAAGAATGAAGAATATTGATTAGACTGTCATGCGACATTTTACTGTCAGTGGCAGCGCTGGTGGGAAAGTGCTGCCCTTTGTTATGTGGACCAGAGATCACTTGAAGAGATCTCAGGTAGCTCTGTGATATCCACTGATAGCACCATCGGGATAAGCTTTGGAGAATATGGCAATAAAATGAACAAAAGCATGTTCTCAAGAGTGGTGTAGAATTTTTACATGCCTTCTCTGTAGTAACGTTGTGAGTGCTGATTGACTGTCACCCTGCCCTTCTCCCCCTTTGCCCCACCTTGGTCACCACCACACCCCTTAGGCGGAGTTATACACGGACGTACTGCCCCCGCAACTCATGCCACTGTTGCACGGCGAGAAGCTGCACCAGGTGTTTCACCTGGTGCTGGACACTCTCTACCACGTTATGAATGGATACTGCCTCCCCGAGCCCTTCTTTAGCACCAAGGTATGGTCACTGTGGAGTCTTTTGTGGGGGTCTTACCGTTACATTAGTACGGCGACGTGGGTTGTGGCTGGTGATGGTGGGTCTTTGGTAGTGGTTGGTGGTGGTGGATGGTGGTGGGTTGGGATGGTAGTGATGTTCTGATTTAAAGCTTTCGTGACTGCAGAATCCATACTCTTTGGTTCTTTCGGTAAGTCACGTAGGTAGAAATAAAACAAAAGAAATCACGACGTTTCGATAGCAACACAAGCTGATAGCAACACAAGCCAGCGTCTTCTAAAGACGATGGCTTGTGTTGCTATCGAAACGTCGTGATTTATTTTGTTTTATTTCTACCTACGTGACTTACCGAAAGAACCAAGGAGTATGGTAGTGATGGTTGGGTTGGGTGTTGGGATGGGGCTGTGGTTGGTGCTCATTGGGTGGGTTGTGGTTGGTGATGGTGATTGTGGTTGGTGACGGGATGCAACGTCACATTATCTTCCACTTCACCCGTCCTTGCTGTTCACCTGTTTCGACTGTTTCTCCCCTTATCGGCGCAGATGAAAGGCTGGGTGGAGCAGCTGATGAAGACTCTGCGGGACCCGTCGCTACCGCTGCTGGAGCTGCAGGACCTGATGACGAGCGTGTCGGGGCGCGTGCCGCCCTCCGTGGAGAAGGCCATCCGCAAGGAGATGGCGCAGTATGCCAGCAATATCACATCAGTGCTCTGCCAATTCCCCAGCCAGCAGGTGGGTGGGGGCACACAACTTGGGAATCGTATTATCAGTAGCAGAAGTAGCAACAGCCATGGTCAATCCACTGCTGAATGAAGCATTCACAAGCCACTGCGATCTCTCACAATGCTGCGCTGTAAAATTCCACCTTGCACCTGCACACAAAATTATTTCACGACTCCATCTCATGTTTAGAGGGTGGTTCGTGAACCATTTGTGCCACCATGCCAAACTTACTATCGCTGCACTCACTGAAAAATCAATTGAAGAAGGCCACGGATGTCCACAGTCAGTGGGCATGGAGATGATGGGAAAAATTATTTCTTCTTAACACCTCTCTGAGTCATGTCTGTTGACATCTGGAAATCTGCCGCGCAGACAGCGTGCAATATTGCAAATGCATGTGAATTTGTAGACAAGAACATCAAACAGCTAGAAAACTGTCTATGGGTGTGTGTCTTTGTCCAAACAAGCACTAGCTGATGCTTATCTCCAGTGGTGCTTCCTGAGCTAGTGGTGGAAATTCGGTGTTCCTATGGCAGGAACCATTTTCTTTGTACAACCGCTTTGGAAATACAAAGATAGTGGTACACATTTGATTGACCCTGGAGATGAAAAGATAGAATGAAACCCAACCTGGATGTGAAATCACAACCTTCTGCCTTCGAGTCAAGCCTTCTGCCACAGTGGCACACGGCCAGATAGGAATATTGTGTGGCAAATCTCCTGTGTGATTATTGATCCAAACACCAGGGCTCTCTGTTGTTCTCCTTGCTCCTTCCTCCCCAGCCCTTTAAACTGACTCGCATAAACAAACGCCTGTTGATTACATATGAGCATGTTTACTGTTTGAGCATTTTGTACTCAAGTTTCTTCATTGGCCCATTCTCACGCAGACTTTATAAATGTCTCGGTGTGCAAGTGCCCGGATCAAAAGGGCACTAAGCCCTTTTAGAAACATTTGTGTCATTAAAGGCAAAAAATACACGAGGACAGTGTTAGGGCAATTGTTTCTAACAACTGTCATCGTAGAAATTTATTAGGAGCAACTATGCCGATGACCAAATAGCCCAGATTCCACCCACAAATATAAAACTTTATTTAAATATTTTATCTGGATAATCCCTTGAGATGGAACATCTCACAGCAAGGGTGTACATCGTGTCAAGTGACATATACATATCATATTAAACATAATTAACGATTATTTGGTGATGCTGCATTGGCAGTGGTGCACAAGCACAATCAACAAAACAATTCGGCACAGGTTTCAGGAACACTGGCTTAAAAAGACAACACATATAAGAGGTGACGTTTCAGGCAATGGCCCTTCATATCACATAAAATATAACATCCAGACTTTTTAAAATCTACACCTTATACTTGTTACATGTTGGAAACAAGCAGGGTCGAGTCTAGATAGTGTTTTAATGGATGACCACCATGCATATGTGTTCATAGGCTGCTGTGCGACTACGTTGGGGGGATCAGATGATAGTATCACAAACTCCATTATTGCACAGTACTATACTCCCATGCCAATGATGCCCACCTTCACGAACCTGCACTGACCAGCATTTTGAAGTATGGCCAAATAATCCCCATGACTTGGCATGGAGAGGCCCTGATAGACCAGGAGATGATAAAAAGGTTGTACATGCAAGAGACCAGATGACTCAATGAGCCATTCTGTCTACAGCAAAGCAACCCATACTGATGCCTACCTTAAACCTGACTCCCACCACCATCCATCCCAGAAGAATTCCCTCATCAAAACTCTACTCCATAGAACTCGATGCATCTCCGCTCGCCAGTGAACTCAAATACGTGCACCAAGCTCTCAAGGCGAATGGATATTCTGACTACACAATCCACAAAGCCATCACCCCAAACGAGAGGAAGGAGCCATCTGAGGATCCAATCAAAACCATCACCTTGCCATACATAGGGATCACCAAAAATATTTCCAAAATCATGAACAAACACAAGATCCGGGTTCGATTTAACACAGTACATACAATTCGTGATCTGATCCCATCTGTGAAGGACAGGATCCCTGACATGCAATATCCTGGTGTCTACAAATTAAGCTGTGTCTGCGGCAGCAGTTACATTGGGGAAACTAAGCGACATGCCTCGGACCATGTTCGTGAGCATAAGGCAGATTTGAAACAAGGTAGGACCAACACTTCTGCCGTGGCTGATCATTATTTTAATGCGGTTGGCTCACACGAAATTGATTTCGCTAAGACGATGGTACTTTGCAAGCCCACTGGCTATCAACAAAGATTCATTCATGAAGCCATCCTTATATACAGACACAGACACAATTTCAACCGAGATGATGGGTAAAATCTCAGCAATCATTGGAAGGATGTCATCAACCACTTTAAGTCATAACTGGTTGTGATATTTTCTCCTTGTAGGCTTTCGTCCCTATCCTGTCACCTTCTGGGCCTCACCTTGGTGGTGTCTGACCCCATGGCACATATGTCCCGCCCACTTCGTTCTGTTACCGGGACACTTGTGCCACATCTGTAGGCGCAGCTTTCTTGTACCAAAAAATAATCTACGCCTTAACCTGTGGGAGCAATAAGTCTGACACGTGTTTGACGTGTCTTAAATAAAAAAAAAACTGTTTCTTGATTTCTTAGTTGCACAAAACGAACTATTTCCAAAGTTACATCTCGTCTGTCCACTTTATCACGTTATCACACAGTCAAAGACTGTGTCCACTCGCTCCTGCCTGGCTCTTCTCCTGGCTTCCCTTTTATACTATCAGACGGTAATTTATAAACCAACGGAGTGTCTAACCAAAGGGGTGTTCTAAACAATCTTCAACAAATGTATGACAGATGTTCATCAAATGTTTACACAGAAATAATACATTCACTTTCTGTCTTATGGCTCCAACAGTGCCCCTTTTTTAAACCGTTAAAAGCAGCTTGCCTTCGGTGGCTTTACCCCCCCCCCCCCCCCTTTTTCCTCCTGATGACGATCGCTTGTGTTGTGATCGAAACGTCGTAAGTTTTATTTTTGTTTTATTTACTTTTATTTTTTATATCTACGTGACTTTACTGAAATAACCAAGAGCAAGAATATGTTATACATACACTTGAGCAACTATAGCACCTTGGTACAACAATGGCATAAAGTGTTGGCTGGGATATGAAAACTGAGTTTGTTGAACAGTCAATTGGTCTTCAGAGTACACAACCTCGGGCAGTCATGTGACCTCTGTATGTTATATGATAAAAATTTGCCATCCTGGTTGCTTATGATAGGCACGAGCAATCTGATTTTTCCAGATTTGAGCAACTAGATTTTTCACAATGAAAAATGGTGTGGCAACTGTTGCCAATGATGATTGCCAGAGTTAGCTGGCATAGATTTGCTCTCATCTATTTAGACTCTCTGGCAAGTGCTATGACCTACACGTGTTTAAATGTTTAGTTCTTAATACTGTAGTTTTATTTTGGAACCACTAGGTGGCTTACTAACTCCACTCATCCAGCACACAGATAACAGACAGTGACAAAACCACAGTTCATTTATAAAAAAAAACTATACATGCTGAGATGAAATATATTTATGCCATATAGCACAATGGGAACATTATTTATTTATTATATAATGTTTTAAGATGGTATTTTGTCTCTGCCTGAATGTATTTTTGTTCCAACGTAATAATTAACGTTGACTGAAAAGGATACGGGCTGGTTTTACGGTCCGTGCAGATTAATGCAAACTGATTTATGTTCCCATAATTTATAAGCCTAGTTCGTAGTTAATATATGCATGGTAATTGTACGGTGAATTGTTTTACCTGTTATTTATCTTATGACTACATTTAAAATTTACTATTATTGCCTTTTCTGTATTGATGCCTGTATGTTTATTCCACTTAATAGAACATACTCACAAGTGTGACATTGTTATAACAAGCCCACATCTTCTAATGGGACGCAAAGGGATGAAACTAATCCATAGTGTTCTTCTTTTAACAATACTGCTGAATGATATTGGTCCCGAGAGCACATACTCTGCTATACTTTTTTGGAAAGATAGTTTGATGTCTCATTTTATAAACGGAGGGCTTGTTATTTAAATGTAATAATGAATTAATGATACAAATTTCAGCCCATATAAGAGCCCTTTGGAAATGTTTCATGTGAATGCAAGTTTAAAACTGGGCGTGAATATTAAAAGAAGATTATGACCAAATATGTGGCACCAAGAACTTGGAAAAAAGTGTGAATAATATTAAGTCTTCAATAAAATAAAATAAAAATCAGCCCAGACAATCCAAACAAAACAAATGGTGAAATTAATGTAGTCAATAAGCGTGGCATTCATAAAAAAATATCTGCTTCAGATAAATATTCTACGTTTACTAAACGTTATTAGTACTGCTCATAAATAGAGCAATTGAATATCCATTCATAAAGGCATCACATTTATTTAGAATATTCTAGCCAATAGAATCATAATTTGTACTGCTCCCTAATGTCTTTCGGGTTGTGCCACGTGTTGTTCGGCATGATGCCCGAGACGTTTCTCTGCACGTTCTGGAAGCTGCTTCAGCATGCGGAGCGAAATGTCATACAACACGTGGTACAATGAGAAAGCACATCGGAGAGCTTCACAGCACAATCATGAAAACCTACGCAGTAGTTAATAATGGTTACTGTTACGATTTTCTTTCCTTGCAGATCGCCAATATCCTTGACAGCCACGCAGCAACATTGCAGCGGAAATCTGAGCGAGAGGTCTTCTTCATGAACACGCAGACCATCGTTCAGCTTGTGCAGAGGTTTGTTCCCAATAAAAAACAAGCTAACAAATCCAGTCCCTTAAAGGAGCTTTTAGTTTGTTTGGGCATTAAACTGTATAAAGAATGTTTGTTCCTTCACCCACGTGATCACAATCCATGTGTGCTAATTGCGCTGGCAGGTAGGTTTTGTGAAAATACAAAATGTTTTTTTGAAAGTAAAGTGTTGCCAATCTTGGCGATGGCAATTATGTGGCTCTGAGGTAGAGCAAGCGGCTCACAATTGTAAGGTTGCTAGTTAAAAGCCTGGTGAGGGTTAGCACAGCCCATTCTTTATTCAGAATTGGTACCACCTTGCGTGAGAGGCACTAGTGGTTGTCCTATGGATAGAATATCCCCTGCCGGAGGAATGTGGAATTTCACCACTGGCTCGGCTATAAAAAGGAAATAAACACTGCCTCAATTATCGTTTGAGCAAGAAATCACTTTGGCTTTTTTTATCTTGCCCAAAATTATACACAGCTTGTCATTTGTATTAGTAAGCTGCATAGTTTTTAGCGATTGGTATATGGGTTTTGTAGATTCATCAAAACACATGAACTTTCTTTCACCAAACCTACACATGGACGTAATGATATTTCCTTTACATAGCAAGCAATAAGGAGCCTATTGGTTCTCATTAAATAACCTATATGTACTTGGATGCCAAATTGTGGCAAGCAGTTGCATGCCCATTGGTAAGTGGAAATTGGTGTGCAGCTGTTCTCAGCCCAAAATGAATAATATATAGTGCTGTGTGTGTTGACATCAGTGCTGGCCTCCAGCATTTATTCACGTGGCTGCCAGTCTTAAAGCTGCTTTCTAAAAACACTTGCCCTTCAGTTTATACGAATAATTGTGGCTCTTTATCAAGGGCACCCTTTTTGCCAGTATCAAGATGATGAAAAAAGAAAATGCTTTACCTCTTTATGACAATTATACAAGTGTTAAGATGTTCAAACACCAAAATAGACACCTATTACAAGGCATCAAGTCTGCATTAACGACACATACTTGTGGTAAAACATACAAACATATGCTTTGATAATGTAGGCATTCGTCTTAAAACTGATTGACCTCCACCAGACAACCTCTTTTATTGCTTTGTCTCACCAGTGCTAGACCAAAAAACGTCAAAAGGTGAACGGTGCAAGGCCGATGCAAATGCCAACGCATAAATTGTTCGGGTTAAGCAGTTATTTGGCTACAACTAAATTTGGATCTTATTGAAATATTTTTTTCAATAATTGTGGGCAGTGTTCAGGAGTCTTAAATGGCCTCTGATGGCATTTCCTACGTAAATAAAAACTGTGAAATCAAATGCTTTCAAATAAAGCAGGTGAGAGCTCATTGAAACAAAATGCCTCTTATAAGGTGACCCTAGGGATACATAGGAGGTGTAAATATAGCAATACCACTGCACGCTAACATCGGCATTCTATCGTCATACAATAACAGTATTGGACAGTTTTCCCCTGACTGACCCGTAACTGGGATGGAGTGGTATCGTAGTGGTTAACGCGCTGCTCTACGGACCAGCTAATATCAGTGGTGAGTGATATCTGAATCGGTCTTTGGCCCCTCCTTTTCACCAATCCGCACTGACCAGTATTTCCAAACAACTTACACGCAGAGGCCCTCATTCACCAGTGCATTGACAAAGGGCTGAGTTTTTTTTTACACGTTCATTGGTGACCAGACTGAGACCATCAATTCACCACACCTGAGACCCCGGTCAAATCAAATGTGTCTTTGATTCCTGAGCAACCTGGCCACCCCGATTTATTGTTATTTGTCTAATTTCTCTGTCTCTCGCAGATATCGCAGTGGTATCCGGGGACACATGAAGTCCGTGGTGCTGGATCTGCTCCGCCAGTACCTCCGTGTTGAGACGCAGTTTCAAAATGGTCAGTTATCAACATGGAAACATGTACATTATTACCTTTTCAATATTTGCAGCATGTTAAGAATCTTGAGTGTATTGAGATTCAGACTTTTGAGGAGCAAAAAATAATCCTTATGGAGAAGGAGAAAAGGCTGTAATGTTTTGGACATGTAACAAAAATAAAAATGGACAATACCATATTTATTCTTGGTTCTTTCGGTAAAGTCACGTAGAAGGGAAACAATAAAATAAGAAAAAATATTTACCTACATGACTTTACCGAATAGAACCAAAGAGTATGGATCCTTGCAGTCACCAAAGCTTCAAATCTAGAATTTTTTTTTTTATTGTTTCCCTTTTACGTGACTTTACCGAAAGAATCAAGAATATGAATCCCTGCAGTCACGAAAGCTTTAAATAAAAAATACCATATTTAGTAAAACAGAGGTAAATACTCAATTGCCAACTTATATATTGATATGGCTTAAGTGAAATTAGTCAATTGCAGTTATTGGCGTCCTAGCATAATTATTTTATTGTAATTTATTACGCTTGTGCACCAAGCTCATTTGGAATGAACATCAGTCAACCACTCATAACACTGACTCGCCAAACACATTAAATGTACATGTAATTAATCAATTAATGTCTAATAACATACATACTAAACGCCCCCGCCTCTCTCCCCCCAATTTTTTTGGTCAATTATCTGACTTGTCTTGGTCACTTAATGTGAATATATTACAGAATACAAAACTGCATCTTAAAAAAAACTTTTGTCATTAATTACTCATTGACGGACACTATTATAGCACTAACTCAGTCTTATGGCTGCTTACATTGTTTTGAACAGACGTGTTAAATTACTCGCGAACATTTTGGTCGCCCGAAAAGCTAATTATCTACATAAATGGAAGCTACACTGCTGCCATTCTTTTCTCTCCATTTCGGATACTTTACATGTGTCTATTTTTTATATATATTTTTACCGTAAGGTAGCAGAGGACATGCTAAGATTAGTCTATAATTATCTGGTTTCATCTTTAACCCTTACCTTGCCATCACCACCTTCTTACTTAGCTCAAAAACGTCAGTTTGCTCTGCAAACTTTACTGCAGTGTGTTTTATATATATCTATTTTCTTTTATCCTTTCAACAATTCCAGAAGACAAATGGAGAGTCAGTTTTAGTAAGCCGGCTCAATGCATGGTTGAAGGTTATGGTGACATAAATATGCGTGTCGCGTGCATGTGCGTATGCGTGCATGTGTAACAGTGGCAGCGGGTAATGGGATGCCTTTGCAGGAAAAACAAATGAAAATAAAACATGTGCAAACGTGCAGCCGGTGCGATGCGGGTTATCGGTTGGCCCGCCTGGGTTAGGGAGCTCATCAGTGCCAGGGTTAATGGCTCCACATTGAGCTGTAAAAACCTGTAGGGGTCTGTTCCTAGTGGAACTGAAGCTAAATTAGAATTCCGTTTAACGTTTTAGCATCGCAGCACCTTTGAGCTAGACCTGGTGCAATTTTTCCCAAATGGATTTTCAAAGATTGCTTAAATTAAAATTGAGAAAATAGAAAAAGAGAGGCGGTATGTGTGTGGCGGGGTGATGGGAGAGGGAAAAAACGTGCTTTTACCGTTTTCTTTCTTTTACATTTTCTTAAGCAACACTTTGAGATTGTGTGAAACTTTGAAGGGTGTTTATTTAATTTTTTATCTACAGTTCAAAATCGAATGATGAACGTGTGTGATTTTGAGCAATGATATTCAAGTGATGGGATTTGTTTCAACTCCTATTTGAAATACGTGTGAATTAATGATTACAATGGTTCTTTATGCGAGAAAGTTTAAACTGAGTCTTAAGACTCCTTTTCACGAGTAACTTGCTTTAAATGTTTGTCCATGTACCCATAGATAGCTCATGCAAAAAGAGGGTATCACTCAATAAGCAACATACTTGATGTACTACATCTCCTTATTTATGTTTCTTGGAAGTGGTTATTTCATGCAGGCTTCATATCATGTCTGTTTTGCCACCCCTACCTCAAATATAGTCATAAAGCAAATTACTTTATTATTCCTTGTATTGTGCTTTTAGGAAATGTAATGATAGTTATGAATTTCATCAATACATTGCTGGATAAAGGCCTCCCCATGTCGTGTTGGTCTTGAGGGCTATTTCACCATTTTTCACCATGTTGACCAGTGCGGTTTAATGATGGGAGGAGACCCATGACTGGTTCGAATATTACTCACTGTTGATTTTAGTCATGGCCAGAAATAGAACTCAGCTGGCTCATTGTGCAGTGCACAAACTACTGTGCCAGAGCTCTGCCACCTAGATTGTGCTTCTGTTGAGCGTTAATGTTCAGGAGACATCACCTGCAAGTCGTTGTCTGCGTGTTTCAGTGCTGTATTCACTGCCTGGGAATAAATAAGACAGAGTGGCTTGAAAGTCCAGAGATGAGAATGCTCAGATGATTGTTGGAAGTATATATAAGGAAAAGGAGGCAGAATGAATAAGTTAGACCATTCGCACATGTTAATAATATTCCTGACAAGACAAGGGAGTGAAGACTTAAATGGTTTGACTGTGTGTTGAGAAGAAACAAACAATATGCAATTAGAAGTGCTACGGAGGTGTCACCATTGCAGCACAGATAGAAAAGAGGGAGACTGAGGGTGAGATGGAAGGATGTGGTGAAATGAGATATGAGTACAGAGGATGCGACTTGAGAAGAGCCACAGCATAGAAGTATATGGAGAACGAAAACCCGATCGGTCACCGCCATGAAATAATGGGACTTTTGGCTATGAATAAGATTAACTTTTTTTGTGTTTCACTGTTGAATTCAGTCTGTTATATTCATTATCGGTGTGTCTCAGTGTTGCATTAATTGTCCATGCGTTAAATCGCTGTACGGCTTGCCGTTGTCGTTTGTATGTATGTACAGTGAGGGAAAAAAGTATTTGATCCCCTGCTGATTTTGTACGTTTGCCCACTGACAAAGAAATGATCAGTCTATCATTTTAATGGTAGGTTTATTTGAACAGTGAGAAACATAATAACACCAAAAAAATCCAGAAAAACGCATGTCAAAAATGTTATAAATTGATTTGCATTTTAATGAGGGAAATAACTATTTGACCCCCTCTCAATCAGACAGATTTCTGGCTCCCAGGTGTCTTTTATACAGGTAACGAGCTGAGATTAGGAGCACACTCTTAAAGGGAGTGCTCCTAATCTCAGCTTGTTACCTGTATAAAAGACACCTGTCCACAGAAGCAATCAATCAATCAGATTCCAAACTCTCAACCATGGCCAAGACCAAAGAGCTCTCCAAGGATGTCAGGGACAAGATTGTAGACCTACACAAGGCTGAAATGGGATACAAGACCATTTCCAAGCAGCTTGGTGAGAAGGTGACAACAGTTGGTGCGATTATTCGCAAATGGAAGAAACACAAAAGAACTGTCAATCTCCCTCGGCCTGGGGCTCCATGCAAGATCTCACCTCGTGGAGTTGCAATGATCATGATAACGGTGAGGAATCAGCCCAGAACTACACGGGAGGATCTTGTCAATTATCTCAAGGAAGCTGGGACCATAGTCACCAAGAAAAGAATTGGTAACACACTACACCGTGAAGGACTGAAATCCTGCAGCGCCCGCAAGGTCCTCCTGCTCAAGAAAGCACATATACATGCCCGTCTGAAGTTTGCCAATGAACATCTGAATGATTCAGAGGACAACTGGGTGAAAGTGTTGTGGTCAGATGAGACCAAAATGGAGCTCTTTGGTATCAACTCAACTCGCCGTGTTTGGAGGAGGAGGAATGTTGCCTATGACCTAAAGAACACCATCCCCACCGTCAAACATGGAGGTGGAAACATTATGCTTTGGGGGTGTTTTTCTGCTAAGGGGACAGGACAACTTCACCGCATCAAAGGGACGATGGACGGGGCCATGTACCGTCAAATCTTGGGTGAGAACCTCCTTCCCTCAGCCAGGGCATTGAAAATGGGTCGTGGATGGGTATTCCAGCATGACAATGACCCAAAACACACGGCCAAGGAAACAAAGGAGTGGCTCAAGAAGAAGCACATTAAGGTCCTGGAGTGGCCTAGCCAGTCTCCAGACCTTAATCCCATAGAAAATCTGTGGAGGGAGCTGAAGGTTCGAGTTGCCAAACGTCAGCCTTGAAACCTTAATGACTTGGAGAAGATCTGCAAAGAGGAGTGGGACAAAATCCCTCCTGAGATGTGTGCAAACCTGGTGGCCAACTACAAGAAACGTCTGACCTCTGTGATTGCCAACAAGGGTTTTGCCACCAAGTACTAAGTCATGTTTTGCAGAGGGGTCAAATACTTATTTCCCTCATTAAAATGCAAATCAATTTATAACATTTTTGACATGCGTTTTTCTGGATTTTTTTTGTTATTCTGTCTCTCACTGTTCAAATAAACCTACCATTAAAATTATAGACTGATCATTTCTTTGTCAGTGGGCAAACGTACAAAATCAGCAGGAGATCAAATACTTTTTTCCCTCACTGTATGTATGTTGAAATTATTTTGCACCATACGTAGCCAACCGTTCAAGCACCAAATCTTGCCGTATGGCTGTCTCACGTGGGGTTTGTGCTCTGTGCTCTCTTGTCGATGGGCCATCTTGTTCGCTCACTCCGTGCTGACGGTCAAGGGCACTACGACAAGTGCGTGATCGCTCTGCGAGAGAACCACAAGGGCGATATGACCACGGTCGTCCACTACATCTTCTCGCATGCCCACGTTGCCAAGAAGAACGCTCTCGTCATCATGCTCATCGTAAGGCTGCTTTGCCCGAGTGTGCGCATACACACGTAGGTCATGCTAGTTTTGATAACAGAGATTTAAAGTCATTAGAGCCAGATGTTCGTCTTTAATATAAAAATACGGTTTAATATATCATGCGCTTGAACATTTTCTTCACTGTTGGTGATGGAGATATCAGAACATTTTCCAACGATATGTGAATTGGACCCAAAGTGTCTCCCTGTTCTTGAGCATGGGGCAGTGCTCATTTCCATGGGCGGGAATGAAAATTCTAGTCACGGTAATGCCACCACATTGTGTGGACCAGTTTAACCCATGTGAAAACCACCACTACTGACAGTCCACAGATTTCGCCGATGTTTGTTCGGAATGTGCTGTGTGTTGTTGGGCATGATGTCCGACATTTCATTCCACGTGATGGGAGCTTCTTCAAAACTGAGTTCTGCTAAAACACATCAAAGAGCTATTCGGCACAACTGTGAAAACCTACACAACCGCCTCTAAAGCACTACTCATTTTATCAACCCAGGAGATAATGAGCTAAAACGACCTCCAACCGGGATTTGAACTTGTCACCTTACGCTTGTGAGTAGAGTTTTCTGCCTCAACACATTTGTTTACCCAGGAAAGTCAGGTGGTACTAATAAGGAGTCTAACCAGAGCTTAATTTTATACTTAATATTTTCAGGTAACTGTGTCTCCAGACTCTTTTTTTTACAAAGGTTCTGCATTGGGATGTTAGACCAATATCATTAATATGTTGGTTGTGTTGGAGGAAACCAAGAATAACCTGGATAAAATCCCGACATCAAAGGGGATTAAAAAAAATCTAAATCCTTAGTCACATTATGTTTCAACAAGTAGTGCTTATTAGTTTTGTAAATAAAACAAAACATTCACAAAAAAGTACTTGGTTACTTTTCAAGGTATTCGAATTAAGCGTGTTATGGTTTTGTTGGACTTAATCTTTGTTGGACTTAATCTCTAACATATTTTGCAATGGACGTACTTACAGAAGTGCTAGACACTCCATTCGCATTCTAAATGCATCTAAAAAGATGTGACAATCTGGAAGCTTCTGCACTTAGGTACATTTTTGGCAAACACAAGAGAAACTCACCAACACCGTCATAAAACCACTTCTTGAGTCTGTTTCAGGCTTCCACCCATGAGTGTATAGAATATAGTCTGTCTCAGGAATCTCCATTAGAATGTTTGACCAATTCCCTAAATAGTATTTTTATATACAAGGTAAAGGTGTATCCCTGAAATTTCTTGTTCACACCTTTTCTAGTGGAAATGGGCTCCACAAGAGGGAGCTCTATGGAGCCCTTCCAGAAAATATTTTAGCAAATCTTCCACACAAAGCCAGACGTCTTGGAAGAGGTGGGAGTACCCTAGCACACGCGACCTGCTGATTAACTAACGGTGGTGAATCCATTTCGACTGCTGGGTGGACAGAGGTGGGGATATTTAAGAAATCTGCCAATTATTTCAATTTCCATGCCAGATCTAATGTGCTAATCATTGTAGTGTCTCCTTTCTGCTTCTTATGAGTCGAAGTAAAGGACCCCTTCGTTCTTGCGACAACACATTTGCAATATTAAAACACGACTGGGAAAAGTAGCGCCGCGTAATATTTTATTCAGTTTTTTTTTGTGCCGTTCCTCACGGAAGATCTCACATCAGCCGTGGCCGATGGATTTAACTTAATAACCTGGAACAGCTCCTGATCAGTAGGCGGGCCACCTGACGTGCGCTTCCCACGATAGAAAAAAAGAAAAAACAGAGAGCAAGTGAGAGAGCGGGAAATTCGGGGCAGGCGCATCTGGCCGACCCGCGACTGGGGATCGGGTTAATCGCTGCACGTCCCTGACGATTAGCGTGCCCCGTTTAAACGCATTAACCCCCGTGCACAGACACACACGTGTGCACGCACACACTGTGGTGGATGCTTTGGGCGACACGGCCGCTGAGAATGAGGCCGCTTTGCACCATGCCCAGCAGCACAGGGCGTACGTTGGCTAGGCCTTTAATTGTTGTTTTTCTTGCACTGAAATTTAACCTGTTTTTTTATAATGTATATTTATAGCTGGAGTGGCTCTCATCAGAAGTGTTGGTATTGATTCATGGATCAGCAGTTTTGATGTTTTTTTTTTTTAATTCGAATTGTATTTTTAAATACTGAAAGGAAAATATTAAAATTGGCACATATAGGAGCACGCACACCTGAGAGTATGTCGGCCATGGAGATGGAGTGATGACATCAGTAAGTGTGCAGGTGTTAGATGGATTGTTACGTTGCAGGACTATCATGGCTTTGGGAGGCATTCATCCAGCAGTAAACTGATCATTGGCATAAAAAAACAACAAGAAATACGCATAACTCAATTACTCAGTGGCCTTTATTTGTAATCAGTTGAAAGCCCGTTGAGTCAAATAAACCCTTTGCAACGGAGACCTGGGTTAATATACAAAGAAGCAATTATCACAATACAAATATTTATTGCCGAATTGAAGACATGTAAGTATTGAACAACAGTAAAGTGATAATAAAGTATTAAAGCTTTCGTGACTGCATAAAATTACTCATTGGTTTTTTAGGTAAAGTCACGTATGTAGAAATACAATAAAATTATATTAAAACAAAAAACAATCACGACGTTTCGATCACAACACAAGCGATCTTCATCAGGTGTCAAGAACAAATCACGGAGGTAAATACAACAAAAAGATGAGAGACGAGAATTCAACAAACCTGAAAAAACATTATGTGAAGCACATCCAGTCAGGCCAACAACACAGTTAGACACTTCCTGGCGGACCACGAATTTCAGGAGTGTTAAATTTCGTGTTCAACCTTTGGATTGCACATACCAGCAGAGATAGAATGAAAAAAAAATACGAGGTACACGGTCAGTAGAAATACATATACAAGTCCACCAAGAGGTAAGGAGGGAGGAAAGATGGACCGTGTACCTCGTATTTTTTTTTCATTCTATCTCTGCTGGTATGTGCAATCCAAAGGTTGAACACGAAATTTAACACTCTTCTGAAATTCGTGGTCCGCCAGGAAGTGTCTAACTGTGTTGTTGGCCTGACTGGACGTGCTTCACATAATGTTTTTTCAGGTTTGTTGAATTCTCGTCTCTCATCTTTTTGTTGTATTTACCTCCGTGATTTGTTCTTGACACCTGATGAAGATCGCTTGTGTTATGATCGAAACGTCGTGATTGTTTTTTTTAATATAATTTTATTGTATTTCTACATACGTGACTTTACCGAAAAAAACAATGAGTAACAGTAAAGTGAGCATTCCAAATGGGTAAAATTAAATACAGTACAAACTAAGCAAATATTATTTTTTAAATGCACAAAGGTTTCATTTTAACAGCTAAGTATAATAAATTGTAATATAGACACATTTTAGTGCTTTGATTAATACTAAATGCTTTCGAAATAGCTGCTGTTTATTGTATTATTAGTTTCCAATAACGCAGGATTAAATGCACCGGTTGCTGCCCACTCGCGCATGTTTTTTTATTGATAACGGGAACAACGCAACTAGTGCAGTTTTTTTTTTGCTGTGTGCGAGATCCTCGGGATGTGTCTGTGCGTGCGAAATTAAACAAAAATGAGATAAGAGGCCGGAGCAGACTAAATGAGAAAATAAAACCTGCCTGCATCCTCTTGCGTATTAGACGGCTGTCTCTGTTGGTCGTTAACCGAGGGCAATGGTGAACTTCTGGCAAAAAGCACGACCGGTATCAGAGGGAGGGCGAATCAGAGAGTAGTGGTTGGTGGAATTGGGGTGGGTGGAGGGGCAAAGCAGAGAGGTCTGGCGCTCTCTCACCCGCCGCTTCATTTCCATCTTGCTCGTGCTGTGACCATCTCATTTCCCTCCCAGTGCTAACGTCTTCACATTAAATATTTCCCATGCCTCCCTGTTCCAGCTCTGCACCATCCCCTTCCACCATAACCCCCCGCAACCCATCACCTCTCTCTCTCTCCGTCTCTCTCTCTCCTCTACCCCCTGCACCCATACCCGCCTCGCCACCCGGTAATCGGCCCACGGAATGGGGCACGTGCTGCTTGGAATTCGCTCCTGTTTACAGTTATCTATTAATATTCCTCGGCTCTCAACGGGAGCGCGCGGCATGCGCGGCTGATTGGGTTTGCCGCGGGGTTATTAAATTTTCATGGGGGCCCCCGCCGTAAATGGCTTTGTTTATATCCGTCACGAGATGAGGGATTTTTTATTAGCGCTTGGTCCTCCGCAAACCCATTACCAGATAAGTATCTGGTGTCAGAGCAAGGAAGGGGCTGTGGAGGAACAAGCAACTTGCTGAATGGAATTCATCGCCGCATTTTCTGTTTTTCAGTAATATCCATCCTTTTAAAGAAATCATAGCTTAATTTTCTAAATAAAACTTTACGTTAGTTTTATATGCAGTTAATCAATGTACTGTTTATAATGGGAAGATACATCGACACATAGCATCATACTCTATACACATGGTTGTTGTCAAATTGTTAAAAAAAATATACATATACGGAAAAATGATGGAAAATTGCTTTTAAGTGTTACATGGCACGTTCAATTAAAAGTTTCCACGGGGAACATTTAATTAACTGACATTGCAGTAACGTTTATTGCATTGGTTTTATTTCGTTATTTCAAATAAATATTTATTTGGCTCAATTAAATTAGGTCGGGCAGCTTGTTGAAAGGAAGTGCTGGCGGTTTAATTGATTCCTATGGTAAAAAGGACGTTAGATTTTGCAGCGCAGGCGGGGCATTCTTATCTTAGCCGCAACTTGTCATGTGTATGAAAAAAAAAGTGAAAATGTATTCACTATAACATTAAGCTTCTGATGCAGTATTTAATAACCCCTTCATGCAAACTAGCGAGAACACATTTGACAAATGATAATCTCGTGTACCTCAGTTGTCAACAACATACCAGCCGCCACATGCGTAAACATTACCCCAAGACTCACTGACAGCGTATTTAATTCAACACAGTTGTTTTACCAACCACCATCTAAAATAAACTGCCTTTGCCATATTACATATATAAACACACACAATGGAGTCATTAGTAGTAATTTGCAATTTACCAAGGAAAGCCTTGCTGAGTCTTTAGACACTGTTTTTCTGGAAAGCTCTACTTATGATGTTTGGCCAATTAATTAATTTCCTTATTGAGTATTTTTGCACATGGGAGGAAAACAGAATATCCTGCAAACACCCCATGGGTGCGAGGAGATAGCACAATGACAGTTTAAACTTTGCACAATTAAACAAGAGTTATTTTAATGTTTAAAACTCTGTTTTTTGTAAACACTTTATTTGTATTTCTTTACATTTTTTCCCCTAGTTATGTAATCACCGTGATGTCATGAGACCGGTGAATTTTCATTCAGAACTCACAATTAGCAATGCATCACCCAATTTCAGAGAAAGGCTCTGGAATAAGACGTCACAGAACTATTTCCGAGTCCCTTCAACAGGCCTCTTATCCACAGTGGGCAAACTTATTATATTCCCAGCAAAGAGTGTTCATTGCATGTCAGTAAAAACTGAAATGTTCAATGCTCATAACTGGAATAAGCTAAATTAAGTGACAAACTAAATTTAATATGATGGGTAATTATTGTGCAGTCTTTGGTGATACTTGAAAACCTGGTTTAATCATGTCGCTGAAACCCAGATTTAAACCTAGAATTTGAGGTGCCAGCTGAGTGACTGACACGGGCATTAGCCTCCCGAGGATCCAGCCACCTACCTATGTCATTTGTCACTGACTTATTATTGCTATTCATATTTTTTAAGGCAAAGATTCTTCCTGCTCAAATAAGTAATGGCGTGGCATTGGTTTTGTCCCTGGCCCTGAGTCAGTGGTGGAAATTCTACATTTTTATAGTGGGGACCAGTTTCTCCATAGAACAATCATTATTTATACTCTTTGGTTTTATTCAGTTAAGTCACGTAGGTAAAAAACAAATTATTTTTTTCTTTTATTTAATTTTAATTTGTTTTTTACCTACGTGACTTAACCGAATAAAACCAAAGAGTATGACTTCTTGCAGTCACGAAAGCTTCAAATCTAGAATCATTATTGACTCACCACAAAGTGGTCCTGATTTTATTGCTGCTTGAGGAGTGATCGTCGGAATTGATAATCAGACATGATTTTTCCACTGCTGGATGAAGGCTTTCCCAAACCGTTTGCATCACTTACAGTCTTGCAATGCAACAATCCATCTAGTATCGGCACACGAGCTGATTTAATTGCTCCACCTCGAACAAACTTTACACCTACAGGTATCTATTTTACTTACTCACATGTGTCACCAGAAAGATAATGTTCCATTTTCTTTGTCAATGTCAATGTTTCTGTTCCGTATGTCATAGTGGGTAATATGCACCACTTACACATACTGGTAAGAAGCAAAATGGCATTATTATCATTATAATTGTTTCCTTGACTCACATTCTCTCTCTGGCAGGACCAGCTGTTCGGGCGTGACCCCACCCTGACGGAGGAGCTCGCAGCTATCTTAAGCGAGCTCACTCAGCTCAGCAAGACCACGAACTCCAAGGTTTCCCTGCGTGCCCGTCAGGTGACCATCACCACCACGACCACTCCGCGCCATCACCAGCCCTTCCACCTTCGCAACACAAACACCCAACATAAAATGTATGCGGTGACAGAATGGCAGGTGTCACCTCCTTGAATCGAACCACGAATTGAACCACGACCCTGAATCGTGATAATCCATCTGATCGTTGTTGGGTAATGAATCATTGTATTCGAAGGTCTTCTCCATACTGCTGTCAGCTCGGACCCATTCACAGTGTGGTGGCGAGATATTACCTCGCCTGGTATACATGAGGTTATGGATTCGATCCCGACCCTGACGCCTGTATATTTGGAGTTTGCATGTTCTCCCTGTGGTCGCGTACATTTTACTCCGAGTCCACCGGTTTTCCCTCCACATTTAGAAACATTCGTTTAGAGTATTTGGCTGCTATAAATGTACACATGATAAGCCACTTAATTGACCTATCATTTGTGGCCAGTTTGCTTCTGAAAAAGAGCTTTTTCGCTCAGTTGGCCTTAACTGGTCAAATAAAAAAAATTAAACAATGTTTAGTTTAGTCTCGTTAACTCTCGATTAACCATGGGCAGATGATCCGGCTTGCAGAAGAACTGTGCTCATCCTCTGCCTTTTACGTGTGAACTGGTTCTATTATTGGTTGCTCCTCACTCATCAGGGGTTAGTGACATAGTGCCTACGTGACCGCCAACGTGTTGGGACATAAACTGATTACACTTAAGCAATTAAAACAGACGACACATGTCTTCACCCCGATTCTATGTGGGTATATCATACTTCTAAATGACATCCCTTCCCCTTTTGCGTTAGAAAATCGAGCGTTGACTATGTAACTTTGTGTTCAGTGTTTAGAGGTGCAGTCGCCTCCAAACTCACTACATTCACATTGTATTGTATCGCTCATGGTGCTGTTTGATGGCTCGCTGTTCTGTTTCCTAAAGTTATTCACACGCGGCTGTGCTCACTCATTAATTAGTATCCCACCCCACCGTTGTTGGCCGCCCAGTTTGGCTGGTGGCCGTAATTTTATTATTATTCTCTGCTATCTCACGCGTGTTTTTTTGCTACCGGCTACAGGATAAATGGCCCCACCACCCTCCGCGTTCGTTTACCCCACCGCTACCTCCCCTGACCCGATTAAAACAAAAATCTATCGGTGCACCTTGTGCATCCCCTCCAGCCTCTTGTTCTTGTTTAATTGCTTCTCAACGCTGTGCTAACGCCAGTGGTGTACTTCGCCCTTCAGAGTAACGCATTCATTTCGAGTCAATATAAATGCTATACTTGCAATATTAGATGTAATATAACGGATAGGTGACCTTTATTTATAACCGGGTGAGAGCCCTTATTTATAGCAAGGTAATAACCATGCGGGGGGCTGCAGTGGTTGCACAGTGGTTGGCCTGCTGCAATATGAAGCTGGCAACCTGAGTTTGATGCATGGCTTTGGCTAAACGTTGGTGGCGAGTAATATCTGAACCTAATTTTGGGTCCAACCTGCACTGACCAGAGTGGGGAAGTATGGTCAAACAACCCCCATTACTGACATGGCATGAAGAGGTCTTCATCCAGCAGTGGATTGAAAACATGGATTTATGTGTACATGTTCCCAAATGTCTAGTTCAGATATCACTCACCACTTACCACTCACTGATGTTAGCCCATTCTGAGTTCATAGTGCACTGTGTCCTGCATGCTTTCCCACCGCTCAGCTGCCACTAAATATTTTTGTAATGTCAATCTTAAAAAGTCGCAATTTTTAAATAATTTAAAATTTTAATTTGAAAGCATTTATTACACAATGTACACATGGACGATGACTCACTGCTGATGTATGTGTTGTTTAGGTGCTCATTGCTTCCAACCTGCCCTCGTACGAGCTTCGGCACAATCAGGTGGAGTCAATCTTCCTCTCTGCCATCGACATGTACGGGCATCAGTTCTGTCCTGAGAACCTGCAGGTGAGCATCTGTGCAGTCCATAGTCATAGCAGTTAGAAATCTGTGCAAGTACTGAAATGACTCATCAACATAAGCAGCAACGGCATCTTCAATAATTAGTGTCGTCAGCATCATCATCATTGCCATTATTGTTTTTGTCGTCAACCTCATTATAATCAATGTCTGTAATCATTGACATCATCATCATCATTGTCTTCATTGTAGTCATCATCATTATATCATCCATGTGCCAACTCTTGCTTTGCAGCAGTTTAGCTCGAAAAAAGTCTACATACAACTCTGAATCTTAACCATTGAATCAAAGACCTTCAGGGAAGGACAGTGTGGGAATTTATTAAATGGTGGGTAAGTCTCCAACTTTGGCCATTAAATATAATGCCCTTTATCTTTCCTATTGAAACTAATGTTGGGGACGTAAAAATAATAACGGAAGTAAAATTTCATAGGGGAAAAAAAAAGACACGAGTGCCTTTGTAGATTTATGTTGACCCAGCTGCTAATTTCCAGCAGTGCTATGATTCTCGCTGTATTTATGAGCAGTGTATAAGGGGAGCTGCCCGCTGTATTGAGTGTCCGCAATGGCACTCAAACACCTTTTAGGTGACAGCTGTTATTACACACAGGCAGTGACCAATGTGTATTAAGAATGTCCAGAATGGTCTGTACCAAAGTGGTAGCTTTGACAGCTAATAACTCGAAAATGACTGCAGATAAAACGACAACAGTTTCTGTAGTACGTCAACATTTGTCAGATGTTTAAATGTGTGCGCATTTGAGCCAAAGATGTCAAGGAGGTATATTTCTTGTCCTTTTCATCTCCCTTTAAGAAAAAAATATTTTTTTGTACAACTCAGTACGGACTAAACTGTGCAGTTATTATCGGTCTTGGCCTTGCCATAGGAATTGGATCTCTGATTGACACTGTAATTAAACCTGCATAACTCAAGTGCTTAGGCATTAAAAGAAAGTAAAAAAATACAGGGGAAAAAATGTCTATGCTGGTGAGTCCTGGCGTCTGTAATATTTACGTGAGTGACAGTACAGTAAGTGTTTATTGTAAATATTTGACGTAACATTATAACACATTGATATTCAGGAATTTTAAACAAGGTCTATATCCCACTCAGTTAAAGTATCCCATGGATTTGCAGCATCAAATGTCATCGTGGACCCATGCACATTGCATTGCCATTATTGTCTTGAATGGCAATGGGGTTTTATGTTGTATTGGAATTGAATATTGTATTAATCAGAACATGCAGTCTCTCAGTCATCACAACTAAAAGGCATTCCAGATTTTTTCTGGTTCAGAAACCTTCAGAGAAAAGCAAAGGACATCTCTGTTTTTATCAGAATCAGAATCTTTATACTGGAAAAATCCGATGAGCTATGAAGCTCTTTTCCACAGATGTCCAGTAGGGGTGGGTCAAAATGTACAAAAAACAATACAAAAACAGATTGGAGTGCAAATTATAGGAAAGCTAAGAAAGTCACTAAATATAAATAAAAATAGAATAAAAAGCACAAATTGCTAAGTACAACTATGAAAATAAAATTAAACCCTCAACTTAAACAAAGAACAACTTAATTCGTTGAGGATTGAATGATTTGCTAATCTGCAGCGTAGGAATCCTACCAGTTGTGCGCATGTGTATATTAAATATACTCTTAGTACTTTTGGATAACGCTTCCTCTCAGAACCCTTTATCAACCTTCACACAATGGTAGAGTGTTCCTTCTCTACTGCTGCCTCGAGTTAAAACCAACCCCCCCCCACTGTACCACTGGTGCTGCCGACCCCATTCCCCTGTTCAAGTCCAAGCACAAAATCATCCTTCTCTCTTTTTTCCCTCTGACTTACCATCTATAAAGTGCATCTGATTAAAAAAATGTGTATATATACTGTATCTCACCCCGTTTTTCACGATTCCTTGTGATGCACATGATCCATTCTTGTCCATCGTTTTGACATGCAGCTGCATTTCGGCGCTATATAAACCAATATCGTATTCTACTCTACACTGTGACATGCATAATACATTTATGGAATGAGTTTTCATTTGTAGTTAATATGCATCGCTTGATTGGTAAACTCGCATTAAACAAATTGAACTCAGCCCAACACAATTTTACCTTAGTGCTCCATTATTAAATGTATTTATTTTTCTCCCTCTTCTTCTCTCCCTCCTCGTTGTGTATTAAACGCAGATTTTAAAACTGCAATATCACTCGTTTTGCAAATGTGCTGATCTAGCCACAAATAGCGAAAGGTGTATTCTAATTTTAATTAATGCAAATTCTGTTGCCGCGTCGATGTGACTGGAAACCCGAAGTTGGTTAGGCAACTACATTCCGTTATTGTCAATGTGATGGTGAGTGCAACTGGATAATATTCAACCAAATGTTTGTGAGTAATTAGAGGAAAATAAAAATGATGTTTTTTTTCCCTTCACAACCTATATAATTATTTTGGCAATGCATTAAGAGATCGCTTAAAAAGAGGTAAATTCAAAGTGAGTAACGGTCACTTTTTAAGATGTCTGTGAAAGGGTTGTTTGATATAAATAGACCATTGGTTATAAATGGTGGCTGATTTAAGTAGGTTTTCGATTAAATAGAACGTTGGTTGGTTTAAGTAGATCTCCATGAAAGTAAATGTTGGTAAATATAAGTATATCTGCGATGAAAGTGAATGTCGTTTTAATTAAGGAGATCTCGATGAAAATGAATGTCACTTTCAGTCCTAATCGATGGCTTTCATTGAGAATGACTTAAGGTCAACATGAGTCAACTTAAATTTATCTCGATTAATGTGAATGGTCCGTTTGAATGCAATTGATTGCCAATTAGAGCAGATCCCATTTGGAAGTGAATAGTGAACCACATAAGTAGATCTCCATTGAAGCGAGGAGTGATTGATATAAGTCATGGTCAGTGAAAGTGAATATCATTAAGCGAAATGAAGTAGAAACAGGTCCAGCTTTTCTGGTTTCGACCTACTCAACTCACCAGGTCAGTCCACGTTATACCCATTCAAGGCTACATGCACCCCAGGTGGCGCTGTTTGCCCGCTTTTGTCCGCTGGCTGCAAGTGGACGCTAAATCATCATTACCACAGTGCAGCATTCGTTTAAGCATGTATGATAAGTATGATTATTTACGAAAGTCCTGCACACGCAAGTAATCAAGGCTGGGTTTTATCTCTAGCACGCAGCCACCCCATGCAATCCGCGACCTGGTGGTGGGTGGTGGTGGGGGGTAGGGAAGGGACATAAAATTATTTTATTTGGAACGCTTAATTGACAGCGCTGGTAGTTTTAGAGTGAGCTCCGTGGGTGTGTGTGCGCGTCCTCAGGGTTTTTTTTTATCGCCTGCCATTATCAATATTTAAATAGATCAATTGATAAATCAATGCAGGTTTTTAAACCAGGTGAGAGTCCATTGGGATACTGTGTCTCGTCTGCAGCGAAGATCTGAGGGAATATAAAACGTGTTAGGGGAGGAGATGCAGTAAACACAGAAAGATGAACGTAAACGCTGTGGAAGATGTTATTGAAATAATGAATGTGTATTGAATAACAAAAGGACGATGACTTAAAAAACGATTTGTGCAATATAATATTCAGTTGAAAGTAACATAGATGGCGATGCTTAAGCATATACATCATAGTGATATAATACACAATACAATAATTATATCAATTAAAATATAACACCTTTCATAGTTAATTGTAACATATATCACTGTACTTGGAATTATAATGTTTAACAGGGACATGATCCCACCCCCCCCCTTTTGACGATGAAATTAATTTGATTCAGGAATATATTCTTTTTGTGAACATTGTTGTGAATGTAGCAGGGTACCCCTAGTGGCTTTAGGAGTTTTAAGTGAACCCATTCTATGTAACATACATGGACGTGCATAGCCCGTTTTTCAGTCATCTGCTGGATAAGTGGCTCCCCCACAGCATGCAGGCAGTGAAGAGTTTTTTTTTTCATCATACTTCAGCACACTGGTCGGTGCGGGTTTGTGAACAGGGAGTGGGGGGAGGACAACAGTGGAATTTGATTCACTGCCCTCTACTGCCCACAACACCTACTATACCTAGTTTTATGTGTAACGGTCACCCATCTAACCACTATCCAGACTCAAACCTGCTTAGCTTCTAAAGTCTATTGGGATGCGGCACATTCTGGATGATTTGGTTACATGTGCAATGCATACAAATATAAAAAAACAACAATTGTCCCACACACATAGAATTATTCGATCCGTGAGTTTAAGAATCAATATTAAATCAACAAATTAATACATTGTTACTTCCCGAATGTTTGTTATGCAAATAGATAATACTGCAGTAAAATTATTATGCAAATCAAGGAGCTTGTTTTTATTCAGAAAGTTGTGTTGCACTCATGAGGTTTACATCAGTATTGGAGTGGTTCCTGTGTCTTTCATGTAAATTGCCGTTATGAAGACTTTGGTGAAAGCGCTGTGTGGATGTGCTATCTTTTTTGCGACTGGCACTTGTGTTGTTTGTCAACTGCTGGAGACTTGAGAAAATACGTAAAATCCATCTCTGATATCAAAACTCTTGCGCGGTCGTGTGCTTAGGTACCACTTGTGCCGTACATCTCGTTCCAACTTCAGTGGTCGTAGGATATTAATATTGCTGTTGTAGGAATAATCTCATTTGTTTACCTGAGAAAGTCTCACTGAGTCACAACGCTGTATTCCAGGAGTTTCCTGTATGAGGATGAGGCATCCCACGACACGAATGAGAGGATAACACTCAACATGTATAATCACTATTTTTTTGGCTGAAAACATCTTAATGAATAGAGGACTGTAGGACTTGAGTAATTGTTGGCGCCGGGTCACCACCTGGCTGTTACCTTTCTGCTTGTCTCTGGTTCTACGGCGATTGTCAGGCAGAGATGAACTACGCTATATAAAACTAAATATTATTATAAAGATCTACAGAGATGGGTTCAGGAACCAAGTTTCTGTATTGCCATCTCCTGGCCATATTGCAGCCTGGTGATTTTTGGAGTTTCTCAAATATGCATGAATCCACCAACCCATACCTTAGAAGTGATATATTATAAGCACCACAACAGTGGTGTTTTTATATAGTTACCTCAATTATCCATCTGTTTTTTTATTGCTTCTTAAAGTAACCGGTTTTCTTGCCCAGGTGTTTTCAGTCACATCGGCACTGATTCCATGGACCCTCGAAGAGTGAGGAGCAGTGAAAAATCAAGCACTTGCTTAAATATATGTTCTGAAATATTTTGCAAGTATGGTTAAAATGGGCAATCCAGATAATTTCCCCACGGATAATCGAGAGTTAGCTGTGCATTCAAATGAGGGAATACACCTCAGGCAAGTGATGTTGTGTTCTGGAGGTGTACCATGAGCAAGCTTTTCTACTAATTTCCTGTACAGGTGGAGTCTCGTAACATGAACACGTGTGTGATCTCCTACGGCCAGTTGGTCCCCGTTGATCAATGAGGATGGAATGGATATGAAAATAGGATGTCCTGTCCAATTCTCGCTGCAGAAACTCATCATTTCGGAGACATCGATCTTTGATGTGCTTCCCAACTTCTTCTACCACAGCAACCAGATCGTGAGGATGGCTGCGTTAGAGGTAAGAAAGCCCTCTTGGCGGGGGGGGGGGCATAATTATGAAAATGTATAGGTGTTGTGCAGCGCTGTGATTGCCCAGTGCACAGATATATTGGCAACGTGGGGAATTATTTTTTTAAATAAATTATAGTCATATCAGATTTTTTTTTTAAAGTGACCAGAAATCATTTCAGTAGGTCTCTATGGAAGGGAATGGAGGTTGATTAAATACATCTCTATAAAGGTAAATGCAGGTAGACTTTCTAGATCTTTATGACATTAATTCGAGGTCACATTAACAGATATATGAAACTGAACAGAGGCAGCCATAATAAATCTCCAGTTAAGTGAATGTAGTTCACTGGTGCTAACGTTAAAAAAAAACGCCACTTTTTTCAAATTTTCTTGCTGTGGTTTTCACACCTGATGATGATTGCTTGTGTTGCAGTCGAAACGTCGTGATAATTTTATTGTTTATTATTTTTATTGTTTTATTATTTTATATTTTTATTATTTTATTGTTTCCCTTCTACGTGACTTTACCGAAAGAACCAAGAATATAGTTCACTGCTGTTAACAAATGTCTCTGAAAGTAATGGAGCTTACTCGAATAGGTCTCTTTAAATGAAGAGCTTTTGATTTAATCTATTAGACAGAATGGCCATCTCTTGAGTATACAGTTCTATCTCTACAGAGTCAATGGCAGCTGATTAACACACAACACAAGTTTAGCAGTTTTGCATCTTTTCTCCCCTATCTACAACACCCCGTCACCAGTGAGTAACCCTCTCATGCTTGTGTACATGCATACCCCACCTGGGCTCCCCACTGTGCTGCTTCTGCCATTCATCTCGGTCAGTTAACCCGCAATGCCGGGGCCCTGTTCTGTAACCCCCTGCCAGCAAACCTTTGAGAGTTCACCTGGCCTCAAATTACCTAATTTGGCACAAGCATGCGTACATGTGTGTTCGCGTGTCTTTGTATGCGCATAGTGTAGCGGTTAGCGCGGTGTGCAACTAATCCGGCGACCCAAGTTCGATTCCCGCTCCACCGAGTCGATGTGAGACCCTTCGTCTGATGTTGTCAGTTGTGTCAGTAGTGTCAATTTAAATCCTCCAGTCCCATCGTCCAATTGTACGTGTGTGTTGTGTGTGTTTATAAACACAGTCACAGTCCGATTCTACGGGTATGTCTATGTGTTCTCGCTCACGGCCAACACCAGTGACGATTATCTGAACTGGTCCTGGGCCTCACCTAGGTCGACTCGGCCTCAAATGAGTACCTGGTGCAATGTGTAAACATCGTCACTGGGGAGACAAAGGCGACAGGGCATGGTGCTGGCCACCCACCCTTTCGTGTGCCTTGCCAGCTTTCATAGGTGCTCACTAACAGTGTATTAAGGCTATACGGGTGATCTTTGTCTTCTTGTCTTTGCACGTGTGCCCACCTAGGTGTACGTGCGCAGAGCGTACATTGCGTACGAGCTTAACAGCCTGCAGCACCAGCAGTTCATTGACGGCACCTGCATCGTCGAGTTCCAGTTCATGCTACCGTCCTCCCATCCCAACAGGTTGTAGCGCTGCTTTCACCCTCTCGTCGCGCCCCTGATCGGATCCGTTTGCGTCTCCAGCTTCGATCCCTTCAAAGAAACCTCTTTTCTGTTCCTCATCCTTTTCTGTCTACTCCACATTCCACTTCCCAGCATCCAAGTCCACTATACTCTTGTACATTCTGTTGTTTGTATCCCCTTTTCACCCTTTTGTTGAAACATACTCTCCTTCTGATGCTTCTGTATCAGATCCCGATATCACCTGCTTTTCTGCTGATTTTCAGTAGAAGAAATCCCAAACTGCACTGAATATCGACACTTTTTTTAAAAATAGGCACAATATGAATGCTTTTATGTTTATATTTTGCAGAAGTTATTCTCGTAATGCATAGTTTGCTTTTGAGTAATTTTACAAGTATAAACAAACAATTAATAAAACACAGGTCAGTGCGTTGCAGATCTTCTTATTCCTCTTCGGCGTATATATGTAAACGTATATACATATATAGGGGCGCACGCAGCCTACTGCGTCAGGCAGCCGAGCAGCCAGGTCGATTCATGCCCATTTATCTCCCTCTGTCGACCCATCTCTGTGCCTTCTCCTCCCGCACCCTCGAGTCTCAGCCACCTCGCTGCTCCCTCGGCTGCAGATCCGTTGCTCTGTTAATCAAGCAATCGACCGGTGTGCATTCCTTTTCGGTTGGGCTCATTCGTTCCTACGTCCTGTGCGTCTGCTTGTCCACCCCGTTATCTTGTCTGCCGCTAAACCGTCGCGCTATTGGCATTTTTTGGTCCACCTTCCCGTGTTGATCATTTTTCTTTTTTTGTGTGTTTATTTTTGTTGTTGTTGAGGGTTTATGCCCTGCAGGCTGCTAGGCTTTGTTAATATGCAAATGTATAGATCTTAGTGTCAAAGGTCGTGGGAATTTATTTGACCATATTTCACTGCGCTGGTTAGTGAAAGGTGGAAGCATTAAAGTACAGTACAACATTTTATTTTGTCACTGCCTTCTGCTGACCACCATGGAGCCACTCCACAGCTGCCATATGATGAGCTGGCGTGCATGGTGGTCACCCACCTCTGGTATTTATTTAATATTAATTTTCCACATTTTTCATGCATCCACGATTATGACCTCACCTCCCGTGTAACAAAAGAGGGTTTTACTGAATGGGGTTAGTGGTTTAACAATAATTGTTCATTGTTACCTTCAAGGTTCCTTATCAGGAGGTTAATGCTGTAAGATACTTGATAATTTCTCTTTTTTTGTCCAGAGAAAACCCATGCATCATAGGGAAAAGTTCTCAAATTCTACACACAGTTTAAAAAAATACTTTACTGTCTCCTGCAGTCAGACACAACTCATTGCCCCCCTTCAGAAGTGTTCCTCACAAATAAGTTATGGCACCATCTATGCGTGGTCCACCAACCGCACCACCTATAAAATTCACGGACATGTTAACCCCCCCCCCCCCGTACGCTGATGCCACTTTAATCAACAAGCTAACGACGGTGGGGCCGGTGCGTGGGCAGTCGGAGGCACGTGGAGTAGTTAGCAGCGGGCAGTGCTGATGATGAGACGGAGATTGAGAGCAGCAGCCGAGGCCCTTGATAAGCCTCCGCGGAGATGCTGCCGTCGCTTTTATAGTGCGCGGGGTTCCTCCGTGTATACCTGCGGCTTTAATTACTGCGCTATGATTCATGGCCGCTTTGAAGCCATGTAACAGTGGGGGTTTTTTGGCGGTATGGCATAGAGAAAGGGGGGTGGGAGGGTCGGTGGTGGAGGGGCAGCTTGGCTCTGCTGTTTGTTAGTATTGGTTAGGAGGGCAGGCATGCATTGGTAGGCGTTGCGAATAATAGTGTGAGGATCTCCTTACTTTCATCCTTTTATCTTCCTTTAAACCGCATCCGTCTCATCTGCCTTCCTCCCTGTCCCTGCAACCACTTCCTTCCCTCCCCGCATCGCTTGGTGTCTGCTCAATATCGGCCTGTCAAGCTGTGATGGTTGCACGGCACACACTTGGCTTGGCACGCCACACTTGCCCTATCCCTCTCTCTCTCCCGCCCGTGTGTCCGTCCGTTCGTCCGTTTTTTCCGTCCGCCAGCTTTCCCGCCTGTCTGTCGTTTCTCCTCTTGATTGATGACGGGTGGGACTCAGGAGTTCCGTCTTTAAGTCCCCGCAATTCAGATCACAGATCAACGCCTGACTCTGCCGCAGGCTCTGGTGGGACGCTCTTGCCGGCAGGTGTCCCAGCGCCTGACGTGAAAAAAATATAAAAATTATTTTTTTTTTACTCTGAGCCAAAAGTAGATTTTTTTTTGCCTCTCTACACCCCATTCCCCGCTGTGTGCCATCGTGTCTTGTATTTTTCAAATAAAGGGAGAGAAAGGGGTAAAAAGACGCACCACGGGGCTCTTCAACTAATGCAAACCACATACAGTCATTTGTTACAGTAATGTGCATAGTTCATTTTCTGCCCTGTTGGATGCTTTACAGTACTTGCGCTGCATTTTTAATCTCCCTCCCCCCCCCCACTCCTTCTATGCTTATTTCCATATTGATCGTATGTTCACAAATTCGTGCGCTGAGTGAATAAGTGCGTGCATACGCATATATGTGTTTGTATGCGTCTATGAACTTGAATGAAGCGGTAGCACATTGATTAGTGCACTGAGCTACAAAGCCGGAGAACCGAGTTCCATTCCTTCCAATGCCTAACATAGGTGGCGAGTTATTTGCGAACCGTTTAGCTTACCAATAACAACATGGATCTGTCCCTTTCCCTACTGTCAGTAAGTCTTCACTACTTCATGTCACTTCACAATGTGTGTGTTGCGTGTATATTTTGGTTACGTGTTTTTTGTGTTCATGTGGGGGAGTGGTAGCGTCATGGTTAGCATACTGTGCTACGAACTCGGTGACTTGGGTTCGATTCCTGGCCGTGGCTAACATCAGTAGTGGTTATCTTAACCAATCCTGGGCCTCCCCTAGGTGTAAACATCAGAACTTGTGACAACAAAGGTGGCTGGGCATGGTGCTAACCACAGCAACCTCTTGTGTGCCATACTAGCCTTACTAGGTGCTCACAAACAGCATTTGTCCACAACAGTCTGTTCAAGGCTATACAGGGGATCTTTGTTAGAGTATGTATATATGTTCATGTGTGTGTCGATGTGTGTTCGGATGAGTGAGTGTGTTTATTAGTGTGTGTGAGTGCATATATGTATTAGAGAGTATGAGTGTATCTGTGTGTGAATGCAGAACGCTGTATAAAAATGCTGTGCATGGCAATTCCAGTTTCATTTGAAAAAAAGTTTGGAAAATTTGTCTCGCTCACTTATTTTTATATATTTATATATATTTTAGCAAGCTGCTATTAACAGGTGCCTTCTGGCCATCATTAGTTACTCATTTAAAACTCAGTACAAGTTTTTTTTTTAAATGCTTCATCTCCTTCCAAAAATACAATATGAGATTCAGACCTCCCCTGCGGTGAAGGCATCACTAATAATGCTCGATTTGAATGAACAGCTTCAAAATCATTCAAACAAATCACCTTCCTCTCCCTGAAAACATATTTCTTTAATACACTTTGCCTTTTATACTCTCTCCGCTGCGAGATAAGCTGCACGTATATTTATTTGACGCTGCAATTGTATTGTCATGAGCCAAAATATATATCTAAAATATCTCCCATCTCTCATAAAATAAGGAACTTTTTCCTTGACAGTGACATATTTTTGTTTCGCCTGATGCATTGCGTGCGGTAAATTCCGCCTAACGCTGTTGTCACTGCAGCGGATGCAACATTACTAATGCGCAAAAAATGTGTACGTATGTGTGTATGAAAAAGCATGTGTGATCTTTTCACCTATTGCTAAATATTAATTTTTGAGGTGGCTCAGCAGGAGAGGGAGCGGCTCGCAATCGGAAGGTTGTGAGTTTCAAATCCTGTTTGTGGATTGACTCAGACCATTATCCCTCCAGGGTGATAAAATTAGTATTTCTTTCTGGGCAAGTCAAGAGTTTGTTGTCCTATGGATAGACTTACCTCCACCATGGGAATATGGAATTTACACCACTAGCTCAGGGCTGTACACAGGATTTTAGCACCACCTCAATGCTCATTTGCGCAGGAAAGCACTTTTTTTCTTAATAACACTGCAGCTATTGACAGTGTCACCTCTGAGTAGTTGAGTGACCCCCCCCACCCCAAACAGCCACCTACTTTTCAGCTGTTGGACATCGTTATCCTTTTGTGGTAGTAACGTCCCCGGGGCCTCAATGGATGACAGGTTAACAATAACCCACACGGCGTTGATTGCCTTCGGAATTGTGGCCACTTACAATAATGGATTAATGAGGCGACGTATTGTTATGTTATGCATGGTGTAATTGTCAGTGAAATGTGCGCGTGCGTGTCACGGATTGTGGACACTTGGCACCCGTGCAGATTCTGGCGCCAGACGCGGTGTGTTTGCGATGATGTGTCCGGCAGGGTTGGGGGAAGGGGATCAGAGGGGCGAGCGGGAAAGGGGAGGAGGAGAGGGGGGCTTTTTTCTCGGGGGGCAGGGTGGCCTCAGCTGCAGGGCAAGCGGCATTTCTTTAGAAACAAAGTCAAACCTTGGCTCTTGGCGATAACACACGTACACAGGGCGAAAATAACCCCAATGAGAAATACAGTATTACAAAGGGGCTTACACACACCTATACACACACACATACATCACGTACATGCACGTACACACATTCAAATTCATTTGTGTTTTTCAATGCGTTAATATGAAATTGTGCGCAGGCATTGCTTTGGCCCTCGATGTGCGCCCAGCAGATAGAGCTGGGCCAGAGCGCCAGGCGTATCTGAATTTTCGGCTGAAAAAATGTAATCAACTATTTGCCATTTCAGCTCTACGAATTGAATGGGGGGGGGGTGGGGGGTGTTGGGTGGGGGAGATGTTAACACGATGACGGAGGTGCGAGCCTAGGAATTTCTGTGCAGCGCTCGCCGCCGTTTTTTAGGTTGTGGCATGAAGTCCCACAAGGCATGGCCCCAACATTCCTCCACGTAATGACACGTTATGTTAATTGATGAATCAAATTCTCCATTTCGGTATTTGTGATGTGTGCGAATCGAAAGGGGGCATGCTTGCCTCTGAGGCCAATGACCTTCGGGTCACACACACACACAAAAAATTACGCTGTTCCAGTGTCACTGAAGGTGCTGTTCCATAACAGGCAGGTTAAGGCAGGCGGTGACCTTGTGGCTGCATTTGCACACTTGACAAATGTTATATACATGCACCAAAATGTTTATGTGGATTAACTGAACGCCAGTCACTTTCATAAAGATCTGATAATCAGAATCTGTATTTATCCTGGAGAAATCCGAAGAATTATGAAGCTCTTTCACAGATGTCCAGTAGGGGCAAGTCAGAATTAAAGTTTCGTAGAGTTATATTAAAATGATGAATATTCATTTTCACGTGATGTCTATTAAATAAATTGACATTCAATTTCATCGAGGTCCGTTAATTAAAGTGATTTCCATTAACTTTCATATAGCTATAGTAAAGCTATTGAAATTCATTGTCATAGAGTTCTATTAAAACGGCTGCAATTCACATTCTCTGAGGTGTCTTTAAGTGACTGATATTCTTTTCCACTATATTGCAGTGACCTCCATTGCATTCCAACGCGTTTCTCTATTGCCGTGGGTATTTTCAGTAAAAGGAACACAATAGAAGGTTATGGAGGGCATTTTAATAGAGCCCTATGAAAGTGAACGGTGGTCGGTTTAACTGGGTCAAATTTAGCACTTTTTGCAGATTTGTACCTCCTTATAGCACCACCTGTCTTACTAATCACATTCCTACATGATCATTGTCTCTTTGTGAAACCTTCTCTGTTCTCTGTGTACTTCTCCCCAGAGAAACAAATGCACTCCCTGATGCATATGTGAATTCTTTTTAACAGTCAGCACTAATCACTAGCCTCACCCAGCAGGTGATTGAACAAAAGCAAAGGGGCTGTACGTGTACGTGCACGGCAACGGTTGGGTGGCACGATGTCAGAGGCAAGAGTCTTCTGCAAACAGTTATGTCCAGCGATGTGCAGCGCTAGCTGTTTGAGCGAGGACCACAGTGGAGCGATAAGACACGCGAGTTGCGCCGCAGCTGATGCCACCCGTCCCGGCATTGGCGATTGGTGCCCGTCGCTGCCGTTGACGCATACACGATCCATGTGTTGCGTACTTGCCAACCCTACCGATTGAAACGGTAGGCTGCTGAATTTCAGATTTTTCGAAGCTACTCCTCGCCTTGCGAGATATTTGTAAAAATGTTATGTCGACGTAATTTTCCTTCAATATCTGCAGTAAAAGAGGGTTTTAAAATTGGGTGGTCGCTGCTTAGTTTGGCAGGGTTGGCAAGTATGGTGTTGTACTAACACCCACTAATCGTGATCCATCTCCTCTCTTAATTGATTGCAGGGGCAGCATACCCACACTGAACAGGTACGATAGGAAGCAGACCAGACGTACAGTGGAACCTTCTTAATCGCACCTTGTATGGGGACGATACGTTGAAGGCGTCACATTCATAAGAATGAAATAACATTATTGCAGTTAATCAACTATGTATGCTTGACTATGGCATCTTAAATGTTGTGTATGAATAAAGCTTGGAATTTTGTTTTCAATTCAATCATAAGCAAAACGTCTTATAACCAAGTGATGGTTAAGAGGGTTCCATTGTTTTAAATGTATGTTTTTGCATATACCAGTTGACGCACAGCCAGAGTATTGCTATCCTTTCTCATTTAGGGGCTTTGCAAACTCTGTTCATCGTGTCCCGCATTGGTCACTCCAGGTTTACATTTTTACCAGTGTCCGCTATCCACACGTACATGTTTAAATCGATGTGCATTGCATAGTGTCTTAACGGTTGGTAATCATGGAAACCTGGAATTGTGGTGGAGTGTGTGAAGTCTGGAGTTTAAAAAATCCTGCCCTAACAGCTTCGAAGTTTTGCTCTTCATTCTCATTTTAATGCATAACATCTGGCCAGATGTTTAAATAAAAAAAGCTAACCTGTTAAACAAATGGCATTGTTCATTCGGTGGTCACCGACACGCTCACGCTGATCACCATTGAACCTTTGAATTCAGTGGTGATCAGTTGGAGCGTGTTGGTAACCACCTTTGAAAACAAGATTTAACATAAGTACTACAAAATATGTTTTTTTACAATTAAACACTTGAATGATTGACAATATGTGTACATGCTGGCCGGGTGTACGATCTTCATCCAGTAGGGACATTCTGAAAGGATATCCTCGGTGAGATCAGTTTTGGTTGGTCGCACACTTGACCACTTGCTTCTCAAGATGTTTGATAGTCAGCCACTAAATCGCTGAGCGTGTGTTTAACGAATTGTGCGGTGAAAAAGTGCTTTGTCAAAAGTTTGCTTTCCATCTTTTGGTGCCGTTATGAACACCGATCCATTTTCCCATCCAGCCAAATGCTCTACGTGTATCATTTTTTTTGGCGCTTCTACAAAGTGATCTTTTCTGTGTTGTTTGTGTCACGGTGGGATGTTTGTCGTGGTGGTTGATGGTAGTGGGATTTTTTTTACGGTTTTAATGTTGCAAAATGTTGGTGCTTTTATTTTAAATTAGGGCTCCCCCGGCTTTATTAGGATTAATTTGATGTGTTCCGTGCACTTTGTCCCGCCGCGTATGTCTTACCGCAGGCTTATTAACGTGTCCCGTGCAAGTGTCTTAGTTTGGCTCTCTCGAGCGTTGCCGCCTAATTTAAAAAAATCGCGTGTCACTAGAAAAAAAATACCGTCACCATGTACGGTGACTTAAAGAGTATACTTTTTTAAAATTTTCAACGAAAACATCCTAAACTTAGATAGATGTAAGAACAACAATTGTAAATGTGTAATGAAGATTCATTCGAACGTTATCCAACTGAAAGAGACATCTCGCTCATTTTCAGAAGTTTGCCTGCTACTTTTAAACCATTACAGATTTGAGAAAACTTTTAAAGGAACCATCAGCACAAATTTCCTAAAAACATAATCGCGTCTTGCACTACTTAAATTAGTTTTAGGGCAGGGGTGAGGAACTTGTGGGCCATGGGCTGAATACAGCCCACGACTCCATTTCATATGGTCCACGGCCACATGAGGCCTATCACTTCTAAATGGCCTTCAAATGATACTTATCTGTCACCGCAAACATCTTTCTAACTGCACCAGTCGGGTAGAATATTTTTAATCTGGCAACAGTGTTTCTAATTTTAGCTCGCTCAGTCACTTCTGTTACAGCAAGGGTCCCTTGCAGTGACATAAGTGACTGAGATGCGTGGTCTGCAAAACATACTTGAAAGTCCTATTCAACCCTCTGAAATGGAAAGGTTTCCCCACCCCTGCTTTAGGTTGACCATAAAAATTAAAGAACAATAGTTAACCGCACGCATACCATCGGTTGTGGTGGTAAGTTTGTTGCCATTTCTCTCGTTGATTTTCTTTCTCCCCTTCCCCGTCTGTCTCTCTCCGTCACTCGCTTTCTCCGGTGCCATGGGGTTAGGATGTCATTCCCATCGAACCTGCATCACGCAGGGCTGACGCGCGCCGTGAGCGTCACCGAGGTGCTGCTTGACAACACCTTCACGCCGCCGTGCCAGCGCATGGGCGCCATGGTGGCCTTCCACTCCTTCGAGGACTTCGTCAGGTGCGCGAGAGTGGTGGCCAAGTGGGCAGGCAGGCGGTCAGACAGACATCTCCGGTGACACATATTCTCCTCCTACCCAGCTGCCGGCGTCTGGTCACCATTTGATTGATGGTGGTTGTGGTGATAGTGATAGAATAGTGCAGCAGTGCTACAAATTGGCGTCTCCCGAGCCGCATGCGGATCTTTAATCCACCACATGCGGCTTTATCAAAGGCGCATAATGTAGGACATACTATCACAGTAGCAAAGAATAATGAATTACTCTGGTGCTGTGCCGAAAAACTGTCAATATATATACACTTATATGTACACTTGGGTCTTCACAGAGCTCATGGGTACTTTTTGGCTCTTGGTCTGTTAGAGGTTGACCACCTCTGGCATAGTGGTTATCGCGCTGCACTGCGAAATAAGAAACCCGGGGTTTGATTCTCGGCCACGGGTCAAAATTAGTGGCGAGTGATACCAGAAGCGATTATGGACCTCAAAAGAGTCTTGGGAAAATATTCTGTTCGTGAGAACCTATTAAGGTTGGCATGGTGCACGAATGGGTGGTGTGTCAAGCACCACTCATGGCCACCTTTGCCTTCACAATGCCAATATTTACACACCACACCAGGAACTCATTTAAAGTCTGAGATGACCTACGAGAGGCTTACCACTGGTTCTGTTCGGTTACATGCCATGGTATGGAATCGAACTTGAGTCACTGGGTTTATAGTGCAGTGCACAAATTACTATAGTATCCCCAATTAATAAATGAATGCTCCGTGTTATTACTCATCATAAGCCGGTTGAGACAAATTCCCTTCAGCAATCTTATTTTTATTATTCTTTTTATATCTACGTGACTTTACCGAAAGAACCAAATAATAAGAGAGATCTATTACAATCTCTGCAGCGGTGGTAAGGGGCCGTCCATAAATGACGTCACGCACCTGGGGGGGGGGGGAGTCAGACATTTGTGACGATGTGTAACGATGGGGGGGGGGGGGGGGTTTGAGAAATGTGACGTCACATCAAAATGCGTAACTTTAAATAAATATAGACAACACGTTCTACTTGATTAAATAGACTTTTTAATAAATGTTTTCTCCTACAACATCAGAGTGCAGCGCCACATTAATTACGCACTACAATGACAATAGTTTAAAGCGATTTGAAGCATGTTTTATATATTTTTTTTGGGGGGGGGGAGTGGGCAGAGCTTTGTGACGTCATATTTGAGGGGGGGGTCTGACTTTTTGCGACGCCGTGTGATGAAGGGGTGGGGGGGGGTCAAAAATCGTCCAAAATCGCGTGACGTCATTTACGGACGGCCCCTAATGAATATGTTACTGCTCTTGGTTCTTGCAATGATGATGACGATGATGGCATTCATGCTCATCACATGACAGGGACTTTGAGGAGGTGATGAAGCATTTCTCGGATTCCCCTCCGGACAGCCCCATCTTCCTGGAGCCCGGGCGCTCCACCCTGTACGCAGAGGAGGACAGCAAGGTGAGCGAGTTGTGCGAACTTCGTTGCACACATTCCCGCAGCTGTGCGCCCTTCACCGGGTGCTCCGCTTGGTAACCCGGTTCCGGATAAGCTTAGCTCAGCTGGACCTCAGCCACTGGGCCCTTCACTTGCCAAGAGCGCTCTTTCCCCCATCGAGTGCCCTCGCAAATTTCACGAGCGCTCTCACTCACCTACCAAGTGCCCTTTTGTGCCCCGCGGAGTGCCCTTACACCCTGCCAAGTGCTTCTAGAGTCGGCCAATTATATTCTCTTGTATGTAATGGAACAAAAAAACCTCCTACGCAACACACACACTCTGCTAGGTGGTTAATGTTGTCATATATTGTATAATTTAAAGCATTTCTTTTTTGAAACCTCTTTTTAATAAAGCTCTTTTTCTTGCTAATTAAGTCAGGGTTGTTTATTCGTTTAAATTTTCGCATTGTTGCATGATAAATTCTGGCGGTCTCGAAATGAAGAGCACATAATGACTGCAACAACAACAGTCTGCCTTAGCAGTAGACCATGCTTTCCCACCTGATGATGGACGCTTGTGTTTCGCCCGAAACGTCGTGATTCATTTTATTTTATACCTACGTGACTTTACCGAAAGAACCAAAGAGTAGGAATAAGAGTGGTAAACATTTTCCCAGATATGTACTCGCTACCTTTGCTTTGTCTATGCTTTAATTTCTAATAATTTACACTCCTTTGTCACTCCACTGCTGAATGAGGGCTTTCCCACACCTTATGGCTCAGTGTGAATGAGTGAAGAAGGTTGGTAGGTCCAAGACTGGTTTAGATATTACTCGCAACTTAATGTTAGCCGTGGCCAGGAATCGAACTCAGATCGCCAAGTTCAGAGTGTTATGCAGAAACTATTGTGCCACCACTCTACTTGCCCTCTTCATCCTCATCACTATTGCTCTATCCACTGCTGGATGATACCCTCCCCGTGCTTAAACCGTCCGTCACAGTCCTGCAATGCCGCAGTCTATATCACACCTGAAACATGAGCTGATCTCATCGCTCCATCTCTGCAGTGTCATCCTTTTTATATCTTATTGCCCTTTGTCAGTCCACTGCTAGATGAAGGTTTCCCCATGTTTTGTTTGTCGTTGGGGTTGTTTGACAAGACTATGCTGCCTAGTGCTGGTTGGTTATGGGAGGTACCTAGGATCTGTTCAGATTTCACTCACCACTGACAGCCATGGCCTGGAATTAAGTCACTGGGTTGATAGTGCAGTGTAGAAATCACTTTGCCACCACTACACCCAATGGGTTGTTCATCGTAATAATCATCATCACCAATGATCCAACCACTGCTGGAAGAAGGCTGACTCCATCCCTCACTGTTCTACGACGCCGTAGTGCACACTCACTTTTGCACATGAGCTGATGGTCATCACTCCATCTCCACGTTGGTAAGCTTCTCTTACCTGACCATAAATAGAGGTTGGCTACTCCTGCTACATGCCATGACATAACACCACTTCGTGCTAATAAAACACAAATAATTGCAAAAAAACACACCAATAGAGGAATAACAGTGCCGGATGTTTGCAGAGTGTGCGGCAGGACCCGATCCACATCCTGAACGTGGCCATCAAGATAGACAGCGATACGGAGGATGATGAGCTGGTGACCGTCCTGCGTGACTTCACACAGTCCAAGGTGAGTGGGGAGCGTGCGGCCAGCGGAGAGATTTTATTGTCAGGAGAGTATGGGCAGTCAAAGTGTTTTCCAGTACAAACGTGTAATACGACTTGCACTCATCTGCTTTGGTGGCCCTCAGCCAGTGATGGAAATTCAACATTCCAATGGCAAGGGCCAATATTTTCAAAGGAAGACCACTGCTTAGATTACCACTTAGTGGTACCTATGTTATTGATTACAAATTTATGATGGGCAGTCAATTCATGATATGGTTTTGAACTCAGAACCTGATGATTTGAGTTGCACTTGCAATGTGAATATTTATCTTTTGGGATTTGAACTTAAGTCACCATGCCTCATAGTACAGTATGCCAGCTTGTTAACTGAGAAGTAATTCTGAGATATTTACTTCAGTGCACTATTCTCGACACATGAAGGGTTACACTGCTCTGCGAGAGACCCGAATGGATTCTTTGTCTCATGACACTGATAACACAATCAACTTGAAATTAGGGAGGGGAGAATGCAGTCAACAGTGTTTATGATGCTAATGCTGTGACTCGTTGTACCCAACAGAAACGGATACTGATAGACCGTGGGATTAGACGTCTGACATTCTTGGTGGCGCAAAAGGTATCGATCTGTTTTTACGATGAACTTCTCAACTGTGCTGCGCGTGCCGTCGTTGCGTCTAGTGAATCTGTGTCGTGCTGTGCTATGTGTTTGTATTTTTTTGTTTAAATATTGTCTCCTAATCACGAGCGTGTAAACAAACTTAACAAATGCAATGAAACTAATGCTATCTCTTTGTCGTACTTCAAGTAATTTTGTTTTTATAGTTCGCAAAAAAAGATGAAACCATAATGAAAATCGTTGTGAATTCTCCTACAAAATGGTAATGCAAAGTGATTTTTTTTCCTCCTCTCTAAAGAAATGCTATGATGATAAATAATAATCATAAGCCAATTAATCAAAGCATACCTCTTTGTTTTAAGTTGAATCTGTAATTCGTGTAGTGACAACTTGCTGATTTTCCTTTCCGGGAAAAGGACTTTAGGAAGCATTACGACTATGAGGTGGATCAGAGATTCCATGTAAGTGTAAGCAGGAGGTGAAGGCCTGTGGCGAGCAGCTCTCGGCATTTCATGCATTTGCGCTTGAGGCCATGGAAACTAAAACACCTTGGTTCTCAGGGGAGAGGCTTTAATCTGCACATGCTGCGCCGTCGTCATTTCTGCCACTCTTTGGTTCAGGCCTGGAAATGTAGACGAGCGCCATCAAATTCTCATTTGGGGCTAGAAGACCCTGATGAATGTACAACATTACTTTTTATTTATGTAGCGTCTAAATGCAACTGCGTTACAAGACGTAATCTCACATGTCCCAAATGTAGTTCATTAACAGTACTTATTCAGTGAATTGGGTACTAATTGAGGCTTTTATTAAGTAAAAAAAAAACTTTTGTATAGTTGTTACATTTTGTTTATTACAACAATTCAAAATATTTTTGACAAACATTCTTCATATTCCTCCCAACATTTAGTTTAAAAATTAAAGCAGGCTGAGGGTATACTGGTGTGTCCTTTCCTGAGAACCCAAGAAAGTGTAATCTTGTTTTTCATGGTCTATCATATCTCTGTGCTTCCATTCTTTCCAGCTTCTTTGCATCTTCTGATAAACATGGCCGGTAGAAGTCTGCGGAAGTGTGCAGGGATGTGTGGTTTTTATGAGCAAATCAAGACCACCCTGGCTCATCCAGTTAAAAGTTAACACGACAATAAAAAAAAACAATTTATCGGTTTGCCTGACATTGAATTAACGTGCAAGGTTTGCGACTGTTTTTGAATCATCGTGGGTGCTTCCGTGGATTGTTCCTCGCCCTGTTTACCAGACCCATGACATTCTGTGTTTGTTAAAAACTGTGCCCTCTTGACTCATGTGCCTTGATTCAATCCCTTCACCCACAATCTCTTGTTAAAGTCCCGACCTGATGTATTTCGTCACGCTGGATTTTGTGAAATCGGGTGACTGTTGAGTCTTAACAAGCGAAAAACTGGATTGGAGGGTTTTTTTTTTCAAAAGGCTGAAACGTTGCCGATCTCTGAGCAAACAGGCAGCTGCCTGGAGTTCTCCAACATGTGGTTGGGTTGTGTACCGCGTGTTGTTGTTTGGAATTATGTCTGATGTTTTGCTCCACAAGCTGGGAAATTCTTCAGAAACGGAACTATTCGGTTTCACTATTTGGAACCTTTCATTTAAAGTATTCGCTTTCTGAACAAGGTCCCATCACGTGGAGTGAAACGTCAGACATCGTTCCAAACAACACGTGGTAAAACATGAAAAGACATCAGGGATTTACATCACACAGCCGCAGAACTTGCGCAGTAATGGTGCGTCTAGTTGATACTCAGAGTAAATGATACATAAAAAAAATCTATCCGTCCAGTCATTTCTTTACATTTTCAAACAAAAGCCATAATTAAGCATCAGCCTTTTTTGCAAATAGCCTTTAACGTTAAACAGCAACGTTAAACTCTTCATTACACAAAAATAACGTGGGATAAACAAATTAATGGTTGAGTACAAGTGAAAAATAATATTAATCACATTTATCATTATCATTGCATTATAACAGAAATACTGTACGATAGGCCAACGGTCCACGCAGCGTCCCATTTTCAGAGCAGGCGACATAGCACAGAGGAGATTAACCGACTTACAGTTGGAAATCTCACTTTACACACGGTGCCTTAATTTTTTATGTTTGATTAATGAATGACCTGGATGTGTCCCCACTGGTGAGTTCAAATCAATTCCTAGCTCTGCATATCGGTGAGGTGCATCTCATGCTCAGACAGGTCATTCTTCAGCATCATCTGTCCTTTGGGTTTCAGCTAACCTAACGGGGCTCTCCCCGGGAGTCTTTGGGGTTTCGGCAGCGCATTCTCAAGCTTGCGCTTGCCGCCTCTCATGCCGCTTTTGTTCTGGGTCATCATTGCACCACTACCATGCTTCTGAGCGTCATGAATCTCGTGTTACACTTGCATTACTTCCGACCACATCATCATTGCTTGCATTGAATTTGTGCCACGCAGTGTGGAACACCTCGGAAAGTGGTGGGTCCTATTTAAGAGTAATTTGAATGCATATGTATGAGCAGTACACTGAGGTGTATTGTACATACGTGGCTCATGGTGCTGATACTGTGTCAGAGACGTCAAGCTGTCCAATTGAGATCCTGGGTTAGAATCTGGATTCCAGCTACCAGAGATTAAACTGGGTTCTCAAGTGTAGCGAGTTGATGGTCTCAGTCCGGTCACCAATAATACCCATCAAAAATTCCCATTGTGTTAAATTCTGTTTTTTTTCTAAATTTGGCTTATTCCATCTCTGAGTACAAAAGCTTTGGATTGATTTTTCAGATGTCAAACACTTAGGCATGTAAAATGTGCGCCGCTTAGTGTGGATAGAGGTGTCTTTTGAAGGGACTTTTGAATTAATTCTGTGACGTCATCTTTTGAGGGCCGTTCTCTGACACATAGTGGTTCCCTGCTCACTACAACAGTTCCGGGTGGACATTTTCTCATCTCATGGCATGACTGATGACGCAACTGGAATGTAATTGTGGGATAAAGTTGGGATTTTTTTTTTAATAAAACAAAAACTATTCATGTGGTGGTAGCGGTTGTGCATTGGTGCCAATATGTGCCTTCCAAAAGTTTTTATCTCTTTTGTTTATTAATCCTCGATTGTGTTTTGCTACTCAATTTTTGCCACGTATCTTACAGAGAGAGTTCCCCAAGTTCTTCACGTTTCGTGCTCGTGACAAGGTACAGAACCTCCGTTGCTTTAGCCTCACGACCCCGCAGGGCTAGACAGTAGTGTGCTTGGAGCGTAACATTAAAGCATGAATGCATTTGTTCTGTCCGTCCGTCTGTCCTTCTCTCTGCCCGTTATGACAGTGGGGGAGGTGGTGGGTCCATGATAACTGTTGTTAAGATGTACGAAGATAAATGGCATTTTATTATAAAGTTGTGTTGCTATGAGACTTATCCTGTAGAAAACTGACAATTTATCAAAAGGTTGCCCAAAACTTGACTTAAAAGCAGTGCTAATGGCATTTTCCTTGCCAGCCAAGGCAACGATGTCATTACATGCACGACATGTGATGTATGATGTCATCCGCGTGTGCGTCATGAGAGGCAAAGTGGCTGTGGCTAATTAAGCACTTCTGAGGACAAACGTGTGTTGGAAGGCTTTCCCGAATCCACGCGTATATGGGATTTTTCCAGCCTTGTTTTATTCAAAACATTTGGCGACGATGCGGTAGTCTCTGGGTTTTCGTCCTCATTGGTGCCGCTCACGCTCCTTCCCCCCCACCCCCCCCCATAGTTCGAGGAGGACCGCATTTACCGCCACCTGGAGCCGGCGCTCGCCTTCCAGCTGGAGCTAAACCGCATGCGCAACTTCGAGCTGCACGCTCTGCCCTGCGCCAACCATAAGATGCACCTGTACCTGGGCACGGCGCGCGTAGAGCAGGGCATCGAGGTCACCGATTACCGCTTCTTCGTGCGCGCCATCATCCGCCACTCTGACCTCGTCACCAAGGTGAGGCCACCGAGAACACGCTCTCTCCCTGCCCGCCCTCCCGATTGTTCACACCTTCTGGAGTGAAGAGATGGCTTCCTTCGTGCAGGACTAAGGGAGCGAATTGATTGCATCCCACACGTGTATTAGATAAAGTCGAAAGTCAAGAGGGGACCATGCTTCGGAAAACTGAATGGTGCATCCGAAGGACATCGTCGCGTTGATGGTTTGTCCCTCGTTGACAATGATAGGATTGTTGGCGTTTTGTGTCCGAAAAACCCGATGGAAGGGAACATATGAAGCAATTGGCGGGACCCCAGGGTCCCATCACTGCCCCGGGGTGGGAAAAACCGCGTAGCGACACGAGTCTTGCTTTACCGACAACAAAACTAGTGTCAATCGATTGGCCTCGTCGAGAGCTACTCGGGGCACTCAGTTTCGTAAAAAGTTGAAAAATTACATAAACACGTTAAATTCATTGCGGGGGCGGGCTCGCCTTGGCAAAGAAGCTGAGGATCAACGGCTGACGGAGGGCGTTGTCGCCGCGCGCGACTGCGGCGGACACCCGGGCTTGCGTTTGGCCGGTGGGGTGGCGCCCATCGTGTCGATCGCCGCCTGCTGGCGCTTGTTGGCGCGAGTCTGGGGGGGCGGCGCGTTGCTGTTGGGATCACGAGTGGGCGGACTGAAAAATAATAATTATTGACCTGATTTTTGCGGGACCCCGGGGTCCCGCCAAATGATTCATATGCCTAAAAAGAGTTTACTTTATGTGTGGGGTATTTAATCAATGACTTGCTTTTTTGCCCATCCAAGGACGGGTGTATATTGCAGTAAATCTGAAATATTCAAGAGAAAAATTGTTCAGCTCATGATTATTAATGAGGGGGGGGGGGGGGTTGCCCCATGTGGAGTGACGTCACCCCCTCATGGTTATTGTGGAGGGGTGCGGCATGTGGAGTGACATCACCTGCTCATGATTATTAATGAGGGGAGGGGTGCGGCATGTGGAGTGCATGACCTTCTTGTGCGTTAGTGTAGATTTCTACGTGGGCATGAATATTAATGAAGGGGGGGGGATCTTTTGCAGTGACGTCACGCACGGATGTAGCACTGTGCTGGATAGATTTATTTTTTATCGTCACTTTCTGTAAAAAAGCGTCATATTTGAAGCGACTTTGCGTAATACATTTTTAATTCAGCTCGACCTTCTGCGTTAGTGGAAAAATCCACCTACTCATGAATATTAATGAGGGGGGGTGGGCCTTATGTGGAGTGACGCAAGGCCATAATTATAATATATATTGAGGGGAACATCCCCCCAATATGCAAATATGGTCAAAATGTCCCCGACAATATATTGCTATAAAAAAAATTGCTATGCGATGTAAATAAAAACAACAATTTGCTAAACCTTGGCCACAATATATGGACTTGTCTTCATATAAATCAATGCATAGATTTCTGTTTATATGATTGTAGTTATGGTTGTACTTTATTAATCCCTAATCTTTGCCATTACATACAATGTAACAAGAAATTGTAAAAAAGTAAAAACAGAGCAATGTAATAAAATACGCTATTAGACATTATTGTAAAAAAATAAATAAAAAGTCCATCCCATGTGTTAGTGAATTTTTCAATATTTTAGGCAGGAAATTCGTTTTCAAATTTAGATATTTTTCTGGGTTGGGACCCCCAGACACCCTGGAAGAGTTGGTCCCCCCCAATGTTGACTCCATGGCTACGGTCTTGGAGTGACGTCACGCGGGGGGTTGGGCCTCATGTAGAAGTGACGTCACGCGCGGGACGGACAGACATTTCTGGGTGATTATAGTAGGTAATGAATCTAACTGACCAAGAGCTCCAGTAAGAGGGGCGTTTGTGCAAATGTGCGTTGGAGGTCAGCAACACAACTCCAGGTCTACTTTGCAAAATAAACTTCTGGTTGCCTGATCTTTTCAGATATTGGAAGCTGAGCAGGTTGGAGTCTGGTTCGTACTTATATGGGAGACACTCCCTATGATACCAGGTGTTATAGACTTGGATTGTGATGTGGTTGAGAGATCATGGGACCATAACAGATTCTTGAATCTGCCTTTAATAATCACCTCGTATGAGTGTCTTTTCTCCAGATACCCCTGTTCTATCCCACAATACTCATTAAATGGAATTGACCAAGCCAGGATGTTCCTGAAAAGAATATAATCTGAGAAAGGCTTTTTTAAATAAATAACATGAGTATTATTTAAGTATTTTGCATATCCTCATCTGTGGTTCATTTTCGAGTATGTTAACATATCATTGTCGTATTTTTGTTGAAAATGTGTAACTGGGATATTTTGCGTGTTGACACATTTGCGCCTTGCATGTAACTCACACGCTCGTGTATGACTCACGCATGGTGTGCTCGTCTGCCGATCCGTACGTCTGTCTGCTGCTTCGTTTGTTCATTCGCTGTTGCGACCATCCGTCCATCCTTGCAGGAAGCGTCGTTCGAGTACCTGCAGAACGAGGGCGAGCGCCTGCTGCTAGAGGCCATGGACGAACTGGAGGTGGCCTTCAACAACACGGCCGCGCGCACTGACTGCAACCACATCTTTCTCAACTTTGTGCCCACCGTCATCATGGACCCTTCCAAGGTACTCACGCCACATGCGTCGGCGCTGCACAATCGTCAGTTGGCACGTGAGCACGTTGTGCGCTTGATCGGGCAACGAGATGGGACGCAGACTTGCGCGCCGACTCGCGACGGTGGACGTGCTTTCTCTTGTGCCGTTAGATCGAAGAGTCTGTGCGCAGCATGGTGATGCGCTACGGAAGCCGGCTGTGGAAGCTGCGTGTGCTACAGGCCGAGTTGAAGATCAACATCCGCCTCACGCCCACAGGCAAAGCCATCCCCATCCGCCTCTTCCTCACCAACGAATCCGGCTACTATCTTGACATCAGCCTCTACAAGGAGGTCACTGACCTCCGCACCAGCCAGGTAAATGCAGGAACATTTCCTGGCATTTAATGTTCTTGAAGATGTAGTCCAAGCTACCAGGGATTGAGCATCATCATAATCATCATGGGACCTCCTTTGTCAGTTCCAAAATATGAGAATAGGTTTTCCGAAAGAACCAAGAATATGAATCCCTGCAGTCACGAAAGCTTTAAATCAAAATTTAATGCATATATTATCAGAGTATTTTTTTGTTTGCATTCTGACCACAAGTATTGTGGTTAATGCAGACATGATTCCTTGTAAAAGGTTTCAGTTTGGTGTTTTAACATCTTAACACGTGTTTTGTTGCCAGAAAAAAGGGGAAAACCTATTCTCATCATCATTATCAGCTTTGATCTGTGGGTGTTGTTTGACAAGTCGTCATCAAGCAGGGTCAGTGCACGTTGGTGAAGAGAAAAAAGTTCCCAAGACCTGGATTGTTTCAGATATCTCTCGTCACTAATGTTCGCTGTGGCCTGGAATCAAACTCGGGCTCCATTCATAGTGCAATGTGCTATTTATTGTATAGTGGCTTGAACTTATTTCGTACCGTATGTAGCGAACCATGCTGATCAGAGGTGCGGGGGAAGGATAAGAAACTAAATAAAAAAATCAGCTCTAAATAATTGGGTTTTCAATCGCTCTACATGTGAATCATTAAATATCTGCATTAAGCAAACAACTATTATTTTGGAAATACATGTGTGGTGCTCGCCACATGACCTTCTTGTGTGAAGTGGTAGACTTCATAAGTGCTCGCCAATATCACATGTCCCAAAAGCTTTGAAAACGTGGTATGGGAGATCTTTGTCTCCATGTACGTCTCACCCCTTTGCCTTGCCATCCTTTTCTTTTCATCACAGATCATGTTCCAGGCATACGGTGACAAACCGGGCCCTCTGCATGGCATGCTCATCAACACGCCGTACGTCACCAAGGACCTCCTGCAGTCCAAGCGCTTCCAGGCTCAAAGTTTGGGAACCACTTATGTCTACGACTACCCTGAGATGATCCGACAGGTGGGCGATGGGGCTGTTTCACCTGAGTGGAGGCGGCACATACACTGGGTTTCAAGTTTATTTTGTGTCACATTGTGAAAATTGAAAGGGGCCAGCATCGTCTCAATTGTAAGAGTGACCTGTGTCACCAACATGACAAAAGCAATAAATAAAGTACAGCAAGCACATAGAAAATTATAGCAAAGGCAACTGCATCATGGGAGAAATAAAAAATAGTGCAAAAATGTGACTTATTCTAATTAAAATTGCCCTGTTACGTTTGGTAAATTAGATTGTTATCCAAGACGAAAAGACATTTTTTTTTTTAAAGTTTAACTAACACTTTGTCTCTCTCATTATATCTGGTACTATCTGTTTCCTTGTACTGATTGAACTTCTCCCCCAGATAAGATGGTCGCCCGATTTACATACTGCTGCAGGGAGTTTCTACGTTATATCATATCTATGGGGCAGCCGCCACTGCTGCTGCAGGCGCCATTCATTCATTCATTGATGCGCTTTTAATTAAAAACGGTGTCCCTAAGTGCACATCGCATTATAGTGAAAATCGATTTGCGCACATGGACTTAAATGGTGTTAAAAGCACCCATAGCAAGTGAGTGTTGAGCCCTGCCTTTAAGAAAGATAGTTTTTCCTCTCGGGGAATTTTTGTTACATAATACACCCACGAGCATTTGTATTACTTGAAATTCGGTTCCATTCTGAAATGTTAAAACCAAAGGAGTAATTAACTTGTCATTAATTTTATGAATGTACGTTCCTACAAAAAGTGTATGTTTATAAAATTTACTAGAACTGTAACTGGAAGTGCGCTATACTTGGTTTCTGTTGACCTTCGCATCACACTCCACTGGAGGCAAATTACTTGGTTCACTCATGGTGGGAATCATGTACGTTATTTAAAAATGTTTTTCAATTTTAAAGGAATGTACGAGTAAAACCACTCAATCTCAATACTGTAATTTATAACGGCCTAAATATTGCATACATATATATATGTATTCTTGGTTCTTTATTTTATTGTTTCCCTTCTACGTGACTTTACTGAAAGAACCAAGAATATGAATCCCTGCAGTCACGAAAGCTTTAAATCAAAATTTACATATATATGGTTGTGCTTATCACAACAGTAAGGTTGCAAGTTCATTTCCCGTTCGTAGGCGGGTCATTTTGTGGATTTTTATGTACATATACAGGCCTTCTGTTAACCTCCTGCTGGATGAAGGCTCCCCTGCACTGTACGAGCCATGGCAGTTATTTGACTAAACTTCACCACACTGTTCAGTGCGAGTTGTGAAGGTGTGAAGCACAGCCGTGGAAATCCTCACGTCGATAACAATGCATTTTGATGAACTGCCCCCTGCTGTCAACCGCTTAGCCCCGCAAGCCCTATGACAACCTAATTGTCTATGGTGGTCAACCACTGCAGCACTATCCAAAGAAAAACCCTGCTTAGTTTCTGAGATCTGAGGAAATTGTGTGCATTCGGGGTGATTTGGTCAAATTTGCGGCCGTTACGTCCGCAAATTTGCGCGCGTTATAAATTGCATTATTATTATTGGTCACTGACTACAGGGCGACTCGTTATCCTTAAGACTCAATGAAATGAGTGATTTTGCATCGCAGCTCAAGAGTGGTTGGGTTATAGTGATGTGAAATTTGCAGCATGAGCTTGGGGTCACTAAACAGAAACTAGCGCCAAGCACATTGGTCTGTCTTTATCAGCGAGACACTTTGACTTTTGACTTTAATTAACAACATTGTCCCCAAGTGCACATAGCATTACAGTGATAGGCATAATACGGGTAGCGTATTTACCGTGCAGTAAAGTTATGACCAATTAACACATCTGTTCTCCGTGAGCTTCCAGCAGAAGGTGTTTGGGGACCTTGAGTGCAGATGGGGTAGGGCCCTTAGAATCCCCACCGCGACTGTCTTGTAAACCCGTAGGCATCACATGGTTTTCCTCACCGCTACGATTCGACGAATTGTCCCAATTCTGGGCTATGTTTCGATTTGTAAATAGATTCGTGTTTTGCTAATTTGTGAGCATCAATGAAATAGTGGTATAAATCTATGGAATTTTCAGTTTCATGAAGGTTACATGCATATATCAATCAAATGATTGGTTCCTACTACTACGCGTATGATTGAATGCTTTAGAACGAGCGTGAGAACCGATTTTACTTGATAAATTAATGCATTGTTGAATTCCTATAAGCTGTAAGTTGTCTAATTAACTATGCTCACCATATATACCTTGAATTGTGCACGTGAGACTCGGTTATTTTCAATTATAATATGTTGTACATCATCACTTTGTGGTTCCCGTGCAGCCACTAGAGGCGCAGTGTTTAAAATAAAAATCTTCTCTTGAATCGAATCACAACCCTGAATCATGACAATTCATCGACTTCAAAACAGGCAGTGGGGGGCGGGGAAGGGGAAATCATTACATGATGAATAATAATAAATTATCATTGATGAATCGACGCGTCCTTATATCCCCCCTATAAACCTCCCCCTCTACTCTACCCTTTCCATACCTTATCTCCCATCTCGTCCCTGCAGGCACTGCTCAAGCTGTGGGACGCGTATGGTAACGGGCTGGCGCACAAGGACGTGCTGACATACACGGAGCTGGTGCTGGACTCGCAGGATCAGCTCGTGGAGATGAACCGGCTGCCCGGGGGCAATGAGGTACCGCCACGCGCGAAGCGGCCACTGCCACTGTTACCGCGCCACCACCGTGACTGACGACCTAATTGTATGGAATGCCACACACCCCTCCACATTGTGCTCTTCTCCGTTCTGAGTTTTGGTTCCTTGTGCCGTTGCGGGCCAGATCGGCATGGTGGCATGGAAGATGTGGCTGAGGACTCCGGAGTACCCGCAGGGTCGGACTGTGGTGGTCATTGCCAATGACCTTACGCATCGCATTGGCTCATTCGGGCCACAGGAGGACCTGCTGTTCCAGCAGGCATCGCAGCTGGCGCGCACGGATGGTGTGCCACGCATCTACATCGCCGCCAACAGCGGTGCGCGCCTCGGCCTGGCCGAAGAGATTCGGCACATGTTCCACATCGCCTGGGTCGACCCCAGTGACCCCTACAAGGTGAGGTGAAGGGTCTGAGCGTGTGTGTGTATGTGTGTGTGTCGTGTGGAGGGTGCGTTGTGTTTAAGGCATGTTATAGTTTACATTTAGAAGGCGCAATTGATCTAGGGATCTCAATGTGTCATGAACGAAATTAGGCTCACTCACCTAAACAGGGTGAGTGAGTTTGCTTGTCTAACCACTGGTGGGAGGGCATGTTGAAATTGTTGAACGTGTGTAAAATGTGCAGCCTTAGATTCAAGGCCGAGACCCACATGGCCATGTCCAGGAGCTCTTAGTTGAAGCCGAAAAGCACAAAGCCGGGGGAGTTTTAGGTCAGGGCCTGTGTCAAGGCTGGATCCTCTAGGCTGAGGCCACTGTCAAGGCTTGGTGCCTCTAAGTCAAGTTCCTGGAACAAGGTCACACCACCAAACGCAAGATCAAGGATAAGATCTAAGAAGGTGTCTCTGAGCTGGTCTCGAGGACGCTGTGTTGTGTGGAATATATGTCGTGTCGAATTGATATCCAGCCAGGTGGCGAAGTGGCAGAGTAGCAGTCTTAGAATCAGAAGGAAGATCAGGAATTCAGCTAACAGTCACGTTCATATGTAAAGACTAGTTTCCACCATATGAATGCGAAATTTCCACCACTGGCTCATGCCTATTGTTTGAATTTGAATATGATGATACTTAATAAAATTTCCATATGATTTGATCAATAGGATAACCTCAATATGTGTATTGTCTTACGCCAAAATAAATTAATGTATCAAAGGACATGTGCTGTCAACTGTGACGACGTGTGTCACTGCTGATAGCTCTGACAACACGCGTGTATTATGCATGTGATGTAATGATTCATCTCCACAGCTTCACTACTCCCCCCATCCGCCCATGCATGATTCAATAGATTTTCACGATTCATGGTCACACTTAATTTATGGATCAATTAATTTTGTCCCTTTTGAACTGCCTCATTTTGATTGTCTGTCCGGTGTTTTCCATCTGTACTGTCTGCCTCGTTGGTTCCATTGGCAAACACAAATGCAACTGGAGAATAACATTTGCATTAATCATAAATAATGCACTGTGCATGACAATGAGCATAACAATGTATTGTTATGTTATGCTCAATTACTTGGTTATATGCCTGGTGGATATAATTCCCAAATTCGCCCATCTGCCCAGAGTTTCAAGTACCTGTACCTGACCCCTCAAGACTATAAGAAGGTCAGCGCTCTCAACTCCGTTCACTGCGAGCACATCGAGGATGAGGGGGAGTCCAGGTAATGATCTCAGTCGTCCCCCTCCACGGGAAATTATCTTTGTTAACAGAGCTCTTAGGCTACGTATTACTATGCCCAGAAAATAATCTCTCTGTCCATCTATCTGTCTGTCTGCCGGACATGTGCATTGATTGATATGTTCGTAAGAAAACTATAAATCCGTAAACCTGTCACTATGAAACTTACTTCACAGCTTATCATTACCAAGAACCAGATCTGTATAGTTTATGGGCAAGATTGGCAATGAAATACTTTTTAGGAAGTCTGCTACAAAAACTATATATAACATATTGCGCACTAGTATAGTTAGCGAGCGTGCATTAGTATACAAGCACACTGGTGTTCATCACATTTTCTGAAGGGCCCTGTGCAATCAAGTTCAAGAAATCAAAAGTGTGCATATGGTGCATTGTGTATTCTTTTTACACGTGGATAATTTGGCCACACATTGTATAAAATATCAACATATATCGCTTTCAAAATTTACAATGTTCCCACTGCTGCATGCCAGCGTGAGGGGTTGGAAGATTGGGGGCAGGACGAGAGTTGGTGGGAAGTGAGGGTGGGGTGGCAGGGTGAAGCACTGGCGGTGATGGCTACCCTTTCTGTATTTTACACTAAGTGTGGCCTTTACAAATAGATGACCACTTGTTCAGCGAAAGTTCATTATGGTAATAAAAATGTGAGCACATTTGGCCATTACACCGCATTGACCTTTTCAAAATGCTAGTTTTACGGTGAGGTGTATCGCGTTTATTCATGAGTGCTCCGCACCTCCCGGGCAGTGTTTACGCTTTTAGCTGGCAGCCTATCGCAGCGCTGCATATTCCGCGTTCAAATTGGCACCGATTAGGATCAGTGATTTGCAAAAAAAAAGCGAAAAAGTAGCATACGTGGTATGTAAGTGATGATGGTAGCAACCGTAGCAAGTAAGTGCTGAGCTGTGCCTAAAATATTCATGATTAATCTGCACTGCGTGTAATGTAGATGCACAGCCCTTCATCGATCCACTGCTGGATGAGAACCTCCACATGCTGTGTGGGTCATGAGCATGATGACCATACTTTGCTCGGCTAGTCATTGTGGGTTGGTGGAGCCAGGGAGCAAAGAGTACACTATAACAATGGATTTTTGCTGCACTGACCTCTGCTGCCCAACCACATTGCTCTGAAGCTGTCGATGACAACCATTTTTTATGCGAGCACGATCCAGGCTCAACCTATACTTAGCTTTTGAGCTCTTGCGAGATCTGGGTGCATTCTGGGTGGTGTTTTCACAGGTGCCGAACTGAACACTAATTGCAAATTTTACACCCTGCAGGTACAAAATCACTGACATCATCGGCAAGGAGGAGGGCCTGGGTGTAGAGAGCCTGCGCGGGTCTGGAATGATCGCCGGGGAGAGTTCCCAGGCCTACGAAGAGATCATCACTATCAGCTTGGTAAGATGCAATATACCCCAAAACACTCATAAATTAAAACCTGGTCACACAAGATAGCTGAAAGAAGTGGCTTATCAAATGTGGGAATTCAAAGTAGCCAAATAATCTAAATGCATGTTTATAAATGTGGAGGGCATATTTGGAGGAACCCAGACAAAAATACATATGACCGCAGGGAGAGAACACGCGAACTCCAAATAGGCAGGGATTGTCAGGGTCGGAATCAAACCCACAACCTCTTTCGTACCAAACCAGGGAGATAACATCATCCCACCGCGGCAAATTGTTATACTGGAACATTCCCACGTTGATACCCATGACACTGGTAATTGGTGATTATACCTCCAGATGTCGTGTCCATTACCCATGATAGACATAAGCAGGGATTCATTTCTCACTGAATATTTTCCTGATCATTTTTGGACTTGTGCAGATGGCACGTGACTAGTAGTATCAGCCATGACAAAAATGTACGCTGAATGTGATGTGCTATGTACGTAAATATTTAATCATACCCTGGGTGTTAAGGATTGGTGGTACCTTGAGGTATTGCAATGCCAGTGTTGTGATCTCAGAAGTGCTATTATTATGATTATCATCATCATTGTCAATTACCAAGGTTTATCCATTTCTGGACGAAGGCTGAATAAAGAGCTCCCTGCGCAGTTTCCATCCCTCACGGTACTGCAGTGCCACAACCTATCTTACTCCTGCGCATGGGCTGATCTTATCACTTCATCTCCTCGGCGGTGGTCCTCGTGAACACACGAGTTCTTATACACCATGCGTTGCATACAGACTTAACTTGGCATACACCAAGCTCCCAAGCGGCAGGAATAATTTGTTGTGGATGAGTGTTTGCGTGCGCACGCTCATGCCCCAGTGTAGGGCACTCACCTGGTCTTTGTGTGCGATGCGCGCCCCTGTATGTTTGCACACACTTGCCTGAAGGCATCTACGCAATGATGGCGATCACTCGGTGTGGTAGTATAGTGGTTAGCGCACTGTTTTACGAACCCGGCGACCCAAATTAAATTCCCGCTCATGACCAATAACATTGGTGAATAATTTACGTAGAGATCTCCGATGCAGAATAACATAAAGGATATTGTTTACTCATCATTAGGTGCGTGTAGCGTGTAACAACTTAATTTGAACGGAGAAGATTGGTAAATGTGCAAGGCCGGTGGTGGATCGCAGCTACTGTCACAATGCAACCCTGCTGAAGGGAATTACCCAAGTGCTCAGTCTACTGTGAAGGTGAAGTTTAAAGGGTTTGCAACTCTATTGGAAAGAATAGATCATGGACCCAGAGTGCTAATGCCTTTGCCAAAATTTGGCAAGACTAATTTGAAATTTTAAGTTATTTCGCTGCAGGGGGTGAACACCTCTGTAAATGAGGTAATGGGTGAGATTCACATCTTTAAAAAAAATTGGTGTAAATCGATTGCTTTCTGTGATGTCTCCCTTGTCCTATTCACATCTCGCATTTAGAGCAATTTCATAACGTCCGCCAAAGTGGCTGAAACCAATTGTGGACCGTGGGCTGGAGAAGCAACGTAAAGATGCATCGATTAATTTATTGATGCCAATTTTAATGCTCAGGATGTTAGAATCAAATCGTTAATCACTATCTATTATGCACATATATATCTTCATTATATTCTCATGTTACATGTAGGCAAATAGAGTGAACACAACTGTGTGATATAGATATGAAAACTTTTTGAAAGAATATATAAATGAGATGTAAAAATTAAACTAAAATAATCCTTTCTTGAAAAATATTGTCATCCTCTCATCACTCAACTCCCCTCCATACACACTCCAACATCTCCCTTCTCATTTTACTCTACTCTCCTGTCATTCCAGCAACCGTGGTTTTCTGTCGAAGCCCTCAGTCAACCTTCTTTCAAATAGGTCACTCGTTCCCCCGCTCATTTTTATCTGTTTCGCACACTGTGTGGTTTGTGGGTGTAATATACCATACTTCACCACATTGGTCAGTGCAGGAGCATAGATTAACATTGCAACAATTAAGTTGTGCATGGTGATCATCCACCCAAACGATATCCAGGCTCAACCCAGCACAGCCTCTGAGATCTGGCCCATTCTGGGTGATTCATTCTCATGATGATTAAATGTAATTGGGCATTGCGTTATTAGCACAGTGGTGTCGCCAAACTGATTACTCATCCCGTGTACACACGGCATTTTTACCCCTCAAGTTAAACATATGATTCTAGCTTTCGCTATCAAGGTCAGAGTCTCTCACCTCTGTGAGGGACCGACCTGGCGGTGTTCATGTGTTGGTTTGAGTGGTTTTTTTGGCAGGTGTTTCAAGTTGACATCTATCGATGTTAAAACGTTCCCCTTGGGCTGGCACGATACCGTTGTCATCATTTGCGTCGCGTTAGGATGCGTTAACCAACACAAGCGATTGGTTTGAGGTGGCAGGGGAGGAAATCCGTCAAGACTTCATACGTAAGAGTTTTAACAGGTCCATGGCGAGGTCGCTTTAATTAAATTGTGACCATTAGCCTGGGAAGATGAAACTCGCCCCCTCACGCCAACCCACCCTCACTCGCTCTCCACTCACCCGCCGATCCACCGCCCCCTACTCTCCCCCCACCACTCCCCATCTTTGCACTAACAGGTCCACTTATGGGCGAGAGTATTGATTCCGGCCGTTACATTTACTCCTTTATCCATTACGTCTGGGTATGGGTTACGGCCAGAGCTGCCGTATCCACGTGGGGACCATTTACTCAGACTGATGCCTCATTAAATGACAAAAGGTTCATTGGTCTTCAGCACACACGCACGCACACGCACGCACACGCACGCACACAGGCACGGGCTGGTAATGTTACGAGTAGTGTACCCACTCGGAATATAACAATTCACTCACCCTCCCCGCCAACCCCTTCCCCCCATCTTCCACCGGCGATTCGATGAATTGTCACAATTCCTGGTTGCGGTTTGATTCCAGAAATTATTTTTTCGTGTTATTTTAACAACTCATTTGTATTGCTAACTTATTTTTTTCTATGGCTAAACTAGTGTTAGTTATATTTATTTATTTCCCATCTACACACAAAGCCGCTATCGCAGCCCGCTTCGCGTTTTGTTTGCGTCTTTTCTTGCCTTTCGACAGTTTAATTGCATTTGTTGGTAGAAGTTTATGCATAGAAAACAAACACAAACAAACAACTGGGATGGTTGAACGGAGCCTGCTGTTGCATTCATTTATGACACATCTTGGTGCTGTGCCGGGTGACATATGCTATCATGCTTGGAGGTATATCTGGGGTATCTTGTTTAGGCAGCTGTAATTTTTTCTTTTCCCCCGCTCAGTGACAGGTGCCACACCGAGCGATCAGCATCAGTGTGTAACTGATCCAGCTGCATCACAACTGTTATCTGCGCTGTCACTGTGCGCGCGCGCCCTGCGCACACATGCAGACACGCGGCAAAACGCGTATCTTATACAAATGGTTAAAATGAAAATGGTTGAAATGCGGTCATTCGTTTTTTTCATGCCCCTGACTGCTTGATCAGTATCGGTGCTCTCTCACGCGCACACTCTTACCCGGGTCCAACATCGTGTAATTTCCCATTATCTCAGACGTTACAACGTCCGGTCTGAAAATTCGTTTTGTCTTTGTTGTAATGATTAATTGTTACCAGAGGCAAAAAAAAAACGTTGCGTTTTTTGGACTACTGTAATCTTTCTTTGTTATTTAAATTGTGATATGTGTTTATTCTAACAGAGAAGGTGATTGTGGCTGTCTAGTTCCTACTGCTGGTGGGAATATTGTACTTATAAGATGTATAAATGCATTCTTTTTATATAGTATTAATTCAGCCAACAGCTAATTTAAGTGTTATTTTTTTCCTTGTGACATATTTGTCCGTGTAAGAATTGAATGAAAACAGGATTGTTGCACATTCGGGGCCAGTGGTTGTATCAAACGAAATTAGATGGAATAAGGGATATTTCTTGTATACAGTCTATCGTTATCATCATCAATAACAACCATCATCATTATCCATAAACCTTATTTTGCATATAGTTTCTGTCCTTCAAATGATTAGCGATTGTATGTAAAATTTGCACAATGCTCATCACGACAGCAAGTCTCTTTTTGCGAGGGTGATATGTGGAAAATCCAACTGGAAGGTACAGGCTAAAACAAAACAGTGTTCAATATTCTTTGCAAATGAATGAATTTGTGCAAGAAATAAAGAGAACAAAAAAACATTTTTATCTCGTGGAGGAAAATTACGTACTGTTCATCATCAAAAGATACAATTATAATCATCAGCATAATATTAGTTGAGAATAGTCATTATAATAGTCAGCCATGCTATTCTCATCATCGGAATAATGATTCAATTACCTACTATAATCACCCAGAAATGTCTGTCCGTCCTGCACGTGACGTCACTCCACATGAGGCCCACCCCTCTCATTAATATTCATGAGTGGGTGGATTTTTACACTAACGCAGAGGAAGGTCGAGCTGACTTAAATAATCTATTACACACAGTCGCTTCAAATATGACGTTTCTTTACAGAAAGTGACGGTAAAAAATAAATCTACGCAGCACAGTGCTACATCCGTGCGTAACGTCACTGCAAAAGAGGCCCCCCCTCCTTCATTAATATTCATGCCCGCGTGGAAATTTACACTAACGCACAAGAAGGTCGCGCACTCCACATGCCGCACCCCTCCCCTCATTAAAATCATCATCAGCGGGTGACGTCACTCCACATGCCGCACCCCTCCACAATAACCATTAGTGGGTGACGTCACTCCACATGGGGCACCCCCCCCCCCCCTCAATAATCATGAGCTTAAAATGTTTCTATTTAATATTTCAGATTTACTGCAATATACACCCATCCTTGAACGGGCAAAAAAGCTAGTTTCTAATATATTCCGTGGCATTGACTGCTATATTTGTTGTCAGAAAAGGCCCCTTCATCTGCTTCCTATTCGCACTAAGTGGCACCTCTTCTCACATGCCTTGCAAAGAGTGTTCGTCACATGTCAGGAAAATCAAAACATTTAATTATTTGGAGCTGGAATTAGCCGAAATACATGACAAAGCAAATTTAATATGATTGGAGTTTTGGCACAGTAATTGATTATGACCAACTTAAACCATAAGCAATTCATGATTCACCACCCCCACGATTTATTTCAAATGCCAACTATTTGAATATAATTGTGAATAACTGATTATCACATATGTTACCCATGCCCATTGTGTCTCGTCGTTCTGGCCGTGATCTTCACCTAACCACATGAGACAATCATGCAATCAGGTTCGGTAGTCCTCTGCGTCATATTATTGCTTGAGCTGTTAGGGGCCATCCATTTCGTATGTACGCATGGAGGGGGGAGGAGGGTTAACCCAAACGCGTATGCTTGCGTATGGGGGGGTCTACTGACAATCTACGCATAGGAAACCGGGGGGGGGGGGGGGTGGGATGAAGCCTTGATAATAATTTGCCTATATTGGCCTTCAAATGAGCTAGATAGTCCGGCGGTGGACTATCTGTTTGCTTAAACACGTTAATATTGTTAATCCTTTTATCGTTTCTGCGTAGATTAAATATCGGCTGTTCTATAGGATTCGCGGGGGGGGGGGGGGGGTTGTAAAAAGTATGCGTGCGTACAGGGAGGGGGGGAGGGGTCAAGTTTTGACAGATTTTTTCGTATGTACTAAATGGATGGCCCCTTACGGCTCTTTTTGATGTTGCAGCACGCCACACTGTTTCAGCATTTCACTTGGCTCCCATATCCTAAGTCCTTCGTCTCGTTGAGCACTGTTGGGGATACATACATGACCTCACGGGTCACCACCAGAGTCAGCGCAAGAGACATAGAGCCAAAGCTGGAATACAATGCGGAGTACGACCAAACTTTGGCAATGTGATTTAATGATAACTACCGCTGTGTTCTCAGTGAAGTTCATGACCAGAAGAGCGAGACACAGTGGGCTTCGGTTACACATGCATGATATAATGTGTGTATAGTAGATTTATTTGGTCAATTAATACTTGCATCTTTATGCCACAATTAGACAATCAACTCGCAATGCTTCTGAACTTTGTTTAATCACCGGTGGCTGAAACCCAGATTTGAACCCAGGAACCTGACAATGTATATTTTTTGGATTGTTTTGTTCATGATTTTCCTTTCTGTTCTGTAACCAGGTCGCCATCGAAAATGAGTGTGCATTGCCCAGTGGGTTTCACCTGTGCTAAAACCTAAACCTAAGGAATGATATTAATCACTGGTTTTGTTGTTATTGTTTCGTTTTATTTGTGTGCAGGTGTCTTGTCGCGCCATTGGCATTGGGGCCTACCTGGTGAGGCTGGGTCAGAGGGTCATCCAAGTGGATAACTCTCACATCATCCTCACGGGGGCAGCCGCCCTCAACAAGGTGAGAGAGCGGCGTGAACAGAAGCCGACTTGGCAACGAGGTTGCGGGTGGGTTGGGGGGCACACTAGCCAATAAAACTCAAGTTATACTCATAGATCTCAAATCATACGAGACAATCAGACCCTAGTCCTCATAATGTGGACTACACTGGCCAACCAAACACACTAGCCAAACATAACAGTCACACTCATAATCATGCTAACCAACCAAACTCTAACTTATCCTTACCTATGGCCCTAACTATATTAGCCAAATAGACTCTACCCCATCCTTAACCACACTAGCCAACCAGATACTAGTTTTCCCCCTAACCCTAGCTACACTATCCACCCAGGTACTCTTCATGTCCCAAACCCTAGTCACATCCACGCAGAAACCAGCCTTACCCCTAATCCTAGCCCTACTGCTGATCCAAACCCTAATCTCCGGTGTTTTGCCAAGTCCCCTTTTGACTTTTTGTTTAATTGGAATTTAGCTGCTCACAGGTCTTTTAATGTTTTAAGTTTTTGTCTTCCAGTCAACTCGTATACCCAAGTGGTGCTGTTATCGGCATCTTGTCTTGAGACAACTAAACTTTCACTTGGAACTCTTCACAATTTGGAATCTAACATCACTTTGTCCGTGACACAGTCTCTGGAACATGGCTTCTAAACACCATTCATGATGGTACTCATTAATGATGATTCATGGTTAGGGTACCCCAGGATTTTTCCCTTAGAGCTGGGCTTAGCTAAATTCAGTGTTTTACGTAACATTTATTGTTATTATGTAGTCACGGGTGACCGGGCTGAACCCTTCGAGTCCCTGCGCTTGGTAACTTGGTTTAACTACTCGTCACTGAAACCCGATTTAAAACTCATGAACTCAGGGTTGTTAGCTCAGTGCTGTGAAATGGCCAATATGTGCCTCTACAGTAAGTTTACTTATATGAGTCTCAAGACGTCCTCTTGATTTTTTTCCAATTGCACATTATTGAATAATTAATGTCTATCAATTATACAACATTGTTAGCATTTATTCTTAAATGTGTTGTACAATTTACAGGGCATTTAATGTCCATTCTACTTTGTTTTGGCATTTTTACGCTGTGTACTTAATTAAGCTTGGTATCTCCCTTGAAAAAACACAGTAATTATTAAAATAAATAAAAATGCATAGAGCTTTGTCAATCCAGAAGCGTCATCTTCCAATACCTCACCACACTGATCAGTGCGGGTTGGTGAAGAAGGGGCCCCAGTACTGAATCAGAGATTGCACGCCACTGATGTTAGCCGTGGTCGAGAATCAGGCTTGAGGTAATGTTTTTCACGTGACACTGTGCTGACAACTGCACGACCACTTGTCCCCAATGCACTATTACCTGGTCATAAATGGGTAAATAAATACAAAAGTTGGTGATGCTATGTTGGCAGTGGTGCACACGAACATTTCTCAGATTTCTCAAGAATGTAGGGTAGTTAAATTCCTTTTGTTGAAATAGTAATTGGACCCAGCAATGCATTGCAAAGTCGTGCCTTTTGGCTAGCAATCAAAGAAAGACAGTCACTGCATCACTCACTTTCAGGTGCGCTTCTGCGGCCGTCTGGAACGCTTTTCCTTTCAATATTAGGAAGCCACTGGAACTATGCAATTTTTAATATATGTTGAAAAGTAATTTCTTTAGAACTAGTTTTTGTCTTTAATTTGTTGTCCTTCCTCTGCACCTCCAGTTAGCACGGTTGGCTACGTATGGTGCAAAATAAGTTCAACATACATAGATTGTGCCTTTTCCGGACAAGAACTAACCTTCCAACAAAGAAATGTGCCATAAAATTAAAAATATATATACATGGCATAATTTAGTAATACTTTTGCTTTATGGAGGGTGTGTCTGTTACTCAACAGCTACTATTAGGTAACTATATGCCAATTTAAGAAGGCTATACCGACATTTTTTTTTTATCAGGCCCCATGCTGTTAAGTGCAGTCTGCAACTATTATTATCCACTCTATCTCTATGGGCACTCTATCTATGTGCGATGAAGAAGGGTCATTGTCCACAACATCACCTTTTAAATGTTTATATTTTTAAGGCCACAGTGTTATTGATGAATGTGTTAAATTTTTTATACATCAATAAAAGTAATCTATGTACGTTCCAGATAGTTCTAACCCTAATATGCAAATTCCAAACTGTATGAAAGTTCTGCTCCCAACACAACCCAATAAAACTTTTCCAGACGTTAAGCTTTGAGGCTATCTCAGTTAAGTACAAAGCTTAATGGCATTGTATATACACAAAACACCCTTATGCATACTGTAGAGCATTCTGGGTAATAAAATTAATCAATGGCATTGTTTGATTACAGTCAGGATAAGTGTTGTGGTTAGTTAGCGTTAGCGCTCACGTTCATGATTTTGTTAGTGCTATAAAATGCCTATTGGAATAAGTTTAAGGTTAGGGCTGAGTGAGGGTGTTTAATGTCTTGGTCTGAATTACATTGAGGTTTCCCTCTTTGCAAAAATAAAGCCCTCATTCCCATTGGCCTTTTTCCAGATGCGCTTGATTACAGTAATTTATTTTATTTTGGGTCAATTGTAGTTACAAATGTACGTATTTTTTTACAATTTCAATCATGCTATCTCGTACACATGTTAGTTGGCCGAGGATTGGTGACCAGTGACCTGAGGTTGATTTCCAGTCATGGCTAACGTCAATGACGAGTGACATCTGAACCAGTCCTGGCTCCCCCCAAACCCTGATTCACCAACCTCCACTAACCAAACAAACTCCCTTGATTGATACAGAATTGGAACACCTTAACAAAGGGCTATCTGTAAATGATTACTTAATGTTTTGGGGAGATATAAAAAAAATACTAAAATGCAATGACATTGTTTTCAAACCCATGGTTAAAATACTACAATTATGTTTAAGATCCTGTAGTTTTTACTGTAATAAATAATGAATCGTAATTTGCAGCCCTTTATGAATGCATTGGTCAATGAAGGCATCTTCATGCCGTATCGATCGTGGGGTGAGGTTTTTTTTTACCATACTTCACCAAGCTGGGCAATGTGGGTTAGTGCATATAGGGCCCCGGTACAGATTTAGACACCACTTGCCACTGATGTTAGCTATGGCCAGGAATCAAACTCAGATTGCCGGGTTCATCGTGCATTACTCTAACCACTGCACTACCTCTCCACCCTGCTGTTAATGTGTATTGCGGACATGAGCTTAAACAAGATAGGAGCAGTGCCCCTTTCTTTCTCAGAAGAAAAAGGGGGCATTGCCCAAAACGCTATCTTTGTAAGACGTTTGAGTCGTAAGGCACTGTTGTTATTAATGACGTTGGCATGGAGGTATTTTCAGCCTCCGCGTGCAGACACAGCCCAGTGGTGCGAAATGCTAATGCAAACGAGGACATAGGAGGAAAGGGGCCGAGACGCAGCTAATAATATATAAACAAAACTAGACAAAACAAAGAAACCCCACAACTACAAGGACAGCAAAATGAAATGAATGCGGACGCCATGGTGCAGGGATGGCGTGGAAGCAGAGGTAGTTAAAATGCTGAAGCGTTCGTTTGAGCCGATTGTAAAATGGAGCACGGCCACGGAGAGAAAATAAGATTCGCCGCAAAGGTCGCGCAAGTTCAGCAGCTGAGGTTCACTGTAAATTGTAAAGGAATGTCTTTGTTGGAGCCAAGAATAAGCGTACGGGACGCAGAATATATAGCAGTTCCATTTGAATAAGTGGGATTTTTTGCAGGATTTTTTTGGTTCTTAGATGAAACTTGACTTTATGCAGCCAAGTGTTGGTAGGGGAGGTGCCATTAACTTCCTACAGTCCCCGAGTCTTGTGGCAGCATTTAATCTGTGATGGATGTAACCTGGGCCCAGTGCCTTCCAACAGTAATGTCATCACGGGGGAAGGCATTACTCATGTAATACGCGCGTAACCTTAACTCAAACATGTAAATTACGGAGGAGGAAAACAAATTAAGACATTCATCCTGCCTGACAAAATTGCACTGTCGCCATCAGTCTTGCAACCTAGATGAATGTTGCCCCCGCTCCCGTAATTCCGTCCCTTGATTTTTATTTGCCGCGGTGTAAATGGTTTTCTCCCTGCGGCGTTTTGCTTGGTAGGCCAATCACGTCTGCGGCGCCACTCCAGCCGAGGCTGTCGCCCGCCGCACTGACTCATTGGCCGGGCCCTTTAGAAATGCGCGGAAGCGTGGAATACGTTTCCTCCCCCTCCCTCCTGCCCTGAAAAAAATTGCCACGAATATATTTTTTTATAATAATGATTCTATCTTTAATTTGCGGATATCGGAGCAAAAGTAAGATCAGAATGGTGAATCGTTATCATCATCAGAATGGTTTAAAATTGATGTGTTGGATAAAATCATTTATTAATGCTTATTACGTTTTGTAACAACACAGGATTAATGAATTGTATCTACTGGGGAGGTGACACGTCACTTGGGTTTCTTCTAGCAGAAACTCACTGGGTTTCTAGTTCGGTCCTTCCCGTGCCCTCCCTCAAGCTCTTCCGCAACCTGGCTCTTCTCTTGATTTGTGCTTGCTCTTTCTTCAGATTCCTTTAATTCACTTCAGTGTTACTATCTTTAAGAAAAATATATAAGTTATCTACCTAAAAAACATACAACAATAATTTCAATGAGCTTTTGTAGACTCTTTATCGCCCTTTCTCTCATCTCACTTTCTCCCTATATATATTCTTTAACCCCAACGTATTTTAATTTTTTTCTCTTTTGATGCTACTATTTCGTGCGCGTACCTTGGCCATGGACTATCTCCGGCACATCCCTATCCTTCATCACACATAACATTAGAAGGATTTTTTTTCTTTTTCCCTTTTTGGTCTTCATCAAATTGATAAAATTTCATCGCTCAAAATCCTTGAACCCCAAAGTACACTGCAGCCGTATGGCTAAAGATGTGCTATCCATAGCAAGCTTGCTTCAAGGTAAGACCTTTCCTATAATTGC